GAAAAAGAGAATTCCTCGAGGCCTGATTCTCTACCAACCAATCAGTGAACAGACATATTGACATCAACCCTGCCTACCAACCACTGAGAGTAAGAGAACTACTTCAACTGAAATACTGGAAGCAACATTCCAAACAAACTGAACACAATTCCAACCACACTGAAGATGTCCCCCCGAACGGAGAAACATTTGCAACCTAATTATCATTCTGGTATATATATAGGCTGTTGGTTTGATCTCCAGATTTGGTAATTAGGTTGCAAACACTTCGTCTCTGTTCGGGGGGAGGATATCTTCAGTGCAGTTAGGGTCATCCCCCCTTGCGAAGCAGGCACACAATTTATAAGCTTTTACCACACTGTTTAGGCCACCCACTTAGTCTGACATCTATCTACTATATGGAAACATATAGTAGCTAAAACCAATAGCTAAATTAAACTTCAACACCCCCCTGGTTCACAGTCTATTAATTGTATTTCATTTCCAGGAAGTCTACAGGCTTCTGGTCTACAGTAAGTCACTACCATCATTGTCTCTGGTCCATCCAGGATCAAATATCCTTGACTGGTTCTTAATAATAAGGCTTTTCCTTAAACTATTAAGCGGGATCTTTCCTAACAATTGGATTTTATTCTCTAAAGTCATAAATCTCTGTTGTGTATATCTCCACAGCATTTGTCATATCAAAACTTCTCCTGTAAATTGTAACATTACATCTCTTAACATTTGTTTTCTGATTGGTTATAATATATCCATTCCCCAATCTTCCTCAATCTTCTTGAAAAAATTGAGTTCATCACTGGTCAATTCTATCAATGTTGAGTCTTTAAAATCCATACCTTTTTTAGAGTCCTCTAGCCCAGAGATCACTAACCTTTCTCGGTTGGTGGACTGGAGGGAAAGGGAGGGGGCAGCATTTTTGGGGGCTGCGAGCATGCACATGACACAAGCGGAGCAGTGCTACCCACGTGATACTCGCTAGCCCTGCCCCGTTCTTGTGCGGTATAGCGCCCTGTTTTCACACCCCATGATGCGGTATCCCGTTTTGCGCCCCACAGTGGTGTCCCGTTTTTGCACCCCATGGCTGTGGTGCTAGCACGAGTGGGGGTGTGTGGGTGCACTGGCCAGCTTGTCCCACAGCCTGGTGGCCAGCAGGTCATGGCCCGGTAGTGGGTCGCAGCCCACAGGTTGGGGACCCCTGCTCTAACCAACTTGTATTTTCCAAGTCAACTCCATCTTTCAGGTCTGCCAGCAGCAAATTACATTCCAATCCGTCTAGTTGAAAATCTTGTTGTAGTGCTGTTACTTGCCTCTGATTACCATCTTCAAGTTGGTTTAAAACTACTGTTACTTTATCAAGCTTCTTATCCAAATTTTCAAGTTGGACTGTGACAATGGTACTGAAAAAAGTGACATGACCATTTTTCACACTTACAACCATTACAGCATTCCCCACGTTCATGTGATCAAAATTCAGATACTTGGCAACTGATTCATATTTATGAAAGTTGCAGAGTCTGGGGTCATTTGAGACTTTCTGACAAGCAAAATCGAAGGGGAAACCAGAATCACTTAACAACTGTGTTACTGACTTAACAACTGCAGTGATTCACTTAACAACTGTGCCAAGAAAGGTTGTAAAATGGGACAAAACTCACTTAACAACTATCTCACTTAACAATAGAAATTTTGAGTTCAATTGTGGTCATAAGTCAAGGACTATCTGTAGGAACTCCATTAGGCATGAATAATTCTTGGGATTTGGGGAAATCCCAAAATTATCCTGGATAGCAGAAAATATATTAGTCATCCCTGAAGAGGATAGAACAAATGTTTCATGTGAGCAACCTTTTAAAAATGTATGGAATTCTTTTCCTATTTCTGATTGGCTGGAATCAAAAACTGAATCGTCCTCATTACTCTGCTCTGAGTTGTGCAGCACAAGCTAGATATTTCAGCAGAGTATTCACTTCCTGTCTGATGGACTTCTGTGACTGAAGAAGCCACATACACATGTAGTACATTCGGTTCATTTGTAGATTCTACATAAGGTAAAGCAAGCTGACTAAATCCTATTAACTGTTTATAAAGCCAAATGGGGAACAATAATACAAAAGCCCACAAATTCCTATGTCATTTACAATAACTGACTGAAGTAAGTTATACTAATTGATATAGTGGCTTTTTTATCCAGTCATGATAACATTCTTTCAATATTCAAAACATTTTTTTAAAAAAATTTATAGTGTATTTTCACACTTGTCCTACACAAAAATCCTAAAATACAATCCCACCGCAACATGACTAAACAAAACATTTAAAGAATGAGGTAAGCAACCTTTACCACATTTCTTGTTGCAGCACATTGCACAACCCAATGAATAGTAAACATAAGCTATATTTTACAGATGACGTGGAGTTGCACTTGTGACTGCCAGGATACAAGATTACACTCAGCAACACACAGTGTAAACTAAGAAGTTGAATCTATGTTTATTTCCCAAGGGTCATGCTACCAAGACTGAAAGGCAAATCTTACAATATAAATAATGCAGCTAAATCAGAAACATTTTAGTCAAATAAAATTAAAATATTTGGGGGTTCTTTGCTCGGAAATTTTTTAAAGAAGACATCTGAAAAGTCAGTTAACCAGCTAATTCTTTATAATTTTATCCATGGACAAACCAATTAAGTATCTAATCTTGACTGTCCCATTAACTGTAACTAGAGAATAATCTGAAACAGAAAACAAGGCAGGGAAAATATGTAGAATTCTTTCCATCCCTTGAATAGCAGTTTCATTCAACAGGGAGAGGGCTTAAGAATGGAGGAGTCAACAGCATTCCAAATCACTGTCCCAGCCATCTCTCCCATAGGACATTTTGTTGTTGTTGTTGTTTTCCCTCAGCAAACCCTACCAGAAGAGATCCATTTTCAAATTCAATTTTTTTTTGGTTGGCTTCACCCATCACATCAAATTTGTTTCTGTTTTGGAGAGATAACTTCTTAATAGATAGGCAGACAGAATATCATGTTCTACAACTTTTCAATATTCTGTTGGGTTGGCAAGCATAAAATATAAATACATAATACAGAGTGGAATGTCAGTTATTGGCTATTAATGGCTATTAATATTTTCTGCATTCTGCACAAGTTGGAAAATGCAGTCATATGGAATATTATTTGTCCTCTATAACAGGGGTCCCCACTTGCACAAGCAGGGGGCAAGCATTGGCGCATGTACTCTATCTGTGCGGATGGTGTGCCCATGTCTCTTGCAAATTGAACTGTGTGCATGCATTTGCCCACCACTTGCGCAGAACCATCCCCTGCCTCCCCCTCCCCAGGCTGGTCTGTAAAGTCAGAAAGATTGAAGAATTCTGCCCTATAAACATGTAAAATACTGGTGCTGGACTCAGGCAAGATGCTTAAATACTTCATTGAACATTCTTATTCCTTAAAATTAACAGTCTAAAAAATATTTTGGATTCACCTAGTAATTTTATATTTCCTTAATACAAATTAGTCAAATCAATATTCCTAGATTGACAATATAAAATACTCTCAAAATATCTTCAAGTATTGTAGCTGTGGACATAATTTACTTGGACTTCAGTAAGGCATTTGATAAAGTAGATCACAACCTACTACTTGACAAGATAGAAAAATGTGGGGTAGACAGAACCACCACCAGATGGATCCGTAGCTGGCTGACCGGCCGTACTCAGCGAGTGGTCCTCAATGGAACTGCATCTATATGGAGGGAAGTGTGTAGTGGGGTGCCCCAGGGCTCTGTTCTGGGCCCAGTACTCTTCAACATCTTCATCAACGATTTGGATGAAGGGATAGATGGGGAACTCATCAAATTTGCAGACGACACCAAGCTGGCAGGAATAGCCAACACTCCAGAAGACAGGCTTAAGATACAGAAGGATCTGGACAGACTTGAACACTGGGCACTAACTAACAAAATGAAATTCAATGGTGAAAAAAGCAAGGTTCTACATTTAGGCAAGAAAAACCAAATGCACAAGTACAGCATAGGTGGCACCATGCTCAATAGTAGTAACTGTGAGAGGGACCTCGGAGTCCTAGTAGACAATCACCTAAATATGAGCCAGCAGTGTGCTGCAGCTGCCAAAAAGGCCAACACAGTGCTAGGCTGCATTAACAGAGGGATAGAATCAAGATCACGTGAAGTATTAATACCACTCTTCAATGCCTTGGTAAGGCCACACTTGGAATACTGCATCCAGTTTTGGTCACCACGATGTAAAAAAGATGTTGAGACTCTAGAAAGAGTACAGAGAAGAGCAACAAAGATGATTAGGGGACTGGAGGCTAAAACATATAAGGAACGGTTGCTAGAATTGGGTATGTCTAGCTTAACGAAGAGAAGGACAAGGGGGGACATGATAGCAGTATTCCAATATCTCAGGGGCTGCCATAAAGAAGAGGGAATTAAGCTATTTTCCAAAGCACCTGAAGGCAGGACAAGAAGCAACGGGTGGAAACTAATCAAGGAGAGAAGCAACCTAGAACTAAGGAGAAACTTCCTGACAGTGAGAACAATTAATCAGTGGAACAGCTTGCCTCCAGAAGCAGTAAATGCTCCAACACTGGAAGTTTTTAAGAAGAGACTGGACAGCCACTTGTCCGAAATGGTGTAGGGTTTCCTGCCCGAGCAGGGGGTTGGACTAGATGACCTCCAAGGTCCCTTCCAACTTTACTACTATTACTATTACTAATATACAAGTTTTACAAATTGGTCTCCATCTGGGGACATTTAACTCAGAGGTTTACCTAAAGCTAACTGTGTAATGAAAAGTCAGAGGAGTCACCATTGTTAGTTAAAGTAATAAAAATTGGAAATAAAGATTTACTAATTGGAGAAGGAGTATATAAAGCAATATAAGTTATTTGTCTTTATTAGAAGCACAAGACTCTAACAAAACTTAAGTTTCAGAGCAAACAGTATCAAATCTATTAAAAACAGACTATAATGTATGGGTTAAAAAGGGCATCTGAGCTCATCTACTGGAACTCTTTGCCCAGGGAGCCACTTATTTTAGTTTATTACAAGTTGAAAAAGTTTGTGTAAGGCAGAGAAAGTTAATTCTGAAGAAAGATTAAGCAACAGTTTGTGTGTAATATTTGTATATACCATGAACAAGCAATATTTTGTCTGCTTTTTTAACCATTTAGCTGACAGAGCTTGAAGTGTTAGAAATATGACAAAGATCATATTAGAATTCTCTAAATAATATGAACCTTATCTGACCTCAAATTTCCATTCAATGATTTAAATATGATTAAAAGGTAGTATATAATTACTGTAAATTTACATTAATATAGTACATCAAATGAAGGCAGAGTAACTTTCCCTAGTCTCTTTCTAGTGACCTTCAGACAGTGACATGTGACTGGCTATCTTTGTGTGAAGTGTCAGATTTATGTTCTCTGCATACATCCAATTTCTAGTGACCAACAGAAAGATCTCCCAAATAGTCACCCACAATGTTTAAATATACTATAATTTTAAAATCATTGTCATTAGTTCTTCGTGACTAAGAAATGCATTTACCAAAAATGTCTTTCAGCTCCACTAATTAGAATAACTATGGTTGTCAAAACATGGAAATATTCTCAACTTTTAACTCATGGCAAAATTGCAGAGAATTACATATAGAATGAGTAAACAGTTCATACTTAATGACACATCAGAGAACTATATATTACAGCTTTATTATAAGCGCTACTTGCAATACTGAGCTTTATATAAGAGCTCTATATGTTTAGTTCAGAGGTCCCCAACCTTTTGGTTATCGGACGGGTTCCATGGAGAAAGGTTTTTCCATAGACCGGAGAGTGCACGGTTTTGTGTGCTGTCTGCATCCCACGGATGGGGCTTTGCTTGTTTGTGCGGACCAGATGCTGCGGACCGGGGGTTGGGGACCCCTTGTTTAGTTCTTTACAGGGGAGATAAACCCCAATTGCAGAATATGGCTGTTCCACTTCTGTCCTAAACATAGTACTAGCAGAGAATGTCTTGCTAATTTTATTTTAGTTATTTTTCACATAATACATGTTCAGAATTTCAACATGAAGGTCCCAGCATTTAGGAACATAGAAGCGGGGAGAGGAATTAACCCTCCCCCAAAAGACACCAAAGCATAATATATATTCTTCATACCAAAGTTAAGTTCTAATTGTAAAATCCAACATATCTGTAGAAAATGCAACAATCTCACTGGAATGGAGGAATATTGCATACACATATTATGTCCCTTAATTGGAATTAAAGGTGCTTTTTTGATAGCTCCAATTGTGCAGAAAGCTAGTTACAAGCAATCAGAAGTTACAATAGGCTTACTTCATTTCAGTAGTAAGACTGTAGTGACGTCAATCAACTTTCTGCTGGTTGTGCTGTAAGTTTTTGAAAGTCATCTATCCTATTAGAAACCTGTCCCCCACTCAAATATAGACATCTAAGCTCTATAGATCCTGGGACTTAACAGATTCGCATTTCCACACCTTGCTCCAACATATTTGGTGGGAATTACTATCATTATTCCAAGTTCAGATGGAAAACACCCATGAGAAGGATAACCTTGATAGGCAATAAACAAATGTTAGTAAATCTGTATTTTAACTAATAGTTTCAATGTCTGTCCACTACAAAGCTGTGCTAAAAGGTCCATCATGGGTTATCAAAGCTCTCCCAGAGTATAGCCCAATTTATATATAAAAAAAGCTTGATGATCGCCTGTGTGGTAAGAGTGAGCGGCATCTCTATTCTTCCGCAAGGAATCAACGAAGCCAAGCAAATGAAACAAGAATAAGGTTCGGCCCGGGCGAGGACGGAACACGATCACGCTACCTCCGGTCTCGAGTTATAATGGGCAGAAAGAGGAAGCCCGGAGTCACTCGTGACGCGAGAAGGGAAGGAAAAAGCCAGGAACGGCGTTCTCCGCAGCGCCCCCTCCGGCCGCGTTGTCGCGCTGCTTCTGAGTCCGCTTCGGCCTGACTTGAAGCCTGGCGGAGTCCTCCTCCTCTTCCTCCTCTTCCTCTCGTGTGTGTGTGTGTGTGTGTGTCTGTGTGTGTCTGTGTATGTGTGTTGCTCCGTCTGTCTCCTCCCCCACCCCTCAGCTTCTGCCGGGAGGATCAAGATGGACGGGGTGCGACGCTGTCTGGCGGCGGACTAAGAAAAGGCCTCTGAAAACTGAGGAGCGGCGGCGGCAGCGGCGGCAGGGGAAGCCCGGGCGCCGAGGTGAGCGAAGTCGCTGGGTCAGCGCAAAGGAGCTCCGCGCTGCTGGCCTCGCGGCGGTGTTTCCTGAGCCACCTGGCCGAGATGCCCTGCAAGGCCTGCGGCTGGCGGGGAACGCGAGTGCCGTGGCGTGACGGAGGAGTTGCTCGGGGAAAGAGTTTGGTTCTTCTGGGACGGCGTGGCGGAAAGTGTGGGTCGGGGAAGGGGGGAGAATAGCTGTAGAGATTCCGCAAAGCCTCAGCTAGGCGGGGGTTGGTAGGCCCGGAAAATCAGGGCTTGGCTTACGGACGGAAAGGAAGCGACCGAGTTGTCTTTGCTGGGCCCAGAGCGAGGTCTTGTCCGTAAAGAAAGGGTGTTGCTGGGCCTGCTTTTCTCCTGGCTTTCTCGGTTCGGTGGGGAAGAGTCACCGGGGCCTCTCAGCCTGCTGCTTTGGGACTTTAATGGGTGAGAAATAGTTTTCCCTGAAGACGGTGCTCGGACGCTGCTTCCGGCTCGTCTTGCTTTAAGGGGGGGGGGGACAAACAAATATATCTGTAGGTCAGCCCAGTTTGGACGCCCCACTCATGTTGTAAGAGTACTTGTATAGATTTGGTTCTGTAAAGGTATGAAACTTCCTCCTGGGTGAGAAGTCATCAGTGCACATAATTATCTTCCAGCGATAGTGTCTTTGGGAAATTTGGGGTTATTTCCAAACTAAGATTTCCTTTTCTTTTTTTAAAAAAGCTAGAAGTCGAACCTAAGTGCTTCTGTATGTAAAACATATGGCTTACCATAGTACCCTTGCCCATTCTTCCATGTTTACTTTGTTGGGGAGAGTTCGTGCAGTTTATTTCTCAAATGATTTTTGCACTGAAATGCAGGTGTGTTGAGAAGTCAGTCATTTCAAAAAGGATATACAGGTAGTCCTCAACTTATGACCACAATTGAGCCCAAAATGTATGTTGTTAAATGAGATATTTGTTAAGTGAGTTTTGCTCTATTTTATGACTTTTCTTGCCACATTTGTTAAGTGAATCACTGAAGTTGTTAAATTAGTAACATGGTTTTGAATCTGGCTTCTCCATTGTCTTTGCTTGTTAGGAGGTTGCAAAAGGTGATCACATGACCTTGGGACACTGCAACCTTCATAAATATGAACCAGTTATTAAGCATTCAAATGTAAATCACTTGATCATAGGGACGCTGCAACGGTCATAAGCGTGAAAAATGGTCATAAGTCACTTTTTTCAGTGCTGTAACTTTGAATGGTCACTAAATGAACTGTTGTAAGTTGAGGACTACCTGTACTTTTCCTCAGTAGAAATTGTGTACTATTAGTATCAATTTTTCCTGATTAATTTATGTGTTAGATTCAGTCTTGTTGGTCATACATACGAACAAGCAGTATACAAATATAATTGAAACTTTTTCTAAGCATCATTTGTTTGAATCTAGATATTTATACTCTTAGAAGCCAAAATAGCTTTATTGACCACATGCTACACAATCCTATATATATATATTCAGAAATAAGCTGCCTTGAATTCAGTAAACTTCCAGACTTTACCTACTGCTACATCATGTTTCACTGATATATAATAATATATTTTTAACCTGATCCTAATACTAAATTAAGACAGTGCAGACTGAACCTTAAAGCATTTATTGAAAAAAAACTTAGAAAGATTACATCATAGCTTTTATTCTAGAAACTGAATTCTGATTACAAAAAAATACAAGAAGTTAACTTTACAAAGTGTCTATGGACACTACAACTTTGGAAAAGGAAAACTGCAGTTGTGGCATAAAACAGTCTCTTATGGGGCAAAAGACTTGGATGTATTTGGGTTCTGTTAGAGATGTTGAAAGGCAACATAGTAACAGCATGAAAAGAACAACCCTCAAAGCACAGAATGTATTAGATTTCATGATATAAAACTATTCTAAGAAAAATTGCAATTGAAGTGTGCATTGTCTTATTTTTATTTGATTTTTAAACTATAGATAATGTAGAAAAAAATTTAAAACTATAACATGAAACTAATATCAAAGCAACAGAACACCTGATTGGGAAAAATATAATGTATTTTATTTGTAGGTTTACAAGTCACTCCTGCTGTTAAGCAAACTCCATTATAATTTAAGATGAGATTTTTTTTAAACCTTGAAATGCTATTTACTATTTTTTTCTCCATCAATAACTTATAATAGAACAATAACACCATACTCAACAAAGATTTAATATGCTATTGTAATATTTCAATATATATATTGCTGGTATTGTCCTAGGTATCTGAAATAGCTAAATTTGATCCTGCTCTTCTGTCAGAATTTTGTATTATAACAACACTTGTTTAGATATCTGGCTCCCAATTTGAAATTTGCAGGCACCATTAGCATAATAGCTAGACCAAAATATAGTACCAGACTCTTAGCTTCTTACAGTCCTGATGAAGATTTCTAAAATATATAAATGTCAGCAGAGCCTTTGTAGCTCAAATACTGTTCATTTATAATATTTCAAGTTCACCTTTTCCAAAGGATACTGAAGCATTGCATAGTTAATTATTGGAGTGCAGGATATATATCATGCTAGTAACTGCATACTTAATTGTGATAAAATTAAGGAGTAGTAACAGAGAAATTAACTACAAATCTTCTGGTTGCCTTTTTTTTTTCAGGTGAAGAGTGCAAAGCCATTGGATTTCTTCAGAATAGAAGATTAATTAGGCCCAAGCTATTTGACTGGATTTAAAAAAGAATTTTGGTTTCTTTTTAATTTAAGAACAGACAGTACTTTAAAATCATGGCAGATGTGGACCCAGATACATTGCTTGAATGGCTGCAGATGGGTCAGGGGGATGAAAGAGACATGCAGCTAATAGCACTGGAGCAGTTATGTATGCTGCTGCTGATGTCAGACAATGTGGATCGGTGCTTTGAAACGTAAGTAAAGTTTCATTTTATGTCAGATATTCAGTTTGATTTTGATTGTACTGAAATGTTACTGCAAATGTGTGACAAACATTCTTCAGATTGTTTGAAATCTTTATATCAGTGTTGACAATCCTAAAGCAGTTGTTTTAGGAAAGATCAGTAATACCAGCTATTATGTGCTGTTTTCATTATAAAGTGGCTTGTGCTCATATCGAAAGTAATATGGATTCAAGAAGAACAAGTAAAATCCCATATTAGGGCCTGCCTTATGGTGATAAGAGTGATGAAATGTGCTTATTTCTATGCTCTTATTGTATCTTCCAAATGTGGGTTAGGGGCCCAGTTCAGATTGGCCTAATCTCTTATTCTGAGCTTGTCTGATGAAGTTGTCTGAGGCATTATCTTGTGATGTTATCTGGGAGGTGTTTGAAGCTTTTAGTCTTGAGAAAGTAGCTAGGATTCTTGATGCTGTGGGTGTAACCATCTGTGTTTTAGATCCATGCCCTTCCTGGCTGGTTAATGCATCCTGGGAGAAGATATGTATGTGGAGCCATGCAATGGTAAATGCTTCCTTGAGAGAGGGGATGATCCCACTGGCTCTGAAAAAGGTGATAGTTTATCTCTTCTTTGTGAAAGCATCACAGGATGCCACAGATCCAGGCAATTTCTTCCCAAAATTTCTTTCTGAGGAAGATTATTGAGAAAGCAGATAGCCTGTATTTCCTTCTGGTGGAAGCAGAGCTTCAGTTAGGTTTACAGATCAGGATATAAAACTAAGATAGCTTTGGTTGCTCTTGTTAATGACTTCTGGCAAACTCATTTTTTTCTTGATCTCTCAGCAGTCTATGATACGTTCAGATGGTTATATGAGTGGAGGCATCAATTTAGAGTGTTGTAGGCACTGTTTCCCCCTTCCTCTAGAAGTTCCAGTCACTATTAGGACACAGCAATCTAGTCCAAGAACTCTGCTTGGCAAAGTGCCTAACTGTTCCCCCACTCTTCGAATTCAATGAAGGGCATCATCATTAACATAGGCTGCAGTATCATCAGTATGCTGATAGTACAGTGGCAGTAGTTTTGGGTCATTGAATCCTAGAATCAAATAAGAAATTTAAGAGATTTCTTCCTTGAATTTGGACAGGGTGCAAGCTGCGTTTGGATTTAGTGCACAGCTTGGGGGTCCTCCTCTATTCAAATCTCCTATTTCCAGGGCAGGTGACAGTTGTATCTGGGGAGAGAAATTGCTTATTTTGATACTATGCACCAATTACACCTGTTCAGGAGATCTGATCATGATCACTCATGCCTTAATCATCTTTCAATAGAGTATTGCAACACACCAGATGGGGCCACTCTGAAGACCCATTAGGAAGTTAATTTGGCTATAATGCAGTGGCGGAGGTTGTTATGGCTGTTCTTTATTATGCTTATGTAATACCTCTACTCCACAAAATGCACAGGATCGCCATAGGTTTCTGGGGGCAATTCAAGGTATTGGGCTTGTTGAGCCTTATATGACAGAACTAAGTTATTCGTGGGATGACCTCCTTCCAAGGATATCTGCCTGTCTTCCAGACTCTGACAGAGGGGGCACTCTTTGGATGCTTTGGTGGAAACAATGTGATCATAAGGAGCCCAGGAGGTGTGGTTTCTTGCTAGTAGTCCCTGCCCTTTAGAATGATTTTCTCATGTCATATATCCCCCGACTCTGCAAACTTTTAGAAAGAAACTAAAGGCTATGGGTCTTGGGATCAGAATGAGTAGAGCCCCCAATTGATTACTAAAGATTTCACTTCTTGTAGTCATTTTATCATTTTATTAAGTTTTAATAAGATACTGCTTTGTATTGGTTATGTTTTTTTCTTGTTGTATGCTGCCCAACATGACAAGGACTCTATTGAGCAATTATATACATATTTCTGCTAGACGCATATAAAATAATTTACTTCTTGGGAAGTACCAGTGTCTAACAGGATTTCTACTGAAACCTTTGGGAAACTTTTTATTCTTGATAATTTGTTTTGCTAGGATGGGTTCACATCAGATATAGCAAAAATAATCTTGTTGTACAGCTTTTCTGTACTGTATATGGACCAATAGAGGAAAAATGTTAATTCCATTCTAGACATCGTGGGAGGATGAAAATCAAATGATAAAAATGTTTTTGCTTTCAGTCTGTTTTTACTGCCATCCACCCTGCTTGCAAATGCTAAAAATCTTGGTTTTTTTTTTAAGGTTGCTGTTAAGAACAATACTTTAGAAGAACTTTACATGCTGATATCATAGCTGCTTCTTGGCTAAGAAATTGCCAAATGGCATCCCAGTAGTTATTAGCAGAATTGTGGTTTAGTTAGTCAACTTGGAAATGATGAGTTATTCTGGGTAGAACCCCTGCAGTATAAAATTCTATTTTATATTATTGTTTTAAATCATATTTACTATGTCCCAAATTTCAACCATCTTATTTTTATGATATTTACAATTATTACAATTAATGCTGATTCATTAAGAAGACCTTGAAGATTTAACATATATTTTCTGCTTGAGAATAAGAGGTTTTTTTTAATTTTGCTGGTACAAATTTATTTTTAATACAGCAACATTGTTACAAGGGGTTTTTTTTAGTGATGAGACTTCCTATTTTTATTAAGTGTATCTAATAAGATGTACATTTTATAAAAAAGGTCTAAAAATGACCAATATTGTGGAAAAAGTTAAATATGAATTTCTTGTCTTTATATATATATATATATATATATGTATGTATGTATGTATGTATGTATGTATGTATATATATTACAGTACTTTACAATATTTTATTTAGTTTCTCCCCTTAATATTACATTTTATTTGTTTGTTAAACAGCCAAAGATATATCAGTATTAATGGAAGCAATAGAATGTTGAAATAAAGGCACACAAATAGTTGCGTTTTGCATCTACTTTTTATTGGAGATCAAATATTATGTGAATAGAGCCTAAGAGAGACTGGTAGAGACTATAGTGGCTTATAAACTCCCATGTAGAAATTCAAAGGAGAAACCAAGGCAAAGTAGTGTGTATTTGTGTATGTATAAAATATAAATCAACAGTAAACAACAAAAACTAGTATATCAAGGGCAGCTTTCACTTAATGTAAGGGTAAAAACCCACTGCAAAGGGCCTGCTTTGGTGTCTAAAATGAGATATTTTCTTTAATACCTTTGCTGTTAAAACTATGTTGACAGAAATACCACAAACTAAACAAAATATATTTTATATTCTGGAATTCAGAGAAAATTTGCTTGAATCCAGGTTGTTTGATTTATAAATTTATTTTGTAGAACTGCTGACTTTCATAATAATGCTGATGTTCATTTTAGTAATTCTGACCTTTTAATATTGGTATTGCTCATCTTTCAGTAGCAGTGATTCAGAAAGACTGATTCATTGTCATTATAGATTTCTCTCATAGTATCATTTGAATATTTTAGCTGTTATGAGTTTTAAGTGACCCAGTTATAATTATTATGCTGAAAAGTAATAGTTTTTTAAATTAGCCATGTTATTATTACTAGGTCCCTTTTTCCCTAATGGTTTTGTCTATCATTGGAGTGGTAGTAAGTGTTTTGGACAATAGAATTGAGAATGCTTTTTAGTAGAAGGACATATTCCAATGAAGAAAACTGATTTATAGAAAATCCATACAGGTTGGATATACTGTAGGCCTTTCTGTCTTTCTGGGATTCAAAAGCATTTAGTATTCATGTAACATTATGTTATGTAGGACAACATATGTGTGGAACAGCTTTTTCCCCCCCAATGTCAGATAATGAAGCACTATTTTATGGCATCTACTTCAGGTATCAAATAATGTGTAAGTTTTTGAGTTCTTTAAAACTGTTAGTTAAGGTAGTACTGTACATTTAAAATCTAGGAGAAAAAGGGAGGTCAATGTTCAGACCATTAACGTACATTCATTGAATATTAAAAGTGGGCTATATATTTTCAAATTAAACCACAGAGTGTAAAAGATTGTGGATTGTTCTAGGTTCCCAACACAAAGATGCTTTAATAGGAAAAGTTGGAAATGGAGAAACATATAGCAAATAAATACTTTGATGGGATAGCACATTTTTAAATTTAAAATTTAGCAATGTTTGTGTAGAAAGCTAAAAGCAAATTAAATTTCTGTAAACATTTATTTAATATTTATACACCATGCACTGCAACAGTGGCTTTTATTATCAGCAAGTGAGCCATCACATTGGCACCAGTTAAAAGTTTTCAGCACAGGTATTCTTTGACTTACAACCATTCATTCATTGTGACTCTGAATGAACCTGTTCTAAAGTTACAATCATGGCAGCTCCCTCTGATCACATGAACAAAATTAAAATCTTGGCAACAGTTATAAACTCCATTTATAACTGCAGGGGTGCTTCAACTCCCCTCATTTGCCTATCTCCCCCATCTATGTTCTTTTGACTCCCTGTGGTCCCAGCCACCCCAGCCAAACTTCACTATTTTCTTTCTCCCATAGCTGTCCAAGCATGCCTGCCCTGGTCCTTCACAAATAGCTGCTAGCCGAACAAGGCTTTCTCCCCCAGATCACACACGACAGCATGAGGAAGATTTATTTATTTATCATATTTATTGCCACCCATCCTGCTGTTTAAGGTGATGCTGGGTGGCTTAAGATGGCCTCACATGGCTTGCAGCTGCTGTGCAAAGGGCCAGGCATGCCTCATCAGCATTGGGAGCAAGAAGGTGGTGAAGCTCAGCTGGGGTGATTGGGTCTGGGCTGAGGCAGCTGTGGTTTCCTGGGGCAGGAAGAAGCCCCTTTGCACTATGTTGCTGGGTTGGGGTTGGACTTCACATGGAAGGCCTCCATGCTGTAACTCAGGGACTCTTGCAGAGTGAGGCCCAGCCCCAGTCTGGCCCAACGGCATGGTGCAAAGGAGTTCTTGGCATACTGTAGTTATGGATCTGAAAGAATCCCTGAACCACAATATGAAGCCCTTCACAGCATGAAGCCTAGTCTGGCTCAGCAGCATGGCAGAAAGAAGCTTCTTGGCAAACTGTGATTCTGAGGCAGCAAGAAACCCCTTTGTACCATGCTGCTGAGCTAGGCTGGACTGGGACAACAGAGGCTTCCAGGGGTGGCTACAACTCAGGGCTACTTGCAGCACCAGAGCCACAATATGCTGAAAAATGGCATTTTCGTTTCCTGGCCTCTGCCACTTGCACACATGTACCCGCTCTCTGTTTCCTCAGTCTTCCTGAGCTCACACCACACTGCAGCATTGCCTCAACTTGCACATGACCTACACCACTCCTCCCACTTCCAATTCCTTGCAATGTTACCTCACTCTTTACCAGAGACATTTTCTGCTTTCTGCTTAACCTTCACATTTGAAGTTACGTCAGCAACTGGGACTGCCAGTATCATTAAACAAGATGGTCACATGACATTGCACTTTACAGCCACATTGCTTAATAATGGAAATTCCTGTCCCGTTGTGGTTGTAAACCAAGGACTACCTGTAATCCTATAAATAGTCCTGAGTAAAGCGTATTGTGGTAATCTATTATAGTTTTAAAAAAGGGATGTATTTGGCACTATATTCTCTAACTCTTAAGAAAGTCACAACTCATAAACCAGCCTCTGTTGGTCAAAAACCACTGACTCCACCTGTTGTACAGTAGTTCTGAGTTCAGGAGAACCTACAATTTACATACACATTTATTTAGGGGGAATGTAACCTATATAGCTCTAGAATAAGAGCATCAGAAAATCCATGGGCTTCTGGGCTAGTTGTAGTTGGGAGTTCAACTTTGGAATCCATCCAGAACCTTATAGAATAAGTATTAGGTGAGAACTCTGCATCTTCTGCAATACCAGGGGTAGAAAATAACGTTTTCATACTCCTTGTTGATACCTCTCCTGTACTGATAGTGGTATCAGCTGGTAGGTAGGAGCTTTCTATAGATGTCCAGTTACATGGGGGGAAAAAAATGAGAATTCCATGCTGCAATAACCAGGGGCTTAAACAGTTCTTCCACACTAATAGTGATTGGAACTGCCACTTGGTAATGAATTAAAATCATTGTATAAATATTTCCAACACTTAACTCTTTGTAAGCAATCCAGAAGGGCACATGATTTGGGGATCAATCAGATAGCCAGTTTCCTCCATCCAGATGCTATTGGATGTGATCAGCATAAGTTTTTGCTCTTTGACTTTGAACCTCAACCACAAAGCATCCAGAGTCCACCAAGAACTTTTGTAGCTATACTAAAGTCCAACTACTTTTTTTTTTACAAAAGTTTCCCTTAAAAGGAGAGGATGAGGAGCAAATACAATTATATCACACTGTTAGATTGCAAAATATTATCTTTAAGCAGGGAGGAATCACTGCTAACTACAAGGCAGCAGGCACCACCTTTTCCTTCAGAGGTATTGATCATCTTCCAAATCCAACTCTCATCCCATGTGTCACTAATCAGAAAATCCAGGGATGACAAGGATCCAGTCTGCAGATGACTGTATTCATACCATAAAGGACCCTGCCACATTATCAGAGATATCATTTAGTTCAGAGGTCCCTAACCTATGGGCTGCGGCCCACTACCTGGCCATGGCCTCTTGGCCACCAGGCCATGTGAGTAGCTGGGCAGTACACAAGTATGTGCATGTGCTCACCCCACCTCGTACCACCTTTGCTATAAGTGTTGTGCAGAAGCAGCAGCACCGCAAGTGGCAGGTGGATGGCGGTGTGCCACCCGCAGGTGGTATTGCCACGAACCTTGTGCGGGTGGCGGCAGCACCGCAAGCAGCAGGTGGGCCACAGCACGATCCTCACACAGGGGTAGTGGCAGAAGCCTCGCGCTGGGGTGGGATTGCTGCGGGCTGCAGCATGATCCTTGCGCAGGGATAGCGTTATGAGCTTTGCGCCAGGACAGCATTGCTGTGCGCCGCAGCATTTATTTATTTATTTATGAGACTTATATACCGCTTTAAGTGCAAGCACTCTCTAAGCGGTGTACACCAGTAAGCAATGTATGTATATATTTACATTGCCCCCAACAATCAGGGTCCTCAGTTTACCTACCTCGGAAGGATGGAAGGCTGAGTCAACCTTGAGCCGGTGAGATTTGAACCGCTGACCTGTTGAACACAGTCAGCTAAAGTGGCCTGCAGTACTGCACTCTAACTGCTGCAGCACCTCGGCTCATGCAAGGGCAGCAGCGCAAGCCTCGTGCTGGGGCGGCATCGCTGTGGGCTGTGGCACAATTATCATGCGGGAGCATTGGTGTGAACCTCGTGTCATGGGCGGCATCACTGCAGACCACGGTATGAGCCTTGCGCTAGTGGTAGCATCAACACGAGCCTGACAGGGGCGGTGCCACAAGCCTCACATAGGCACCGCCATGACTGAGAGTCTTGCGCGCTTGCTTGCAGCCCTGTTTGCATGGTGCGCATGCTTGCAGCCTGTTTGTACACGCACACGTGTGGCCACATTCACATTTGTGCTTACGCGCGTAAGGCGCCTACCACTCCATCTCCCACCGGGCTGCCAATCCAAAAAGGTTGTTGATCCCTGATTTAATTAACATGTGGCAAGTAATTGTTAGATATTTTACTGACATCTAAATTGGTCTGTCATCACGCAACTTATGACAATGAATTCCATTGCACAGAGTGAATAAGTACTGTCCTTAAATCAGTTTTACTGGATAATACTGTCTTCTAACATAATACTAGGAATTGTCTTCTTTCCACATAAGTTAATGCTTTATAAGTTATTAAGTACTCTTTTATCTTGTCTTGTTTATTTTTCTGATCTGGAATTGAGAAACTTTTTCAGGGTTGTATAGGGAAGCTTTCTGTTACCGCCTGCCAAGTTACTTATTCTGAATTTGGTAGCTCCTTCATAATAGATCTGGAAGAACAGGAAGTTATCCTGCTTAATTGTATGAATAGAGGGAATACTATGTCAGCAGAATCCTATTATTGGATTTCATCTGTTATGTGGGAAAGACATGGCAACTGCATTGCACAAAACAGCTTTTACAACAGTAATATATTTTGTTGGATAATTTCATCTTTCTCATATGAAGTTTTCCTTACTTATTTGTTTAAGTATTTGAGCCATAATGCTCCTATGTGAAATTGTTAAAATACAATCTGCCTATTTTGCTCCAATTTTGTTGCTAAATCTAAAGCATTTGTCTCCTTAAATAAAAATAAATTTAAATAAAACAATTTAAATTTTAAAAAACATTCCCTTTAAAAAGACTTTCAAATGGGAAAAACCCAATCTTTGTTCAAGTAGCTAAATAAAAAGTTAATTTGAATAAGTCACAATTGGAAGACAATGTTACTATATAGTGAATAAAAAGAATAGCAGAGAAACATGTTAGAATTACATGTATGATAGGTAAACAAGGTTCTATTTCATATAAAAAGGAAGCTAGGAAAATAAGTTTTTGTTTAGTTTTAAACTAAACATAGTGATCCACTATGTACCACAATCCTTTATAACCCATATTGCTTTCTAGAGTACTTAATGAATATGCAGAACAGATTTTTTGCTTTTGTCTTTGAGTAGGAATACAAAAGAATGCAGGTTTAATAGCAGGTTATCCTTTTTCAACCTATACAACCAAAATATTGTAAAGATTTATTGTATTCAGTTCATCTTTAAAAATATACATTATGCATTTAGTCCCATGTTTGGCCCATGCTTTTGGAGAACAGCCCTCCTACAAACCATCCAAAATCACTGGGAGTCAGAGGCAATATATAGATTTAATAAATCACTATAATACACAAAGAATGAAGTAACTCTCTAATAGAAATTGTAGTAATTTGATTTAGAGAAAGTAGATGGATCATTGGGAAAGTGTCTTAGCATAATAGAAATTTGTGTGTGTGTTGTGTTGGCCTATATTATTTTGTTAAAATGTTTTATATTTTACCCTTGAAAATAAAGCTTTCTTAGAGAAGTCTACAGTTTAAATTGAGCTTAAAATTTAAATTAAAATATCATTTAAAAAAGAACATGCAAATATTATTAATTGTATTCATTTAGTCTCGATATTAATCTTGTGAATAGGATAAATATGAACAATGAATGAATTTGCAATTGATAGATTGTATTTTTCTTCTTTCAGATGCCCCCCTCGTACTTTTTTGCCAGCACTATGTAAAATTTTTCTTGATGAAAGTGCTCCTGACAATGTATTGGAGGTAACAGCTCGTGCCATAACTTATTATTTGGATGTATCAGCAGAATGCACTCGACGGATCGTGGGAGTAGATGGTGCTATCAAAGCACTTTGTAATCGTTTAGTAGTTGTGGAACTTAACAACAGAACTAGTAGAGACTTAGCTGAGCAATGTGTAAAGGTAGGTTTGTATTTTTCATTTATCACCAAGAAAAGCTATAAAGCATGTTTTCAATAATATTTATATTTTGGACAATTTAGTTGCTTTAAACCAGTGGTTCTCAACCTGTGGGTCGGGACCCCATTTGGGGTCGAACGACCATTTCACGGGGGTCGCCAAACAACGCAATCTGCCATTTTTTCCCCCTTTTCCTTAGCTGTGCTGCTCCCTTTTATTCTATTGGCTTTTGAATAGAGTCTAATTCTATTGGCTTTCAAAAGCCAATAGGAATTGTCCAGGCTGTCTTTGCCCTGCTGAGCTCGCCAAAAGTCCCATTCTGCAAATGGTGCTGCACCAGTTGAGTAGTCCTCGACTTACGACCAGTTGAGTAGTCCTCGACTTACGACCAGTTGGGGGTCATGGCATTAAAAAGGTTGAGAACCACTGCTTTAAACTGAGTGTTTTGCTAAATACTCATACTGCATATGCATTTGAATATACCACAGGTCGGCAACCTGCGGCTCCGGAGCCGCATGCGGCTCTTTGAGCCTTCCCCTGTGGCTCCCAGCCTCCTCTGCCTTTGCAGAGAGAGACAGAGACAGAGAGAGGCAATTGCGCTTCCCTGCTTTTCTCTCTCTCTCTCTCTCTCTCTCTCTCTGTGTGTGTGTGTGTGTGTAAAAGAGCGTACACTCACAGTGTTCTCCGAGGAGCTGAAAAGCTTACTGGGCGGAGCTCCTCCCTTTGCTGCGTCTCTGCAGGAAGCAGGAAGGGCAGGAGAGAGCTAGCTAGCCCAGCTAGGCTGACTCAGGAATTCTGGGAGTTGAAGTCCATGAGTCATAAAAGAGACGAGGTTGCTTACCCCTGAGCTTGTTGGACAACAACTTGAAGCTTGCCAGGTGAGCAGCAGATAGGAGGGGGGAGAAAGAGAGGGAGGGAGGGAGAGAGAGAGAGAGAGAGAGAGGAAAGAGAAAGAGAAAGAAAGAGTGGGGGAAGAGGAGTGGCAGACCAAGGGCAGATAGAGAGGGAGGGAGAGAGAGAGACAGAGAGAGAGAGAGACCCTTTTGATATCTAAAATGAAGATAACACTGCATATATCCTTTTTTTACCTGTGTGTGTATGTAATTTTATTCTCTTAAAGCATTCTCCTGGTGATCATTTTTTAATAGTATGGATATTCCCAAGAGTCATATTTTTACTTTTATTTTTAATGTCATATTTTTACTTTTATTTTTAATATACACACATACATACATACATACACACACACACAAACACACACAAACACACACAAACACACACAAACACACACACACCTATAATAAAGGTAAAAAAGGATATCTGCAGTGTTATCTTCATTTTAGATATCAAAAGGGTTTTGCGGCTCCCGGTGTTTTGTTTTTGGTGGGAAACGGGTCCAAGTGGCTCCTGGAATATACTCATCCTACAATTAATGTACAAACTATCCTCATCTATAGATTTATAGATGATGCTTTTTATTCATGAAAATGCATCAGTATAAAGAAAATGCACATAATATAGTATTGAAAAGTCCTGCATGTGCAGAATACCCATATAATGTGCACATACAGATGTATACATACATGGCTATTTATTCTGTTTGGATTATATAAGTAATTATATGGCATTGTTGTTCATTCTGATTATACTACAGAAAGTAAAGATCTCTTTAAGTTTTTTCGCATCAAGAACATTAATCAGTTTTGCATGAAGGCATTGCTTAGTTTCAACTAAAATAGTTTCAAATCACAATAGAAGACAGTACGGTATTGTGCCAGCATTAAATTCAGTTTTTGAGGACATGTTGCAGATCTTGTCAGCCAAAGAATATTATCTGATGGGGACTAGAAGATGGGCTCTTTCTGCAGTAGATCCTGCTCTGTGGAATATCCTCTGCTCAGAGATTAGAATGGCCCCAACCCTGTCGGTCTTTCAGTTGGCTGTGTTCCTGGGCCTGGGGGGGGATTGAATGTGTTAAGAACTTCATTTCTTGGCTAACTATCTTGGCTGCTGTGTATATTTATTTTGGATGTTTTTATTGTTTAAAAATGCTTTTTATTGTTTTAATTATTTTTATAGTGTTGGAATTGTAAGCTGCCCAGAATCATTGATAGGTGGCTATAGAAATTGAATGAATGAGTGAATAAATATGAAAGCGCTCCTGATTCATTACTCCAACTTTGCTTTGTATATAAGTCTTTATTATTATTTGGACTTCAGTCCTGCCTAATATCTTACATGTTGTCCTTGACTTATGCCCACAACTGAGCCTTCAGAGGCCCAATCCAGGCGTCAGAGGCCTTTTCCGGGGTGCTGCCGCTTGGATCTGAGGCTGGGGGAAAAAGTCTCCGATGCCCAGATCCGGCCTCCAGAGGGCTGCAGAAGCAGACCCTGGCCCCAGATCCAAGCAGCAGTGGCCTGGAAAAGGCCTCCGGCACCCGGCCTCCAGAGGGCCGCAGAAGCGTCCCCCAGGCTCAGATCAGGCAGCAGTGGCCTGGATAGGGCCTCCAGAGGGCCGCGGAAGTGTCCCCCAGCCTCAGATCCAGGCAGCAGCAGCCTGGAAAAGGCCTCCGGTGCCCCGATCGGGCCTTCAGAGGACCACAGAAGCGTCCCCCAGCCTCAGATCCAGGCAGCAGCAGCCTGGAAAAGGCCTCCAGCGCCTGGATCCAGCCTCTGGAGGCACGCGGAAGCATTCCCCAGCTTCAGTTCCATTCTCTGTTGCAGAGGCCTAAAGTACCATGAGATCACGCAAGATCACATCACTGATCTCGCATGATCTTGCATTACTTTAGGCCTTCATTCTCTGCGAATGTACTGAAGGTCTGGAGCAGCCAAGAAAGCGAAGGATCTCGATCTTCGCAGGGTGAGTATTGAAGGCCTAGCTCCTAGGGAGACCTGGGGCAGAGGTGGGGAGAGAAGGAATAATCAGGGTGAATGTTGCAGTGCTACTGCGGTCACTTGTAAGGGTGAACGACTGCCATGGTGCTGCAATATTTGTAATTTTAGGATTCGCTTGTAAGCACTAGGGGACGCTTATCACGTAACTTCGAATGTTGGCTAAGGGAACGCTCGCAACTCGGGGATTACCTATACTCCCTTCCCCAGTCCTGCCCACATTCTTCCTTAACTGCTAAAACAAATGGCTTCTTTCCAAAGGGGAAAAAGTGCCAATATGTTTTTCTTTGTAGGGCTAACAACACCTGAGAACATTTTAATCAGATTGAGATATAGGAATGTTATTACCTTTTTGTTTCCTGTTCACAACTGTCATCGACTATCTTAGTCTGTATAAAAATTATATCGCTTGATCTTCAGATATTTAACTTAAAAACTAGTTAAACTAGTTACAAATCTAGAAAGCTTTTAAACGCGTGTTGAGATCAATTTATTGTATATTAAAATCTATACTCTGGTCTAAATTAAGTTCCAGAAAAAACAATTTGCATTAATCCAATCAAATATTAATATAATAGTTGTTTCAGTATTTATTCATATCACTCACACATACCCTGTCATAAAACCTGAGCAATTTTCTGACACTGATTTATGAATGTTGTTTTTGGAAGTTGCTTTTTTATACTGTTTAAAAATGAGTATGCTTTCCTCCAGTTAGTTAATGTATTATCTGCTCTATTTCATTATGATATTTCTATAACTTTGTGCTGATGTTTTCTGTTTAGAGCTTTATTGTCATTTCTTTTCCCATCTTTTTTATATGGACCCAAGTAATTTCAGTTGCTGTGCTGTTTAATAGCATGACTTGTTCTTTCACCTTAAAGAAAGCTGTTGATTGGTAAACACCTGTTCATTTAAAAAAAATATTGATTCAATAAGATAAGAGAACTTTAGGAGCATAGGGTTTTTTTGCCATGAGTTGATCCCAAAATTCCATTTGCATTTAGGTGTTGGAACTTATCTGTACCCGTGAATCTGGTGCTGTGTTTGAAGCTGGAGGGTTGAACTGTGTGCTGACATTTATTCGTGATAGCGGGCATCTTGTTCATAAAGATACTTTACATTCTGCTATGGCTGTGGTATCCAGACTTTGTGGAAAAATGGAACCACAGGATTCTTCTCTAGAGATCTGTGTTGAATCCCTTTCAAGTCTATTAAAACATGAAGATCATCAGGTAAACAGTTAGTAATCTTGATGACCTATGTGATTCCTTAATTATAAATTAAATTATAAATAAATAAATAAACTGTTATTAGCTTGGAAGCATTACTGAATATTTATTAAGATAATATTTATAACACATATTACTGTACTTTTGTTGAAAGCAGTGTACATGTTTTTTTCATCTCCACTTATTACCCCACAATAATTCCATGCTAGAAACGCTTGAGGTATCACACTCATGGTTATATGTGTCTTATCAGAAACTGTTTCTGTTTAAATCCTATTGGTTATACATTGTGAATTGCAAAACTATCTTGATCATTTTTTTCTTTTCTCATTAGAGAAAAGACAGTGCATAAAAAAGGTAGCTATTTAGGAAGAATTTAAATAAGGTCATATCCCTACTGTTGGACAGAACAAAGATGGAGGGCAAACTTGGGGAAAAATACTTTTGTTTCTCTTGCTTGGTGAATTGTTGGAATGGGTCACAAGAAAAATATTAGGAATAAGCAAGGATTCTGTAGCTGAACATAATCAATTGTGAACCTACAAACTAGTAGCTTTAAGGATATAGTCTACAGCAGCAGTAGAATATGTAAAGAATGTCTGAGCGTAGTCTCGAGTAAGTATAATTTGCTATACTAAATAAGAATCCTGAAAGAACTTGTCTCGTGGTTCTTTGAGAATAATCATATATGTATCTATTTCCTTCAGGTTTCTGATGGTGCACTGAGATGTTTTGCTTCACTAGCTGATAGATTTACTCGCCGTGGAGTTGATCCAGCACCATTAGCCAAACATGGACTAACTGAAGAGCTGTTATCTCGTATGGCTGCAGCAGGTGGTACTGTTTCAGGACCATCTTCAGCATGTAAACCTGGCCGGAGTAGCACAGGGGCACCAACTGCAACAGCAGACTCTAAATTAAGTAATCAGGTGTCAACTATAGTAAGCCTGTTATCAACTCTCTGCAGAGGCTCTCCGGTAGTAACACACGTAAGTGTTCTTGGGATACTGTTAAGTAATAGTTTAAAAAATAATGACATCTATGTCACATTTGTACATTCTAAAAACTATAGTTGAGAAACAATGACTTTCATATTGTTATTGTAATTACACATTGTAATTTCTCAGTATGTTAATTTAAAAAGTTAACCAGTTGCAATTGATTTATATATAAAACCTTGGCTTTTTTTGGATGGTGATCTAATCCCTTTCTCACTGGATCTTCTGAAGTTAAATTTTTATTGTTCACACTTTCAATTATTTCTAGGATCTCCTAAGATCTGAGCTTCCAGATTCTATAGAAAGTGCATTGCAGGGCGATGAAAGATGTGTACTTGATACCATGCGTTTGGTAGATCTTCTTCTGGTATTACTGTTTGAAGGACGGAAAGCATTGCCAAAATCAAGTGCTGGGTCCACAGGAAGAATCCCAGGACTTCGTAGATTGGATAGTACTGGGGAACGTTCCCACCGGCAATTGATAGATTGCATTCGTAGTAAAGATACTGATGCTCTAATAGATGCTATTGACACAGGAGGTAAGCAAACTGTTCTTTTTCGATATAACTTTTAGTTGACCAGGACTTTTTAATAAGACTGACTATACAGTGGTACCTTGGTACTAGACATTAATTGGTACTGGGAGGCGCGACAAGTACTAAAAAGGAGTACCAAATAAACCATGTCTCCCTTTGTTTCAGCCGGGAAGGACTTCCTATTTGCTGTCCCTTTTCCTGTGTCAGTGATCTTCCCAACAAGTCTGCCCTCTGTGGCCATCCCCCACTTTCTTTAGCAGTGACCTTCCTGGCATGGCCTACTTTCTGCCCATTCCCACAGCCCTCCACCTCTTCCTATCACAGTGTGTGGAGTACCAAACAAACAAGTACCGGGACAACATTTTCGCATCAAAAAGTATCAGGGTACCACGTGTGTCTTAATTTTAAAAAAAAGAGTTTATAGGTTTGCATGATGTGCAGGATACAAGCTGAAAATTAATGTTTGTTGTGTTAATTTCATTAAATAGAGCAAGTTTTTTTCTCCTTTTCCGCAGCTTTTGAAGTAAATTTTATGGATGATGTAGGACAGACCCTCTTAAACTGGGCCTCAGCTTTTGGAACTCAAGAAATGGTAAACATGGAATAAAATAATGGGGTTAACATTTTTTCATAGGGAGAATGTATAAATAAACCTAACCTGTTGTTCTTATATAAAACAGGTTGAATTTCTCTGTGAACGGGGTGCTGATGTGAATAGGGGTCAAAGATCATCATCTTTACATTATGCAGCATGTTTTGGAAGACCACAGGTAGCAAAGGTGAATTTTATAGTAACCATTTGGCTATTGCTCTACTTTTTTAAATAATGCAACAATAGAAATAAATTAACCTACCGATGTTCCTTTCTAAAGCGAACCTAAATTTGATTTAAGTAGATCAAATACTTCATGTGATGTACAATTTGAAAGAATTTTGTTTTATTGATTGCTCATTCATGATGCACCTGTTCATTCAGGCTTCTTGTTTTGTTCACTGATAGGTTCCTTATCAGCTGTCACAATTACAGTGATTTAAATTTATTTTCATACATCATCTGAAATATCTCCAAACGCTATACTTTGTAATATGTACATTGCTATCACTGCCTCTCGATAAAAATTCCTTTTGAAATGATGCCTGTTTCAAGAGTTCTGCTTTCTTGGGAGGATTAGCTGAGGCAGGATCTCACATTAAGCAAGATCTAGTATTTTCCCATGTGAAATTAAATCTTTTTCAAATAAAGTTTAGTAATAAACATTTGATTCCTTGTAGACTCTTTTGAGACATGGTGCTAATCCAGATTTGAGAGATGAAGATGGAAAGACTCCTTTGGACAAAGCTCGTGAAAGAGGACATAGTGAAGTAGTTGCTATTCTTCAGTCTCCAGGTTAGTGTGAAAAGTTGCTAATCTATTTTTTCTTAAAATTCAAGTTCAGTATGTGAATATCAAAATGCATTCAGTTAGCATATTGTAAAATGTAATTAGACTGATTTGTTTATTGTTTAGAGTTTGAAATACTGATTGTCCCAATCAGTGATATCTACCATTGCCTTGACAGTTCTGAAACAACATAGGAATCATGAACCTTCATCTGATATTGAATGATTTGAACTGTGAGGGGAAAAAATATGTAAAACATAATTTGGGGAGGAAATTTTGTTAGTTCAGTTTGACATTTCTGAAAGTGCAGTTCAGACATAGTAATACAATTACTAGTCAACAGTATGATGATTAAAATAACGATATGATTGCCTTTTTATGGTACCAGTTGTCAAATGTATGAACTGGCTAATTTATATTTTTTTCTAATTATTTGTTTATTTTTTAATTTATTAGTTTTTATAACTGCTATACTGTATTAGAGCATCTCTTTGCAGTGTACATATTACAAAGTATCTAAACATATAGTACCCATAATATAAAAATACAATTATTACAAAAATTAAAAATAGTAACAAAGCAATGTAAACATATACTGTATATGGAATTCCCTCAAAATACTATATTTAAAATGCCCTCAGAAAAGTTCTGTTTTAACTTGCTTCTATAATGAAAATAATGTTTTTGATATTCATATTGTAAAATACCCAGTGAGAACTGGGAGTTGAGTGGCATATAAATTGTTGTTGTTCTTGTTAGTGTTATAGCTGGTCTAGTTTCCTGGGAGAGGCTTTTCCACAGTGTAGGTGCCATTACTGAAAAACATCTCCTTCTGATCTCAGTTTTTCTAGCTTCACAGAAGTAAAGAACTACAAGTAATTTTGGGGTAATTCAGTTCCAGTTAAATTACATGGTCTTGAAGATAGCTCAACACCAAATCATGGAGAGCTTTATAAGTTAGAACCATTCTTTTGAATTGCACCCAGAAACAATTGGGTCTATAACACAGGTCCCATAATGCAGAGATAGTGCTGTTAGCATATAGGGCCCATTAACACAGAGATCACTGCATTTTATACCAAATGCAGTTTCTGAGTCACCTTTAAAGGCAGTCCTATTCAGATCACTTTACAATAGTCTAATTGACTGGCACTGTCCACTGAGGAATCCCTGGAACTACTGGAACACAGTTTCCTCAAATCTTACAGTTACTCCAGAAAAATAGTATGGTTGATGGAATCAGAAACTACTGAAAAATGAACCAGAAGGTCCAGACAAAGGTAATCAACTGGTGTAAGCAGGGGTGTTTCTGTCTTATACTCAGCTCTGAATTCTGTCAGAAAATGGTGTGAAGTTTATTCAGTTCAGAATGTCTAAGTAGTTTGCACTAATCAGTACAACTAAACAAAATGCTTTTTAAAAACCTTTGATAGAAATTTCTTTAAACAAATTGTAGGTGACTGGATGTGTCCAGTTAACAAAGGAGATGAAAAGAAAAAGAAAGATGCCAACAAAGATGAAGACGAATCAAATGAGCCCAAAGGTGATCCAGAAATGGCACCAATATACTTGAAAAGACTGTTACCTGTGTTTGCACAGACATTCCAGCAAACTATGCTGCCTTCAATAAGGTAAAAAAGAAGGAAAAGGCTCTTTCATGGATGTGAATTGAAATATGCCATAAGACTCAGATTAATATTATTCTGACTAAAAAAAAGACTTTCAGCTTGCTGATTATTTCTCTCAAATTACCATATTACTTATGCTTATTGTTACCCTAATACTCAAGTTTAATTTTGAGTTGTCATAGCTTGTATCCCAATGTTACTCTATAAAGACATATGTAGGTAACCATGTGTGAGAAGAGAAAAATAGCAATGGAATGAAGCAATGGTGTGTCTCTGAATAGCTCTTAACTGGCTGGGATAAAAATCTGATTTCAGTTGAGAGTAATATAAAGCAAGTAAATTGGCTTTAAATTCAAAACTTAGTATGTAATTCCCAGAAATATTTTCCCTCTTAATTTTAAAATATGCTGTTTTTTCTTGTATAGAAAAGCTAGTCTTGCTCTCATCAGAAAAATGATTCACTTTTGTTCTGAAGCTCTTCTCAAAGAGGTTTGTGACTCAGACGCTGGACATAATTTACCTACAATATTGGTTGAGATTACTGCTACTGTTCTAGATCAAGAGGTACTTCATTTTTATATATTTTATTTTCTTCTAGCAATGTGCAAAACAATATAAATTTGAAAGTCTCTGTTATGAGTTTGAAAAAGGCAATTTCAATTATTTTGGAAGTAATAATAATAATAAAGTTGGAAGGGACCTTGGAGGTCATGTAGTCCAACCCCCTGCTCAGGCAAGAAACCCTAACCATTTCAGACAAATGACTGTCCAGTCTCTTCTTAAAAACTTCCAGCGTTGGGGCATTCACCACTCCTGGAGGCAGGTTGTTCTACTGGTTAATTGTTCTAACTATCAGGAAGTTTCCCCTTCGTTCTAGGTTGCTTCTCTCCTTGATTAGTTTCCATCCGTTGCTTCTTGTCCTGCCTTCAGGTGCTTTGGAGAATAACTTCACTCCCTCTTCTTTCTGTCAGCTCCTTAGATATTGGAACACTGCTATCATGTTTCCCCCCCCCCCCCCGTCCTTCTCTTCATTAAACTAGACACACCCAATTCCAGCAACCGTTCCTTATATGTTTTAGCATCCAGTCCCCTAATCATCTTTGATGCTCTTCTCTGTACTCTTTCTAGAGTCTCAACATCTTTTTTACATCGTGGTGACCAAAACTGGAAATGGTATTCCAGCTGTGGCCTTACCAAGGCATTGTAAAGTGGTATTAATATTTCACGTATTAAGTATTTAAGCTTCTCAAACGGTCAAATAGTCTCAATATGAAACAGCTGTTTTATGCACAAAATTAAATTCAAATTCAAAATGTTTTGCGCTTCATTTTTTGAATGTCTATAATTTTGTGCTATAAAAGTATATACATTATATAGAAATTAATAATAAAAATTCAGTCACTGCCAATCAAGTAAGAAGATATATCTCAATGAATTGATATGGATGAATCCATCTGAGGTATCAGTTGAAAGTAATTTTGAGCAACTTTTAGGTAGACCTCATTTAGTGGCTATCTTGGGCATTTTGAAATTATGACCATTTGAAGTTATGACCATGATGAAAAAGTTACTTATGACCGTTGCAGCATCTCTCTCAGTCACATGTTCACCAATATAGTACTTTTTTTTACCCTCGCAGAGAGATTGCTTAACAAGCAATCTGTTCTTGAGCTTTTTTTCTCTATCTCAGTGCTTTCCCAAAATATGCTAACTACAAGAAAACAAGCTCAGTTCTTGACTTTAATTAGCCGGCTCCCTACTGCTACTGACAAGACTTCAATCTCTTTCATACTTTCTGGCTTTGTTTACCTCCTAAGCAGTCCAAAGCTGCCAGGTAAATAGCCACTGCTATCATAGTCCTTTCAATATATATTCCTTACTGTGTGTCCGTTTACTCTCTTATAATCCCTTTCTCTCCAATGAATGTAATTTCAAGCAATTCCCCTCTTGCTAATTATTACAGCAACTGGGTAAACATTCAAAAAAGTGGGGAAATGGCGGAAAAGGAAAGTTGAAGTAAAATCATCAGTACAGTTGGGGTCATGTGATTTTTTTCACTTAGTGACTACATAACTTAGGGACCAAGTTGCTGGTCCCAACTGTGATTGCTAAACAGGGACTGTATATAGCTTGCATATATCATATAAGAATCATACAAAAATACAAGGCTTGCCTCCAGAAGTTGTGGGTCAACTATCACTGGAGGTTTTTAAGAAGAGATTAGACAACCTTTGTCTGGAATGGTATAGGATTTCCTACTAGCGCAGGGGTTTGGACTAGAAACCTTCAAGGTTCCTTCTAACTCTATTATTCTCCAGCACTGGAGATGGAGACTCCACCAATGGGTTTAGACTGTGTTCCTGCCCAATCAGATCAAGTCAGCCAAACTTGCCACGCCTGTCCTGGACTGGGGTGTCCCAGTCTCGACTTGATCTTGCCCAGGACAGACGTGCAAGTTTGGCTCATAGGCAGGTACACTTCCCATTGGTGGATTTTCCCTTTTTTTCCACAGTCTTCTGAGCAGCGCTGTAATCAGTGCTGTTTTCAGCCTGACTGTTCTCCAGAACAATTTATCCTCACCTTCCCTGAGGAACGGAGGTTTCCGTTCCTCTTTCCTTCACAACAGGGGTTTCAAGCTGAAGGGAGCTTTCTCCCTTCTGCAAGGAGGATTACTTTCTCCTTTTCAGGCAGCACTGGGATCAGTGCTGCAGTTCATCTCCTCCTTTGTCCTCAAGGCTCGTTTTCAGCTTCCCTCCCTTTAAAAAGTCTGGGGCTGGAACTCTAGCTTCGGAACACCCGCGCAAGCCACAAGTGGCCGTTTGAGGCTAGCGCATGTTTGCATAGCCGCTTCTGCTGCTTTTCCGAGAATTTGGAGCCTCTTTGTTTTCCGGAGCCTGCGGCTGCAGCTCCAAAGCTGGAAAAGCACACAGGCTGAAAACAGCCTTCTGAGGATAGTGCGCATTCGAAAAGGGGCCATTTCTTACATTTCAGACCTCTGCCTTTACGTTTGCAACCTTTCCTCCTTTTGGTGACTGCGGCTGCAGTCCTATTGACTGGGTGCGCGCAAGCCAAAAATGGCCGTTTGAGGCTAGCTCGCGTCCGGATAGGTATAAGGACAGGTTTTTTTGCTATACTCAGAGGACCCCAAGGGGAGAACGGGGGAGGCAATGCAACTAGCCTCCCTTATCAAAGACCACCGATTGTAGCCCCCTCGCGCGGCCGCCATCTTGTGGCCTACACAAGGCCCATTTCGTAGCTCCCTCATGCGGTCGCCATCTTGAGGCTTACACAGGGCTCATTTCACCTCAGCAGCCACCATTTTGAGGCCTGCACAGGGTGGCCTTGCCTCGTTGTCCACCAATTTAAGGCCTGTGCGGCCTTTGTTCTCGTGTGCTTGGGACGCTCACGAAGGGGGGAGGGGGATTCCTCTTTCCAACTGACCTCCCTCTCTCCCAGTCATTTAAGGGACCCAGCATGACCGCCATTTTGGAAGACACCTAGGCCACATCCACTAAGGCCTGCAGGCCTGGTAACCACCCCCAACAGGTGCAAACAGAGTTTACTCTCTAATCTGTTGATTCTTCAGGTAGATTTAAGTATGTCATCTAGGTCTCAGGCCCTGGCTTGATGTCTCCCTACCTGGTCACCTTGAGGCGGGCAGGGCAGTGCCTACTGTGACATCACATGGGATTTCGCCGTCCTGCAAGCCCACGCACTGCGCACGCTGTGTTGCCACTCTCCACGTAGCTGGCCGGCAACAACAGCGGCTGCCCACACGTCCAGTCAGCCAGATAGCTCCGGACTGGTGACCAGGGGGGCACGGCGACCAGCACATCCCCTGCCCTTGACTTCCTCCCTCCTGCCTACATGGCATCTGGATACCAGGAATACCCTATCGTGCACCTGAATTTATTCTCCCTCCCGCCTACGCAATATCTGGATACCAGGTGTACCCTATCTTGCACCTGAGTTCATCCACAAGAATGGAGGGTACTAGGACTGTCACAAAGGATGTCTTACCGACTTCATCGGTCCCAAAACGGCGCAAATCCTCCAATCAGGAGGCCGCAGGCAGGATTTCGGCCAAGGCCAAATCTGTGGAAAAAAACCTCCAAAAGGGCGGAGAAGCAGGCCACCAGGAGACACCAGGGCCTAGAGAAAGAGTTCTCTAAAGCACAACAGCAAGCCAGGATAGAGGCTAAACAAGCCGAAGTGCCTCTCTTCGATTTGCCCCTGGGTCCCTCCACCTCTGCCCAGGGAGTTTGGTCAATAGGGGAGCTTATTTCCTCTCCGATACCTAGTGACCCAGCCGGCTCTTACCCCAGGTCTCAGCCTCCCGCTCCACGGGCCCAACTCTCAGCCTCTGAAGCCACCTTCACCCCACTGCGGCTGGGCTCAGAGCAACTGAATCAGCCTCCTTTCCCATGGAGGACTGCCTACAAGCATTGATCGCACAGGTGGTAGTGTGTGCTCTAGAGGCCAGGGCGCAAGCACCTAGGCCAGATTCGGTCATTTCCCCTCCGATTCATCAATCGGTTTCTGCGGCTTTCCTTGCGTCTTCTTCCCCTTCTCAGTCCTCTTATTCAGAGGCCTCATTTTCTCGCAAGTACAATGCTAAACTGGAGGTCCCATGGTCAGAGGAGGAGGAACCCTCCCCAGAAGCACCATCGTTTGGCGGTTTGTTTAACCCTTCCTTTTTTTGTTTCCCTGCTCCGCAAGGCCAGCTCCACAGCTCATATCGGACCTGATTGCTCGGCACCAGTATCGTCGACCACTCTTGACTCGGAGGCGGACCCGGTCTTCACCGAACCGGTAACGACCCAACACCGTATACCTTGTCCGCTCATGTTTCTAAACGCGATCCACAAATAGTGGGCCTCCCTGGGCACCTTTCCTCTCCCCTGTGGGAATGAGAAAAGGCTCTTCAACGTGGCCCAAGACCTGACCAATGCCCTGGAGGTGCCCACGGTGGACGAGCCTTTAGGTCCCTTTGTATCCCCCACTGCCGTTTCTGGCGATATATCTGAGGCTCTCAAGGCTGAGGATCGCAGATGGGAGCTCATGTTCCGCAGGGCCTATCAAGCTGGGGCATGGGCTATCAGAGCATCTACCTCTGCATCCTTTTTTAATAGGTCCGCTCTCCTCTGGCTTAGACAGCTTCAGGCCAGGATTCCGGCGAAGGATATCCGCATGCATCAGGACCTGAGCAAGCTGGTGGCGGCTGTGGAATATGCTTCCGATGCCACACTAGACGCCGCCAGATTTTCCTCCAGGGCTATGGCATCCAACGTTACTGTACGCCGTATGCTCTGGTTGAAGCACTGGCAGGCTGATGCCAAATCCAAATGGCGCTTATCAGGAGCCCTTTATCAAGGGGGAAAGCTGTTTGGGGAAGCTCTCAAACCATAGCTCTGATAAACAGGCCAACCCTTACACTCGGAGGCAGTCCTTTTGAGCAAGAGCTAGATCCAGCTATTCCCATTCCAACCGCCCCTTTCCTATCAGACAGGACAGACAGCCTGACAGACCCAGGCAATAGTTCCAGGGCAAACAGCCCTTTCGCAGGAGCGGCCGCCAATTTCCCCAGTCCAAGTGACTCGGGTGGATCCTCCCATCAGGGACAGACTTTCCCTCTTTGCCAACCAATGGGAGGCCACCACCACAGATGCCTGGGTTCTGAACACCATCTGTCACTGACTGTCCCTGGAGTTCATCTCCAACCCGCCAAACCGTTTCCTTTCTTGTTCTCACTTAAGGAATCCCACAAAGAAAAAACTGATGCAAGAGGCCATTCGTCACCTCTTGAGCATCACGGCCATAGAACCGGTGCCGTTGGATTAGAGAGGTCGGGGATTTTACTCCATTCTCTTCATCGTCCCCAAAACCTCGGGGGGATGGAGAGCTATACTAGACCTAAAAGGGTTAAACTATCATCTTGCATACTGAAAATTCAAGATGCAAACGCTCCAGTCCATCTTGGGAAGCGTAAGAAAAGGGGACTTCCTGATATCCATCGACCTCACGGAAGCATATCTCCATATCCCCATCTCTCTCAACCACCTCTGGTTTCTAAGGTTCGCCTACAAAAGCCACCATTACCAGTACAAGGCACTTCCATTCGGCCTTTCCTCAGCCCCAAGAGTCTTTATCAAGATCCTGGCGATTCTAGCAGCTCACCTGAGAATGGTGCCGGTCAGAGTCCAGTGTTACCTGCACGACATTCTGATCTAGTCATTGTCGATCCAGGCCGCTCAGTCGGATCTCGAACTGGTGACATAGCTGCTCCAGAGTCATGGGTTCTCGGTAAATTTCTCCAAGAGCCACAACCAGGCTACAACACCTAGGGGCCATCAAAGACACGTTGGAATGTCGGGTCTATCTATCCCAGGAGCGCCGGGAGAGCATATGGGAGTTGGTTCTTCAGACACGCAGAAGCCAAATAGTGACATTGGCTAGCCTCTCCCAATTGCTAGGGAAGATGATTTCGGCCATAGCAATTGTACCCTGGGCCAGGCTCCACTCTAGGATCCTCCAGTGGTTCCTCCTCCCCTTCCATAGACTGAACATCAGTTCCTCCAATCGAAGGGTGAGAGTCCTGCTTCAAGTCTCGCGCTCCCTCCAGTGGTGGCTCTCGTCGGCCATGCTCAAGGGGTCCTACTTCAAGGAACCTGATCGCCTCACACTTACGACCGATGCCAGGCTGTTCTGCTGGGAAGCGCACCTTCACTCACAGTGGGTCCAAGGCCGATGGTCCCACTCCGACCTTCGGCACAATATCAACTGGCTGGAGCTCAGGGCCATACACCTGGCACTCCGTCAATTCTGCAGCACAGTGGTGAAGCGCCACGTATTGGTCCTCACGGACAATGTAGCGGCGAAGGCCCATGTGAACCGGCAAGTGCACTCTTAACCGAGGCCCTTCTACTGGGCTCCTGGGCAGAGACCAATCTTGCCTTCATCAAAGCCGACCACATATCAGGAAAGGCGAACAGACAGGCAGACTTCCTGAGTAGGTCGATGGTGGACCATTCAGAATCGCGTCTCCATCCAAGCTTATTCAAGGAGATCTCCCACCGCTTCGGATTACCAGTCCTAGATCTCTTTGCCTCTCCGACCAACGCTCACTTACCAAGGTTTTTCTCCCATTTCCCATCTCTAGGGGCAGAACGGACGAATACCCTTCAGAGTCCGTGGCTGGAGGGATTGCTCTATGCCAGGGCTTTTCAACCAGTGGTATGGGTACCACCTGTGGCACATTGGCACCTGGCAGGTGGTACACGACCATCCTAGAAAAGTAGTGGGGGAGGGGAATGAGCTGAACCGGTGGCAGCATCACCACACAAGCCTGAGTGAGAGATGGCTGGAGCGCCAGGATCAGCGCCAGGCTCCACCTGGAGCTCGGCGCTAATCCTGGAGCTTCTGCTGAGCCCAGAAGAAGCACTGATCAGCTGGAATGTTGCAGCATCTCCAAGGTCTTGTGATTTACATTCAGATGCTTGGCAACTGAGTCATATTTATGATGGTCACAGTGTCCCAGGGTCATGTGAAGTGACCAAAACCTGCTGCAAAACCTCCCCCTAGCAGATGGGGGAAATAAACACCAAACACCCCCCCACCCCACCCCCGCTGCCAATCTTCAACAGAAATTCTCACAACCATGAAAACCTCGGACAGGAGGAAGCGCGCTGCCAAGTGGGCAGGCAGGTGTCTTGCTCGGCTGTGGCTTGGGGGGCACTTTTTTCAATGCCACTGTAACTTCAAACAGTCACTAAGCAAACTGTTGTAAGTCGAGGACTACTGTACTTTTTTCCTTTTTTTTTTTTAGTCATCAAGTTTTTGACACCTTGCTAGGCGACTGGTGGTACTCAGATGTTGCCCTATCCTAAAAGTGGTACAATGGGTGAAAAGGTTGAAAAGCCCTGCTCTATGCCTTTCCCCCTCTTCCTCTTCTTCCGGCGTTTGTCCGTAAGCTCCTTCAGGAGAGGGTGGAGGGTCTTCTAGTGGCCCCGTACTGGCCGCGAAAACCATGGTTTGCTGACCTTGTGAACCTTTCCATAGCGGCCCCATGGAAAATTCCTCCGGGCCGGGTCTCCCTCAGCCAGGGGACCCTCTTTCATCCGGATCCCCAATGGCTCCAGTTAGCCGTTTGGCACTTGAGCGCAGGGTCTTAGCCCAGGAATCCTGCTCGCCAGGTGTCAAAAACTTGATGACTAAAAAAAAAAAGGAAAAAAGTACAGTAGTCCTCGACTTACAATCGAGGCCTCCAGGCCTCCCGTTGGCCCTCTACTAACCAGATTTATGAGGCCACGTGGAGAAATTTCTGTTCGTGGTGCACGACTCATCACTTGTCCATTTCTGACTTAACGATTTCAAATATTTTGGATTACCTTCTGGAGGGTCTGGAGAGGGGCTTGGCTCCAAATACATTGCGCAGACAGGTTGCTGCTCTCTCCACAATACTGACCTGTGACACTGCAGTGTCCCTTAGTCAACATACGTTGATTCACTCATTCATCAAGGATGCCACAAACGCCAAGCCCCCTGTAGTGCATAGGTACCCCTCTTGGGAACTGCCGTGGGTTCTCCGGGCTCTCACCAAACCGCCCTTTGAGCTTCTCTGGACGTGTGATATGCGATACTTATCGCACAAGGTTGCCTTCCTAGTGGCAATTACTTCTGCGCGGCGGATATCAGAATTAGCGGCACTTTCTACCAGGGATGATCTATGCATCTTTCACCGGGACCGAGTGGTCCTTCGTCTAGATCCTACCTTTCTTCCTAAAGTCAATTCTCTATTCCACGGGGCTCAGGAAATCGTGCTTCCAGATTTCTGCCCTAATCCATCGCATGCTCTGGAACGGCAGTGGCACCTTCTGGACATGCGCAGAGCACTCCATTACTACATCTCACAAACAGCTGTCTTCTGAAATTCTGAAACCCTCTTCGTTTCTTTCCATCATTCTTCCAAGAGTCGGAAGGTATCCTCCTCCACGATTGGCAGGTGGATCAGGGCGTGTATTGCGGAGGCGTACCAGTCTGAATCATTGCCGGTTCCACGACGTGTCACGGCCCACTCAACCCGTAGTGCAGCTATTTCTGCGGCTTGGGCCACTCAGGCGTCTATCGAGGACTTTTGTAGGGCGGCCACATGGTCTTCACCATCGCCCTTTATTCGCCATTATAAGATAGACAGGTTCGCCTCGGCGGAGGCCTCCTTTGGCAGGAGGGTTCTCCAACAGGTTGTACCTCAAGATATCATACCAGACCGGCCTGCTCCCCTCCTTCAGGGACAGTATGCTTTGGTATGTCCCATTGGTGGATTCTCCATCTCCAGTGCTGGAGAAGGGGCGTTGTCTTACCTGAACGCCTTTTCTCATCACGGAGATGGAGAATCCACTCCTGCCCTCGCAGGTCTTTTAGGCCTAGGGTTAGTTTCAGGAGCCAACACGTCTTGCTGTCAGTCATTGGCTTCACCCGCGTCGAGACTGGAACACCCTAGTCCAGGACAGGCGTGGCAAGTTTGACTGACTTGATCTGATTGGACAGGAACACAGTCTAAACCATTGGTGGATTCTCCATCTCCGTGCTGAGAAAAGGCGTTCAGGTAAGACAGGGCCCCTTCTATTTCACTTCTGCGATTGGTGTTACTTTTGTACTGCTTACATGATAGATGAAACTTCTAGTTTTATTTTAGTTTGTTGTGCAAAGAAGCCCAAAGCTTTTTGATTTGTGTGCCCCTCTGTACCAAAGTATTCCTAGCATTCAGGTTGTTAGAATAATCATTACTACCAGCTTGCTTAAGAATTTCTGTTTGTTAGTTTCATGTAATCAATGTTAATTTTAATTGTACATCAAATCATGAAGAAATTGCTGAGGAGTTTTTTCTTTCTATGTTACTTTTGCAGGATGATGATGATGGCCATTTATTAGCTTTGCAGATCATAAGAGATTTGGTGGATAAAGGAGGTGATCTTTTCTTGGACCAACTTGCTAGACTTGGTGTAATAAGTAAAGTATCATCTTTGGCTGGACCATCTTCAGATGATGAGAATGAAGAAGAGTCTAAACCAGAGAAAGTACGAATTTGATCCAGTTATTTAGCCATAGTTCTAATAAATGTTTGAAATTTAAAAATATTGAATTCAGTGACAAATACAGAGAATTCTGATAATGGCTTTGCTTTACTTATAGGCAAAGTATCATGCAAGAGGACCTGTATTTATGCAGCAAGATGATGTTCTCTCATATTTCTGTTTTGAGGGCAGGTCTAGATTTTCAGAACATGCTTGGGAAAATTTATTTCTTTAATTGTGATAAGTTGGTTCTAAAGTGAATGGCACAATCTTATGTTACAATTCAGAATAGTTGTGTGGAGGGAAACTATGCTGATTTAATAGTCATATTAGAGGGAGCTCCATTGGGAAAGAAAATAATTCAGGTAATGCAGTTGTCTGCCTCAGGGTTAAACTATAGAACCCTAGTCTTAACTTTTAGTAATGAAATACATGCTGATTTGAAATAGAATTCTTGGAATTAGTCATAAATTCTGCTAGAGAAGCAATTTATACTGATGTAAGGTAGAGGCTTGTAAGGTAGAGGCAAGCAATTTAATGAAACCAATATATTTTTGATTTTTCTAAGTTCATTTAACATATGCTGATTGGTAAATGATACAGTTCTGGTCCAAAAGCTACCATGTTAAGGAAAACTTAGTACTCTGTTCTATATGAAACCTAAAACTATATTAACTGTTTACCTTTCAAAAAGGAAGCTTTGCAAAATGCATTGGTTTGTATTTTATTAATGTTTCTGCTTCTTAATCTATACTTGGAAGAAAGCATATGAAAGATAGAATTGAAATATATCCATAATGTGCTTTTTAGATGTACTTTCTTAAATATACCATAGTACTTCTTCAAATTATGGTTGCTTATAGAAATTCAGAGGTTTTCTGCAAGAAAGGTGCCTGTAGATAATCTTGCTGTTTTTTATCATTTATAACTGATTATATAGAAATCTATATTATATAGCATAATATACAGTGAAATATAACTTGATGAACCTGCTAATATAAAGTGATTGATTTGCCAGTTCCCTTTTTCATTCAGTTTCTTATATTTACCAGTAAAAAGTTTCCCTTTTTATCAATTCGTTGTTTTTTATAAGTTATTTGAACATTTATGCTAATCTTTCTGAGACATGCATTTTGTCTGATCGTTAGTACTTTTTTATTTATAGACTGCATTATAAAATTGGTAAAAACTGCAAAATTGTACTTGTAAAGTTCAGAAAATGCAAATTGAGTTAGTTTGCATTAAAATTGGTGTTTTTTTTTAAATATATGTACATTCAAGTACTCTAATAATCTTGATTTACAGGAAGATGAACCTCAAGAAGATGCCAAAGAATTGCAGCAGGGTAAACCCTATCACTGGAGAGATTGGTCAATTATTAGAGGAAGGGACTGCCTATATATTTGGAGTGATGCTGCAGCCCTGGAACTTTCAAATGGAAGCAATGGATGGTTCAGATTTATTTTGGATGGGAAGCTAGCTACAATGTATTCCAGCGGTAGTCCTGAAGGAGGATCTGACAGTTCAGGTACAATCTTGTTCTCAAGTAATATTTTAAAAAGTTAATTACAAATTACTTTTTATATGTTTGATTTTGAGATGTTCTATTTTACAGGAATTGCCTCCCTAAATAGTAAAGGATGTAAACAGGTGGAAGGTGGTCAGTGATGCTTTTGTCAAATTGGCATGTAACAGTAACTTCTAGTAACTCTGTTCAGTGAACATCGTAGTTTCATGTTTTCATTCTTTTCCATGCATACTAATATTAAACAATCATAAAAGATAATGTGTAAGAATGATAAACTGCATTCCAGGTAGAAGAAATTGGAATGATGTGGCTTGCATCTAGCTAGCAGAATGAAATGCATGTATGTGTGATAAGTAGTATAAACTCCCTCAGCCAAATTTAAATTGTGACAAACATTCAGCAGAAATGTTTCATACTGAATTTTACTAAGCCATCTGTAATTTTTAAACTTAATAGATATTGCCTGCTGTCTCCTTTTAGTAGTTTTTTATAATTGCAACAACTAATTTTTAAATATTAGGAAATAATAAAAATAGCGTGCAATGGAACTATAGAATTGCTGTACAATAATTGAAGATTCAAATTCTCAGGAAATGACTTTTCCCATGATGTGAAGCTAAAAGAATACTTTGAGGATTGATTCTGAATAATTTTGTGTTTAATAACTGAATTCAGTTTTAGAGATATTAGGAAATACTTTAATTCCCAAGTGATGCTGGCGTGTAAGTGTGTTTGGACAACCATCTAGCTTCAAGGCTAGTCCTATACTCACCTAGTACAGGAGACAGACTCTACTAGACTGTATGTGTGGTATGTCTGAATAAAATAGCTGTCTCACAATTTGGTACAATTATTCTAGTTCTGAGAAGAATTTTCATTACATTTTTGCATACGTCAGAATATGTTTTCAATTCATTTCAGGTAGAGTTATGTCTTTGTTCATTCCTTAGGTTAAGCTGAGTCCTTTATGCACTAAGCCAAAAACAAATGAAACCATAGTATGCCTTAGTCCTGTGTATGAATCTTGTCAAAAGTGGGAATCTCTCAGTGTTTTTCTGCGAGAGAAAATAGACCACCAAAAACAGTAAATTATAAACCCTTGAAAGGTTCCCTAGAAATAAAAACCTGTGTAGTCAAAATAACAATAACAATAGCAATCAACAATAGTCCATCAGCCTTTAGATGGAAAACATAGGTGGGAGATCTTTATAGTAAGTAGATCACATTGGAAGCTGTTACTATAGAGCACATAATGCTGCTTTCAGATTTTCCATAAATCAATCTTGGGGTGTAGGTGTTCAATATAAAGGTTTTGCCTTAATGCTGGAAGTATATGTGTAGTTTCACATGTCTCCATTGTGCTACTAGTTCCTAGAATAATGGCGTGGGCTTGGTATGAATCATCTTTGTTAAGATACTTAAATATAAGTATTTGGAACATGATTGAACAGCCAAACCTAGTTGGACTGCATGTTTTAATGACTGTTGAAGATAATGCAGTCTTTTGTAGAGTATATTTTATGGGAGAGAAAGTTAGTTTTTAAGATTTGTACTGTAGTAAAAATATAAGCACAAAACCACTTTATGCAATTATGCAGCATATTACACTGATACAGTTTGCTACTGTAGCAGATTAAAAAAATCTAAATTCTTCTCACAATAAGCTATCATTGTAAAATATCTTAGATTTTTTCCTTTCATTTCTTATCCAATCCAATCCTTTTTTCTTTCAGAATTTAAATGCTTCCTTTTAATATCAAACTGAAAACTGGTGGGATTTCTCTCAATAAAAATAAGATCTCAACTGCCTAATTTGGTTTCTTTATTTTAAAAATAAATTGATTGCATTTAATTTTTTTCAGAACATTTTCCACAGCATGTAAATATTATATTGACCCTCTTAAGTTTCATTATTGTAAACTATTATCTGATCAGTGTTTAAACAGTCCTGAGAACTTGAATTCAAAATCTAAATTTGCACTTGTTTTATGAGATACATTCTTTCATGGAAGCTAAATTAAATATTAAATTAAATATAAATTATTTTTTTATTCTTTTTAAATAGAAAGCCGAAGTGAATTTTTAGAGAAGTTACAGCGGGCTCGGAGTCAGGTAAAGCCATCCACAACCAGCCAGCCAATTTTATCAGCTCCAGGACCTGCTAAACTTACAGTAGGAAATTGGTCTCTTACCTGTCTAAAGGAAGGAGAAATTGCTATTCATAATTCAGATGGTCAGCAAGCTACAATCTTAAAAGAAGATCTACCAGGTTTTGTTTTTGAGTCCAATAGAGGAACTAAACACTCATTTACAGCTGAAACTTCTTTAGGTGAGTATGCAGTTATATATAATGAAGAGAAAGATAGATGTTTGCAGTTGTCTGATTCAGCAACTGGATTCCTATTCTCTGTGAGATGTATCTGGTTTGTAGATACTATTTTTAAGCCAGGTAATATATAATGGTGAATTAACAAATCCAGAATTATGTACATTAAGGGAAGGATTTTTGATTATGCGTACTTCATCTGAACAGGAGTCTGACTTATCTGTATTATATTGGGGTTCAATGGTAACCTGATTTTTAGCTGTTGTTTTTCAGGATCAGAATTTGTGACTGGTTGGACTGGAAAAAGGGGAAGAAAACTAAAATCCAAGTTGGAAAAAACAAAACAAAAGGTCAGGATAATTTCTGCCAATTTTAAATAGTGTAAATGTCTTCATTTGTAGCTGCTTCTTATATATGCTGTTTGCTAGTCAGATATACTTCAAACAGTAAACCTGCCTAAATTTTAAAAGAAATTAAATAGTAACTTCAGCTGTGAAAGAGAAGAAACCTTACTGACTTTTTAAATAAATGTATATAATAACTCAGGAGTAGAGAATAGGGCTAAACTGACATAGTGCCTGTTACCACCACATATAACATATCTATATTAGTGGGGGTGTATATCAGCTAAAAGCACAATATTATCTGTTCCAGAGACATACTTTACCTACAGATACCTGGCAAAAAGCATCAGAAATAGCAGAGCTTTCATACACCATCAGAGTAGTGCTATAGCCATTTTGGGGAAGATTAGTTAGAGATGCAGGGTCTGGTTCTGTTCAAAAAAAGAGATCTGGAAAAAATTCATTGACTTGATTGAGAAATTATAAATAACACTTGTAGAACTCTGCATTTTCAATTTGCAGAAAGTGTATGTACATTTTAACAATCTTATGTTATATTCACAGTTACATATAATTTCTTTGTATGGTTTCATTTTTCCATCCAGCTTTCTATCTGAATCCATGATGACGTTTGAAAAAATTTAAATGTATACGCATTTTAAAAAATGCAGAGGAATCTTGAGATTATTAAAAATATTTTATACTTCAAAAACAGTCAAAGCTGTTGAAAGATCTTTACTTTTTGATTTTACCTTTTGCTTTACCAATTTTCATTTAACAAATTAAAATTGGTAAAGCAAAAGGTAAAATCAAAAAGTAAAGAACTTTCAACAATTTGACTGTTTTTAAAGTTAAAATATTTTTAACAATCTCAGACTCCTCTGGAAGAAGCATTCCACAGATGTTGATGATTTGACCAGCCTAGAAAAAGTGCTGTTTGTAAAATTACATTGGGACTCTGAACTGAACCTTTTTTAAAATTAATTCATATTCGAATTCATGGCTTACAACTCTTTGGAATCTGAAATTGGAATTCCTGGCTTATCATTTTCTGGAATCTAAAACTAACTGGTAGCCCTTCAATATTGATAAGTGATTAGCAATTAGGAGTTTTAATTCAGATATAACATGATCTACTTCCGATTGATTAATGTATCTTCTAATGAGAGGAGTTAAGCAAGAGCGATTGCACAGTGTGTATTAATATACTGATTATCTATAATCAGATTTCACTGACAGTTTGTCTTATTGTTTGCTAAGTAATACTTTTCTTATGTACTACTTTTGTAAACAAAACATATTCAGAAACCTCAGAAAATTATTAATGTATATGTGAATGTATATACCATATATATATAAAACTTATTTTTGTATCTCTAAATAATCAGGTACGAACTATGGCCAGAGACTTATATGATGATCATTTTAAAGCGGTTGAAAGTATGCCTAGAGGTGTAGTTGTAACGCTCAGGAATATAGCAACTCAATTAGAGTCTTCATGGGAACTTCATACAAACAGACAGGCAAGTTTCATTAATGAAATGAAATATTGATATAGTTGTTTTTCTGTTGACATTCGCTTGATTCAAATATAATTCTCCCTCTCAAACACTAACCATTTATTGCATGGATTAGATATCTTGGAAATATCCCCAAGATAATTTTAATTTAAGAAATTAAACTCCTGTTTCAAAAAGTCACCAGTCAACCCAGATATACTGAACAAATAGTGACCTATTTCCAATGTCCAGTTTTTAGGATAGGGTTGCAAAGAAAGTAATTGGATTGTTATTGCAAAAAGGGAAACATTTTAGGCCTTGGTTTAGCATGAAGATGGCATTAACCACAGTGCTGATCTCTGGGAGGACCGGGTAAAAGTAGTTTCATGTTATTCTTCTTAGCTGTCTAAAGGTGTTAGGAGTGGGAGAAATTGTATTATAAGCGTTCTTGAAGCAAGAGTTCTTGGGGGGGGGGGAATTGAACCCTAGCTCATTAATTGAGGGTGTTAAAGAGTTCAGTTATACCCAATTGTATATCTTGGCCTCTAGCTGAATAAGCAATGCTGGTAAAATATTGTGTAGATCTAGATGGGAAAGAACTGAGTGACATTCAGCTCAGCAAGACAGGTTTGTATGCCTGCTCTTTCTAGCAAAATTACATCATTAAGTTTGAACAGTGTTTATTTGTTTATTACATTTGTATGTTGCCTGACTCACAGTTATGCTGGATTTAAAATTTGGGAACTCTTGCTGACTCACAGTTCATGCATGAAGAGCAAGTAGCAGCTGTGGCCAAGACAGCCTTTATATAGCTTCATATTGTGTGCATGTTGTCACCTTTCTTGGAATGGCAGGCATTAATTACAGTCAGTCATGTCTTAGTCATCTCTGTATTGGACTGTTGTAATATATTCTACATGAGCCTGCCATGAAGAACATTCATGGACTATATATACACCTCATCCAACAACTTAAAGTGATGGGCACACCCAGTAATACTTGTTTATATTGTAAGAGGTACCTTGATCATTACTTAACAGGCAGCTGCTGCCCCAATTTCTCTGGAATAGCATCTGTCCTCAGTGTACAGATACCACCCTTTCTCTTGATTTTTAGAAAACTGATGCAAATCTTGTTCTGTCAAGCCAGGAGGGTTGAATTGTTGTAACTTCCTCTTGGATCATGAAAAAGAGTTTTTTCCCAATTAATGCTTTTTATGTTTTATTTATGATTCCTGGTTCCATAGAATATCATGAAGGACTCTTTTTTAACTGATTGTATGATTTTAATGCCAATATATTGGAGAGATATAACGTAGCATTTTTATGACCTCTTAATACAGTGGTTCTCACCCTGTGGGTCGGGACCCCATTTGGGGTCGAACGACCATTTCACGGGGGTCGCCAAACAAGGCTGTCTGCCATGTTTTCCCCCTTTTCTTTGGCCACGCCCCTGGCACCCGGTGATGTATAAATGGTTGGGGGTCACCACAACATGGGGAACTGTATTATGGGGTCGCGGCATTAGAAAGGTTGAGAACCACTGTCTTAATACTTAATCTAAGTTATTTATATTTAGGCGGTACAAAATATTCCACATATTACATATATAAAAACTGATTTTGTAAAATTCTTATGTGTAATTTGACCAGCTGTGTAGAATAATGTATCATTAATGGAAGAATTACTATTTCATTCTCTTTTAGTTTATTGAGGGAGAAAACACTTGGCGAGATTTAATGAAGACTGCTCTGGAAAATTTAATTGTCCTGCTGAAAGATGAAACTACAATTTCACCATATGAAATGTGCAGCAGTGGCTTGGTGCAGGCTCTCCTTACTGTATTGAATAATGTAAGTTTATGCGGGACTAGTGTAGTATAGGATTAGGAAGAGCGGAATCCAAATTTTCACTTTGCTATATAATGTACTGTTGACCTTTGTCGGTTATTTTACTGCCAACTTTTGGAAGAATGCAGAAATAATAACTGCCAACACCTTTTAAAAAGGGGTGGAATATAAATCTATTAAATAAAAATATAACTTCAGCAGAAGATATGTTTAATTAAAAAAAAATAGCCACGTTTATCCATCAGCCATTATATGTGGCCAACATAAATTTCTAAGTATCTTAGGCAGTACAGAAAGTATTTATAACTGTGCTATAGAGAAGACCAGAAACAGGAAGATACTTTCTCTTGCTTCTTTTCCTTGGTAAAATGTCCCAAGGATTTCTAAAATATTCTGTATTAATCTATATTGAATGTTCAGTCCAAATACATACAGGTAGTCCTCGACTTACAACTATTCATTTAGTGACCATTTGAAGCTTGGCAACTGGCATGCATTTATGATGGTTGCAGTGCCCCAAGGTCATGTGATCACCTTTTGCAACATTCTGACAAGCAAAGTTAATGGGGGAGCCAGATTCAGTTAACAACTGTGTTACTACCTTAACAACTGCAGTGATTCCCTTAACAACTGTGGAAAGAAAGGTCGTAAAATGGGGGAAAATCACTTAATAACTGTCTTGTTTAGCAACAGAAATTTTAGGCTCAGTTATGGTCATGTCGAGAACTACTTCTATATACTTTAGTTTAAAATTTTAGTCTTTTTTATTAGTCCTGCTTTAGATAATATGATGACAATTAGGTTAGAACTATATGATTATTAAAACTATGGAGCTGTGTCAAATAAGTTAAATCTTTATGGTAGGACATATTTTTGGTATTTTTCATGAATACAGATGTTGTGGGTCTGTTGGGAGGTTTCTTCCAACTCATACCTTGGCCAGAAATGTATTTCAATTTGATTAATAGATTTAAGATAACTTATCTCTGGAGACTAAACATTCCAGGGCTTCCTAAATGACATAAGAAATTGTTTATGCTTGACATGGCTTTTGGGATCCTTTCAGTGCTAAAGAATAATGAGATGAAAAGTCTTTCAATATATTACTCCCAAATTTCCTCCCTGGAGTTGTCAACCTAAATCTTTGACTGTACGCATGAAACACTGTTACAGACCTAGTTAGTAACATGGTTTGCATATTATGCCATGATGTTGGCGGCTAAAAGAATTATATTGAGAAATTGGGGAAATGATATTATTCCAAATGTTAAGAAATGGCTTTTGGAAATGTGTGGCCTGTTGTGAATAAGACAATACTTTCTACTAATCAAAGAATGAAGCAATATGCACTACAGGCAGACATTTTATAATATTTTACAATAATATTTTGTAGTGACTGTTTTCAGTGTTTTATGGTATTACTAATAGCAATTAGTGCTAAAAAACTAAATTCTTTAGTTTTTTATCATTTTCAGTTTATATTATTTTTCTTTGAATTTAAAACTTTTAATTGTTTCCTTGAGTATATTTAGTATTTTTTCAAGATTTCATAGTTTATAAATGCATTGTGCAAAACAGGTGAAATATTTATAATTGCCTGGGTTAACATACTAAGGCAAAAAACTCTAAATTTTAATAGCATGATATGTGGCTCTAACCAATGTTCTATTTGATGAAGATTCATTTATACTTATTGTGTGGCCTGTTATTTTTTGCTAGCATTAAATAGTGTTTTTTATCTTAGAATATGGATTACGATTTGAAACAAGACTGTAGTCAATTAGTGGAAAGAATAAATGTGTTAAAGACAGCTTTCAGTGAAAATGAAGATGATGAAAGGTAACTTAAAGTCACTGAACATATTACAAATGTATTATGACATGATAAACATTTTATAATGTTTCCAACAGTAAAAACAAACATATACTGAATTACATCATCAAAAAATGTTTATTAGCCAATGATTGATTGAATTTGCCCATTTCTTAGAGCAGTGCTTTTCTCCTTTCCAGTATATATGGATCATTGCTACAGTTTCACATCCACTTAGCAGAGTACTGCCATTTTTTAAAAAAAAAACAACACCTTATTTTTGATTCTCCTGTTTAGCTATGCAAACAATATTTTCTAATAAATGTAGTTTGATACTTTGGTATGTTGTACACTGTGTCTATTTTGAATTCATTTTTAAAATATATTCTCCAAACATTTATAGTGCTTGTTTTCTCTTTGTTCATAGTCGTCCAGCAGTTGCATTAATTCGGAAATTGATAGCAGTACTTGAATCTATTGAACGGCTTCCGTTACATTTGTATGATTCACCAGGATCATCATATAATCTCCAGGTAATTTTGTGGTCCTATGGAAATCTGCTACATCATGTTGTAGATGAAGTTACTGTTAACAGATATATGATTTTAAAAATATATATATACAAATTTAAAGACAAACATTAAAATAAGTGCAGATATTTAACAATTAAAAACAAGGGATTTGATTGTGAAGGAAAGAGTGGGGAAGCCAGGTGCAATTCCTGCAAAAGTGCATCCCATAACTTGGGAATTATTTGGGCCTTATTCTTACCTGCCAGTCTTTAAAAAAAAAATTGATTTGGATGCTACCGCTGATAAAGTTCTACATGATATAAATTTTCCCTTTTTTATCTAGTGTTGATATTTTTCCATTTATATAGCCTGGAGATGAGGCTAGGATCCTTGTCCTTGCCCTTCCTTTTTTTTAATAAAAGATGAAGAAGATTAGCCAGATCAGTAGGCACATTGATGTATTCATATTTACAATCAGGTGAGGTGCAAGAGAGTGGTGAAACCCTTATTGTTGTTCCCTTTATTTTTTTTAAAAAAATTCTACATTACATGTTTTGGCTAATATTCAGCTAATTATCAGTATTTATTATTGGAGCATGTGATAGAATCTGCCAGTTATGTTTGGAATAGATATGTTATATCTGACTTAAGGTTTGTTGTTATATTCTTTGGAAGAACTGGTTTGAAAGATAGTGTTCTTGTATATTTTCCTGCTCTTCAGAAGATATTAGGAACTGTACTTACCTTCCTAATTTATTTCCAGGCACAACTCAAAATACTGTATTTTATGATTAAATATGTAAATGGTAGGTTTGGGCTAAGTGTAGCCCTGAAAGTGTTGAAAGCAAATTATCATCAACACAGTAATCTATGAATTCTGCAATTGCAGGAGTTCTCATCCAGCTAAAATGCTGAATATACTAGATTTCATAGTATAGGGCAGGGGTGTCAAATGCACAACGTCACGTGACGTGTTGCGACGTATCGCAATTTTTTTTTCCATTGCTGGCAATGGGTTGGGCGCGATTTCACTATGACACATTCAGCCCACGGGCTGAGAGTTTGACACCCCTGGTATAGGGATTTAGGTATTAGTATAGAAAAATATCCCCAATGAAAATTAACTTTTATAGGTTGAATTAAAGATGGGGCAAAGCTTCTTCCTTGAATTTTCTTGTATTATTTTGTCAGGATTAATTTTTCTTGTTCGTTGTTCATAAGCTGCATCAGTAAAGAAGAAATGTCTTCATTATTTCAGAAAAAGACATTACATCGAAACTATCATTGATATATGTGTGTTATGCGTACCGAAATTAGTTCTCAATTTCCAATATAGGAATATTTGTTTTAATTTGAAATTGTAAGTTTCAGAATTCATTAAATTAAAATAAAACTTTGTTACATTTTCTATAGATACTAACAAGACGGCTACGATTTCGCTTGGAACGTGCTTCCGGGGAAACAGCTTTGATAGACCGAACGGGTCGAATGTTGAAAATGGAGCCTTTGGCAACAGTAGAATCTTTAGAACAATATCTTCTTAAAATGGTGAGCAAAATCCTTTTCACTCATTTTGCAAATGTCAGGTATTCTGTGATGTTTTAGTAACCGTCATATTTTTTTAGGTGGCAAAGCAGTGGTATGACTTCGATAGAGCTTCGTTTGTTTTTGTACGAAAACTACGGGAAGGTCAGACATTTATTTTCAGACATCAGCATGATTTTGATGAAAATGGAATTATTTACTGGATTGGAACAAATGCCAAGTAAGATTTCAGGAATTTAATCAATTTAAACATATCTTAAATAGTTTTTATAAAAACAGTTGGTATCTATTACACTGTTCATGTGTTTTCGGTTTAATCTTTTAAAGTTAGGAAATGTAAAAGATTAAACTGATTAAATATATGAATATTTATGTTTGCAGTTAATTCTTTCATCAGTAACAATGATTAGTTCCACATTAGATTTGACAAATATACGTTTGCATGAATTATATAAAATATGACTTTGAATTTGTCCTGCTTTAAACTTATGTGTATTGTGATTCCTATTCTTCATGAATATTAATGTTGTTTTTCTTGTAGAACAGCATATGAGTGGGTAAATCCAGCTGCCTATGGACTAGTTGTAGTTACATCTTCAGAAGGAAGAAATCTGCCCTATGGTCGTTTAGAAGACATCTTAAGCCATGAGAGTTCAGCTTTAAACTGTCATACTAATGATGATAAAAATGCATGGTTTGCAATAGATCTTGGTCTTTGGGTGATACCATCAGCTTACACACTGCGCCATGCTCGTGGTTATGGACGATCGGCTCTCAGAAATTGGGTTTTTCAAGTTTCTAAGGACGGACAGAACTGGACTACTTTATACACTCATGTTGATGACTGTAGTCTAAATGAACCTGGGTATGTTTTTCTTTTGTTACATTTGCATGCTCATTTATATTAATTAAATTTAAAATAGATTTTCTTTTTGAGTCTGTGGTAATACTATACATTTAGACCAATAATATTATGAAACATTCTGAACTGACTAAATATATGAACAATAATCTCTGGTACTAATGAATTCAGGAATGTTTCTTACATTCTTGAACTTTTATGTGATTTATGGAAGTATTTATTATTTTGCTTCCCGACCTTAGTTTTTTTTTAATGGCTTTATACAGTGGGTTATATTGTGAAGTAGAGTTGAGCAACTGATTCCTTATTTTCAAGGTGCCTGGCTTTTAAAAATATTAATGCTTTAAACCCCAAAATGTAATTATTTTATGTGTGTGTGTTTGCTCATTTGCCTATTTAAAAAAAAGAAAAACTGTAATTTTTGGTGCAATTTTCCCAAATATAAAGTTCAACGGCAACCTGGCCACTAGAGTCACCAAAGGATGAAAAACAAGGTTGGAGGCATATAAGAATTAAACAGATGGGAAAGAATGCCAGTGGGCAGACACACTATCTCTCCCTGTCAGGATTTGAACTTTATGGCACTGTCAGTGGTGTGTGCGAAGATCAGTTAGGTAAGCATTGTAAAGTAACATTATTATTATTATTATTACTACAGTAATCTAAATTGTGTATTTTCCCAATATTTGTTGATAGCTATAAAGAGATTTTAATATGACATAATCGGCTGGGTTGCATTTGTTGCATTTCAGCTACTTTGAGCCAGATTAGAATGTCTGATGATATATAGATTGAGTCAAAACAGGGTTTATAAACCAAGTTTCACATCTGTTTAGGAAAAGCAGCTAAAGAAGCAGAGGCTAATCTGCGAAGGCAGAGAAGACTGATTCGTTCTCAGGTTCTGAAATACATGGTTCCAGGTGCTCGTGTCATCAGAGGAATTGACTGGAAATGGAGAGATCAAGATGGTAGCCCCCAAGGGGAAGGCACTGTTACAGGTGAATTACATAATGGTAAGCAGATATGTAAATAACTTCCTCTTCTCAAATGACTATTAAAATAGTCTTTTATTCTTGCATATTTAACTTATGTAAATGGAAAATGTTTATTCAGAAATCATTGTGAAAACAATAATTGGTACATTTGGCTGATAATTTGCTCATAAATCATTTCACTGTTCCCTTTTGGGGCAAGCAACATTATATGGAGTAAGGAAAGGAGAAAGAAATAGAAAGCCAAAAAATAATGACATGGGATAAGAATAAGGAAAAAAAAACTTAACTAAAACTAATTTATTCCAACATTCCAACTATCCATTCCTTTCTATTCTTAAAAAAAAAAAAAAAAAGCCTTGCTTTCCCCCAATTCATGCACTGGTTCATACATTATCTTTCCTTCCTTAAACTTCTCACTTTTATGAATCTAATCAACTAATCAACTCCCTCCAACTTTCTCACTACTATCTTTTTTATGATATGAATATCCTTTCCTCGTATATTTGCTTTGCCGTTATAATCCAATTCCTTCTCTCTATGTGGCAATACCACTTCAGTATATTCCTTCTCACTGTCATCATGAATCTTTGTACTCTATCCCACATACTTCTCAAGAGCCCCTTTCCTATTGAAATCAACTTATTTTGCTTCTCCTGACATAGCCAGCTTTTTTTTTCTGTATAGTAAAGTGGACATAGCATATTTTATAAAGAGACATTTTTACTTTTTTTGATAAGTAAAAGACCAAATAGTGCTTCTTTTAACCAATATTTGCACATTTTAAAGTATCTCCATCCATTTCCCACTGTCAATGAACATTCTACCAAGGTATACATACTCATCTACATGTTTTAGTTTTTTACCATTTATATGAAATTTGCAAACCTTCATTCTCTTTTCCTTGTCAACCTTGGTGTTTGATATTGTAATTTGCAGATTTGTATACCTTATTATATCACAGTGTCATCTATAGAAATATATATGCAAGTTCATGTCCCTAATCAATACCCTTCTAATATTACCACAAGTATTTCTTAACATTTATTCTTAATATACTAAACAGTCAAGGGGATATAACATATCCTTTCTCAGTACTGATCCATTTGCTAAGGATTCCATTCACAATACTTTATTTCCATCTCATATGCCAGTCTTATTACCAGCAGCAAATTTCAACATTCAATAACTTTGCAAAGCTTTCTCAAAAGCAAGAAACATATAATAGCAATAGCACTTAGTCTTATATACTACTTCATAGTGCTTTACAGCACACTCTGAGTGGTTTACAGAGTCAGCATATTACCCCCAACAATCGGGTCTTCATTTTACCAACCTTGGAAGGATGGAAGGCTGAGTCAATTTCAGCCTGTCAGGATCAAACTTCAGGCTGTGGGCAGAGTTAGCCTGCAATTACAGTCCTCTACTCTGATCACACATGTTTGCTTATGTTAAATAAAAAGGGCAATTGCTGAAATTAAACTGATTTATGCTTTATAAAATGTAAATAATTCCACAGTGCTAAACATGATTGTTTTAAAATAAGTTTGATTACCAATACTTGAAACTTAATAGATTTATTTCCAAAGGAAAAGAGAACCAAGAACAATTGAGGCCTATACTATGTGACGTTCCTTTGAAAAATAATGATCTCTTAAAAATAACAATAATAAGTGACTAAATAGTAGACTCTTCACCTAACCAAAAAAATACAGAAATACAGTGGAAATGACCTCTGTAGATATTTTTCAAATCTAATCTACCTGGACAGAAGAAATTTTTCATGTATAGTTCTAGAAATATGTATTTCAACAAAACTAGTTAACTAATAAAGAACATTTTGTTGCCCTAGACCAAAATTCTTGGCTCCATATGATGTGAATGTAATATGTTTTTCACATATAGTAATGAAATCATAAACAAAGCATATCTTATACTAATTGTATAGGTTGTGCAGTTTAACTATAACCATTGTACTCTTATTTTTGGTGTGCTTCATACCGTATGAATGATCAATTATTCAAGAAAAACAAAACCTCTCTCTATATATCATATAAAAACAGCTAGCTATGGTCTTCTGGCTTAGCATTTTGCAACTTGCCTTTTTTCCCTTTGGCTTTTATCAAGTTTACTATGCATTTTCTTATCTTGTTAGCTTCACTGGGATCTAACTGCTTTTTTAACACTGTATATAATGAAATTAAATTGGATATCGCTAAGGGAGAATTTTTAGTTTTACTAGATTTTTAGATTATTTTTTTAAGTTTAGATTATCTTTTTTTTAAAAAAAAATATTTATTTATTTTGATTAATTAATTAATTGTCCTATTCTAGTGGACTCTGGGTGGTTTAAAAAACTAAAAAAAATAGAAAAACATCAAGAAACGTTAAATCAGCAAACAGCCCAGATTAAAATACTCTAATAAAACCTACAAAATAGTACATGCGCCAGTAAATAGTGACAAACATCAAACCCAGGTCTGGGGCCAAAAGTAGGTTTCAAGGCTATCCGGAACCCTAGGTCAATAAGATCTATCTACTCCAAATCTTTCTGCTTTTCTGTATATATGACTTTCAGATTTTACAGAAAGTCACATTAAAATAAAACTACTGAATTTAGTAATAGGTCTGGTATTTTCTAAAATAAAGATATTTTACTATCAATAATAAACTGATATTTTAGCAGTTCTGAAACACTAGGTTTTCTCAATTTACGATTTCCAGATTTATAACATAGAAAATAAGAGCCAGATTGATTTAGTGATTAAGACACAAGGCTAAAAAGTGGAAGTCCATGGGTTCATATCCTGCCTTAGCAACGAAAGCCAGTTGGGTGACTTTGGGCCAGTCACTCTCTCTCAGCCCAACCCACCTTACAGCATTGTTGTTGTGGGGAAAATAGGAGGAAGGTGTGTTGGATGTGTTCACCACCTTCAGTTATTTGTAAAAATAATAAAGGCAGGATACAAATAAATTACTTTCTCATTTTTTCAAAAATAAGTTCAAATTAAATAACAAATGTAGAAGACAAATATGACAGTTTGGAATTTATTGGATATTTTAATGCACATTTTATAATTACAGATTATATTAAAATGTTCATTTAATAAATATTAAATTGCTAATTATTTAAAACCAAATTTCAAGCTAATAAAGGTAATCCTCGACTTACAACCATTTGTTTAGTGCCCATTCGAAGTTATAACAGCACTGAAAAAAAATGACTTATGACCAGTTTTCACACTTATGGCTGCTGCAGGATCCCTGTGGTCATGTGATCAAAATATAGGTGCTGAGCAACTGGCATTTATTTATGATAGTTGCACTGTCCTGGGGCCATGTGATTACCATTGGTAACTTTCCCAACTGCCTTTTGACAAGCAAAATCAATGGGGAAGCCAGATTTACTTAACAAGCATGTTACTAATTTAATAACTGCAGTGATTCACTTAACAACTGTGGAGAAAAGGTCATAAAATGGGGCAAAACTCAACAACTGTCTTGCTTAGCAACAGAAATTTTGAGCTCAATTGTCATAAGTCGAGGACTACACACACACACACACACACACACACACACACACACACACACACTACCTTTATCACTAGCAGCTGCAAGTGAAACTTGAAAAAGTTTGGCCTGCTTTTTTCCCCCCTCCCATCATCCCACCTTGAGCAATGTTATTTGAATGCCATTTAGAGAAGAAGCTACCTATTTTTAAGACTCTGGCTTGATGGTTGCTGGTGTCGCTTTGATTGCTGCTTTATCTTGATAGTGATTAACAAAGTCAAAAAGGGAAAGATGGCATCCAGACTTTTTCAGTAACTTAAGATTTTAAAATATAGAGATATGAAGAATAAATCACCGTATCCTTTAAACGCCCATATATTTCTTTCATGTAGGTCATTTTTTTTATTTTTAAGGGAATAATTTTTTTAAAACAAAGTTGACATCAAGTTGTGTTTCCAGCATTTGGATGGGTTCTCAAATCTGTAGAATTACAGTGAACAACCAGATAACATCTACAACAATCATGCTGTTTGAGTTTTAAATTTTTTATCTTACTTCAAATTCCCTTAAGTATTTTTTATAGCTCAGAATAATGGCCCGATGGGAAGCTGATCCCATGTTGTGGAGCTACTGTCTGACACGCTCCTGTCTGCTTTCTGCTGGGTCTCACAAACTCCTGTCCCTTTCTAGGCTGGATTGATGTCACCTGGGATGCTGGTGGCTCTAACTCTTACCGTATGGGCGCAGAAGGAAAATTTGACCTCAAGCTTGCCCCAGGGTACGACCCTGATTCAGCGGCATCACCCAAACCTGTTTCATCCACTGTTTCAGGCACAACGCAGTCATGGAGCAGCTTGGTGAAAAACAACTGTCCAGACAAGATGACTGCTGCTGCAGGCTCCTCAAGTAGAAAAGGAAGTAGCAGTTCTGTGTGTAGCGTGGCCAGTAGCAGCGACATCAGCTTGGGTTCGACCAAAATGGAACGGAGATCTGAAAATGTAATGGAGCAAAATATAGTTTCAGGCACTGACGTCCATGAGCCAATAGTTGTACTTTCTACTGCTGATGGCATGCCCCAAACTGAAGTAGGTTCAGCATCCAGTGCAAGTACCAGCACCTTAACAGCAGATGTGGGCAATGAAAATGTTGAAAGAAAGCTAGGACCTGACAACTCAATCCGTGCGACTGGGGAATCCAATGCCATATCCATGGGAATTGTTAGTGTGAGTTCTCCAGACGTTAGTTCGGTATCTGAGCTAACTAATAAAGAAGCTGCTTCCCAAAGACCCCTTAGTTCTTCAGCAAGTAACAGACTATCAGTGAGTTCACTGCTGGCTGCTGGAGCTCCAATGAGTTCCAGTGCAAGTGTTCCTAATTTATCTTCGCGGGAAACCTCTAGTTTGGAGTCCTTTGTCCGGAGAGTGGCAAATATAGCTCGCACCAATGCTACTAACAACATGAATTTAAGCCGAAGTAGCAGTGATAACAGCACTAATACTTTGGGAAGAAATGTCATGAGCACTGCAAGTAAGTAAAAAGTGTTTTGATAAACTGATGTAATTTCTGTACAAAAGAGAGAGTGTTCTTTTGAAATAATTTTGGAAAGGGCAATTGAATACTTAACATTAGCCATATTGCCCCATATTGTTATATGGTATTGGATTTAGTACAGCTAATGACAGTCATACTCTAGAATGTTCCTTGCCCTTTTTTAAAAGGTTTGGTTTGGAGTAAAATAACTCTTTTTCATATTTTGTTCATTAAAACATCAAATATAATCTACCGTTGCCATGCTAATTTTCTTTGATTTTATCTAATTATATTAACTGTACCTTTAATTCTAGCCAATTGCTGAAGTCCCAAGGAATGCATCCATGTGTTACTGTCCAGAATATTACATTTATATTTTATCTAATTTAGAAATATGTAATCTTTATATTGTGACTTTGTCTGCATTTATTTTTCTTCTGCAGTACTTTTATGGAATAGTGGATTTTGATTATTTTCATTACAGAAAAAAATTATTGAATTATTTTTTGTAACAGAACCACCAGAAGATATATAATGCCACTTTGAAAACAAGTATATTTTATGGTAAAAAAAAAAAAAGTCAGGAATAAATCCTATTTTGCCAAATTGAGGACCTACTACTGAGTGTTTTATACTGAACTGAATACAATGTCGTGTGATTATTTAGTGTTTGTGTCAGTTGTTGCTTTTACTTAGCAGAGCCATTTAAAAAATGGTATGAGCACTGTTACATGCAGTGAGAAAATAGTGAAGTTGTTTTTTTTTTATAGAAAAGAATTTGAAATCATTAGAATCTGAAATGTAGCTTAAATACCATGAACCATTTGAGGGGCTACTATGCAGTTTTCATTTTGTTTTGGAATGTTATTGCTTGTACTTTGGAAACTTAGAATACATCAGGGTATGTAATGTTTGAGGACAGTTTTATGGAATATTGTGTAAATCAATGTATGTTTTATTACATGTTGCAACTTTAAACATTTAATTTTAAAAGATGAAATCAATTAAATAGTCTAGTAGCCTCTATGATGTATTTTGCAATTCTATAAACATTGTATCTAATTTTTTCCATCCTAGAACATCATTAAGGATCACTAAAATATAATGATTGATAGCAGGTAGTGAAAGTTGGTTATGAGTCTTCAGTGTTCATGCCAGACTGTAGTTTGTTATGATGCACTGCTGAACAAATCATGTTGTAGAAATGGACAGTAAATCATGAACTGAACTGGGGAAGACCTAGTGATTTTTAAGGAGAAGAACTATTGCAGATCCTGAACATATAATTAAAAATATGCTCATTTTAAATCAGTAGAATTGTTGCCTGTGAGGTAATAATTTACTTTGAGTTAGACAGGCGACTGAATAAATTTGAAAAAATAACTAAAATAACCCTTTATGGTGGCTGTTCAGTGTACACAAACCAGAAGAAAGAAATAGAGTCTTGCAGAATTTTCTAAATATGTTTCTGCTTAGAAAGTGAAATGGAGGCAGCAACTCCTACTTCAACCTTTCTTTTGATTCTCTGGTCCTGTCCTACTAAGGATACAGTAGTGCTATGAATTTGTAAAGTAAGAAACATTGTTGAACTCTCAGTTTCCTTGAACTGGGAAGTAGCCCACATATATAAACTCTTTATAATCACAAACTTTTTATAATATGGATTATGCATTATCTAATTATTAAAACTAGATATGTGGGCTACTTCATAAGAATCACATTTGCTTCTATACTTATTTTGATGTTCTGTTTTATTTAACAGTCTATTTTTTCTTGGCCTGCAGTTCTGCGTTATTACCATAAGCTTAGTGACTTCTGTTTTTTTTCTTTTTTAATATTGGTTTAATACACAACACTCATTAATGTAAATTGTACTACTTTGGATTATTTATTTTATCTTACCATATCTTTATAGCTTCTCCTCTAATGGGTGCCCAAAGTTTTCCTAATCTGACTACAACTGGTACCACCTCAACAGTGACCATGTCTACATCCAGTGTTACTAGCAGCAACAATGTAGCCACAGCAACTACAGTTTTATCTGTTGGTCAGTCACTTAGTAACACTCTAACTACTAGCCTAACATCAACATCTAGTGAGAGCGATACAGGTCAGGAAGCAGAATATTCTTTATATGGTAAGTTTTATTTTTAAATGAACATAAGCAGATTTCCCATTCATGGTTTATTTTTGTCACAGGTTTTGTGCTTAGTAATTTCATTTACTAAAGCACATCAATGATTGTTTGCCCCTTTATTAGCTACATAAAGGCCTCTTCACAAAGCATCTCAGCTTCTGTCAATGTTTCCATATACTTCAGCTCTACACACTCCTCTTACATGGTTGTCACTTAAGGTACTTCTTTATTGACATTTCAGTAGTGGTGTTTTGATATACAGGCCATGAAATTTGAATGCCATAGTAAATGAAACCATCATCTGTATACGTCTATTGCACGGATTTATAGGTAGTCTTCCTTATGCTTTGCTACAATCAGTCATTTGAAGAATAGGTTTGCAACAACTACCATGGCATATTTATAACAATATGGATAGAAATGTGCTTCTAAAATTACTATTTCTCATTCTTTTTCTTAATAACTGTTCTCTTTGCTCTTCTGTAAGTTGGTGAACAGTGTGGGATATTTCATGAGATGTGAATAGATTTAGGAGCATTGTCAAAAATGTTGAAAAGCATTTGCAGTTAGTAATTAGCATTTCCATAGCGTTTTTAATATTTAACGTTTGTTCAAATTCAAAACCTCAGTTTCAAATCATTGTTGGCAGTTTGTTTGTACATTGTGCACTAGTCTTAGTTTGTTCTTTTAGATATCTGCAGCAAATTATAATTATAAAAGGCCCAGAGCAGGGAAATACAATTGGATTTATATGGCCATTTATATAGAGCAGGGGTGTCAAACTCAATTTCACTGAGGGCCACATCAGGGTTGTGGTTGACCTTGGGGGGCTGGGTGGGTGTGGTCAGGGTGGGCGTGGCCAGCTCGACATCGCTTGTGATGGGAGGCACCTGTGTGGCCTGGGCGGGGCTGCAGGGCACCGGGACCCCACAGCCCAGCCCAGCCCAGCCCAGCCCAGCCTAGCCCTGCTGTCCCAAGGAGTGTCTTGTTGCGCTTACCTCCTCCTACTGGAAGCTGCTGCTGCTGTTCTTGCTCTCCTTGGCCAAGTTGTTCATGATGTGTGGGAGGGGGCAAAGTATGTGGGTCAGAGGGAGGCCCAGTCCCTCTCCATGTGAAGAAGCCTGGCTTTGTAACTAAAGTATCCTCAGCAATAGGATGGGAGACCACCAGGAGAGATCAGGAGGAGGAGACAAGGGGATAGCAAAAGGGCAGCAAGGCTGCTGGTGGCCAAGTGCTAAGGCAGCACTTCCCTCAGACCCTCTCTCATTGTAATCCCCTTCCTTCCTTCCTTCTTTCCTTCCTTCCTTCCTTCCTTCCTTCCTTCCTTCCTTCCTTCCTTCCTTCCTTCCTTCCTTCCTTCCTTCCTTCCTTCCTTCTCTCCTTGCTTTTTTTTTAAGCTGCCAGAGGCTCCAGGCAGAGGTGGCAATGGGCAGCCAGCAGTGGGCAAAGGCTTCCCCTCCTCCCATCATTGCCTCTGCGTGGCTTAGCTCACCTCTCCCAGATCCACACAGTGTGTTTGTGTGTGTGAGCGCACAGGAAGGTGTATGTGTGTGTGTCTCACCTCTTGCAGCCCCCACCCTCAACAGAGACCTTCTGCGATGGCAAGCTGCAAACTAATGAAAGCTGGTTTTTTTTGAAGTATTTGTTTCTTTTTCTCAACCCGCTGCCAATTGCATCATGCCCTGCCCCCCTCAGCTCCTGCCCCCAGCCCTGTGGAAGGATGCAAGAAGCTCCCATCACAGCTTCTCTCGCCTCTCCCGTTCTTTTCCTCCCCGATGTCACAGTGGGGCTGCAGGAGGTGAGACTCTCTCCCCCACGCGCACACACACACACACACATCCAAACATATGTGCAGGTTCTGGGAGAGCTGAGCTGAGAGCCATGGAGCAAGAGGAAACGATAGGGGAAGGGGTCAAAATGGGAAACCTCTGTCCGGAGCCTCTGGCAGCTTAAAAAAAATGTGTGGAGCAGTGCCTTCCCTTTTAGTTCACCCTCCCCTCTGTTGCCTCCACGCCGGGATTGAATCCACGCCTGCTACGCCTGTCGAAAGGGCAGTTTTGCTTCCAACCCCCCTCCCATGCCAGAAACCGCAAGCCAGGAAGTTGCCGGCCGTGGCTTTCCCACTTGGGGGTGGAGCGATCCCAGTGAAAGAAAAGCCTTGCAGGCTGTGAGACCAGGCTGGTGAGCGGGGCATGGAGGTGCTAGAGCAGAGGAAGGCGAGCAGAGCAGCCCCAGCGGCAAGAAGGGCTGCCGAAAAGAGCAGCGTCTGTGTCTTCTGCCTACTACAAGCTCACCCGTCAGCCTTTGCTTTCCATGCCTCGGATTGCGCCGTGGGGAGCTTGGCTGACCTGAGCAAGGCAGGCGCACACACAGACTCTGCTGTTTTCAGCGGGCACTTTGGTGCCTGGCCCAGCAAAGTGGAGCCAGGCGTGGTGAGACGAGGCCTGGCAAAGCAGAGCCGGACAAGGAGAAACCCAGTAAAACGGGGCATGGCCGGGTGTGATGGGCGAGGCCAGGAGGGGTGGGACGAGGCCAGGCCAGGTGGGGTGGGGTGAGGCAAATGAGCTGCAGCTGCTCCTACGCACCACCAGCCTCCGAGTGCTCATCCTTTCCTGTGTGTGCGCCAGGAGGTGCCCAGCCGGGTTGGGGTGGTTGCTATTTCTGGAACAGCTCCAGGGGCCGAATTTGGGCCCTTGGCGGGCCACATCTGGCCCGCGGGCCTTGTGATCACTTATTTTAAATATATATTAATATGATCACTTATTTTAAATATATATTAACACATGTTCACACTTTTAACATCCTTACAGTCCTATTGCTTCAGAACTAATTGAAATTACTTCGATGTTCAATAAATTGATTCATATCTAATGTTGAGCTAGGAATTTTAATTTTGATTCCTTGAACTAAATATAGTGGTCTGCCTTATACAAAAGTGTAAGAATTAATGAATTGGTTTACATGTCGCATTGAACCAAGAACAAACAATCTTGCTATGGCTTGGCATAATATGTGAACTGATTCTTGTAGAAACCCACAAAATAACACCGAAAAACAGCTGAAGTGTTAACATTACATATTTGGCAGAATAAAACCCTAAATATTTAGAATGTTCTTGTCATAGGAAACAGCAGGAAGTTAGAACAAGAATATTGCTCCTTATAATACTGATCAGCTAATTTGCAGAAACTTTATCATTTTTTACAAAAAAGTACACAAAAAATCCTAAGCAGTTCAAATTGAAATGTCTGTTGTTATCCTGAGGTACTAGACCCAACACATAGATCACAGCATTGATTATCTCTTCCCATTTTTCAGATAGCAATAGTAGCTCCCTGAATGTTTGGGATATGTTCCAAACAAAGAGACCTCAAGCCCAATTGTATTTTCATTGTTGTAATATGTGGCTTCCTTACATGTTTGCAAATGCTGCCTAATACGGCTGAGCTTGCTGTAGTATATGCTTAATTACCTAAAAAGGGTTAACTAAAACCAGAGCCAAAGAAAAGAACACGTTCTTCAATTATTATTATTTCAGATCTTGCCAACACTACTGATATTTAAATATATGCATGCACTGGCTAAACAGAAGAGACCGTGCTTTAAACATAAACCTGTAGCCAAATATCCATGTGTCATCTCTGATTTCTGAAGTGTGCTTAGAAGTACATCTGCAAAGAGCATGGGCAAAAAATAATATATAAGACCTTTGTAAAACAGTATAGAGTCTATTCTCTGTCTCCATTAATTACCACTCAGTTACTGTGCTCTTAAGCTAAAATATAAAAACCAATAGATGTGAACTAAATTGAGAAGAAGTCAAACTGATCTGTGTTTATGTGGTCCAAGAACAGAATCAAGTGCAAAATGGTTCCTGAGTGAATCCTGTGCACCATTGCTAATCTTGCTCCCCAGCCAATAGTTTACCCAAATTGTTCCACCAAAATCTCAACCAGTAGTAGCTCAGGTCCTGATGGGGCTCTAGGTTGACTCAGCCTTCCTACCTTCCGAGGTCAGTAAAATGAGGACCCAGATTGTTGGGGGCAATATGCTGACACTATAAGCCGCTCAGAGAGTGCTGCAAAATACTGTGGGCCAGTGTATAGCTGCTATTGCTATCGATCAGGGTAGGCTTTAAACATGATAAAATGCAATACATAGTCCTTTAGGCTTAAGATACAGGAGGATCTGGACAGACCTGAACACTGGGCGCTATCTAACAAAATAAAATTCAATGGTGAAAAAACTAAGGTTCTATATTTAGGCAAGAAAAATCAAATGTACATGTATAGTATAGAGGGTACCTTGCTCAATAGTAGTAACTGTGAGAGGGATCTCGGAGTCCTAGTGGACAATCACTTAAATATGAGCCAGCAGTGTGCTGCCAAAAAACAGTGCTAGGCTGCATTAACAGAGGGATAGAATCAAGATCACATGAAGTATTAATACTATTTTATAATGCCTTCATAAGGCCACACTTGGAATACTGCATCCAGTTTTGGTCACCACGATGTAAAAAAGATGTTGAGACTCTAGAAAGAGTACAGAGAAGAGCAACAAAGATAATTAGGGGACTGGAAACATAAAAGGAACGGTTGCTGGAATTGGGTATGTCTAGTTTAGCGAAGAGAAGGACGAGGGGGGACATGATAGCAGTGTTCCAATATCTCAGGGGCTGCGACAAAGAAGAGAGAGTCAAGCTATTTTCCAAAGCGCCTGAAGACAGGACAAGAAGCAACGGATGGAAACTAATCAAGGAGAGAAGCAACCTAGAACTAAGGAGAAACTTCCTGACAGTTAGGACAATTAACCAACCTGCCTCCAGAAGCGGTGAATGCTCCAACACTGGAAGTTTTTAAGAAGAGACTGGACAGCTGTTTGTCCGAAATGGTATAGGGTTTCCTGCCTGAGCAGGGGGTTGGACTAGCCAAGGTCCCTTCCAACTTTATTATTATTGTTACTATTTTTATTATTTGTAGTAGTAGTAGTAGTAGTAGTAGTAGTAGTAGTAGTAGTAGTAGTAGTAGTACAGAACATTTAAGACTTCCTGCTGAAATGGCAAAATGAGAAGCTGAGCCTTGTAATAGCTCTGCCAAGCTATTATTTTCATGTCACAGAAAAGAATTAAGGGCTATTTCAAAACATTCAAAACACTGCTTCTTGAAAATGATTGTATTTTACTCAATAACATGAAAAAACTCTGGGAATATTTGTGCTTTGATTTAGGTCTGTGGACATCTTCATTATTACTCACAGGGAATTCTGATTTATTTTTATATTTACTTTTTTAAAAAAAATATTATTGTGGTATCCAAAACTATTTCAGCATGAAATACTGATCTACAGCCACCTATTATAATAATAGAGTAATTGACCACAATTAGATTTACACCCATTGTTAATCAAGTGCTGAACCCAGGACACTATACTGAAATCTGACTCTCCAAAGAAAGCAGTTACCATCAGTATTATTATTCAATAATACAGGAGCCCTGGAAATGGCACTGGATAAATTAAGTGAGGGTCTGAGAGGGAATTAACGTAATGGGATGAGAATGTATAGTCCACAGTTGTTGGGTACGCCGATTGGGAAAACAAATGGTGATATTTTGAACAGAGAACAATGACATTTTTCATCATGTCTTCTGACTGCTAGTTGATGCTCAAGGGTGTACTCTGCTAGTCTTCTGCCTTTTTGCGCTACGTAGTGGCCATTTCAGACCTTATGTTCTATATGACTCCTATTTTTTCTTCTGAGACTGCTAGGTCTTTTGATTTACTTAGGATGTTTTGGAAGGCTTTAGTTGGTTTGTGTGCTACACTGATGTCATGTGGATCTAATAATCGTTGATGGTTTCTGAGATGTTTTTGATGTTTGCAGTGTCACCCTGTTAACAGCTTGTATTGATTGTGCTATATTGGGTTGTCTATGGAGATTCTCAGTCATCCAGGTCATAGTTGTCCCAAAGATGCTTTTTCATAAGGCAACTGGACTTTCTTGTTTTTCTTTGAAGATGTTTCTCTACTCATCCAAGACGCTTCTTCAGCTCTGACTGGATGGCGGGGAATAGAAGGATTTATATACTCCTTGAGGAGTATAAATCCTTCCATTCCCTAACATCCAGTCAAAGCTGAAGACCCTTCTTGGAAGAGAAGTGAAACATCTTCAGAGAAAAACAAGAAAGTCCTATATTGTGTTGACTAGTCAGGCACTTTTTGATGAAGTTGTGTGGATATCCACTTTGCTGGAAGATGTTATATAGATGACCTGTTTCCTTTTTCTGATGTTCAGAGCAGTTGCTCTGTGTTTGTGCTCATCTGAATATAAGTAGTCCTTGACTTATAGCCACAATCGAGTCCAAAATCTCTGTTTCTAAGCAAAATAGTTAACATGTCAATATTGCAGCAATTGTATGGGAAATGAGATCAGGTACAGAAAGTTAATGCTCTGTTGTTTTAATTTTGAGTATAGTATATTGTTATAGTACATTGTTCAAATTGCCATGGTAAGATAGCAATCATTTATTAGAATTGTAGTTTTAAAAATAATTACAAAGATGATTCTTCGGGGTTTTATCACTCTTTCTGAAAATAAGAAGTGGAAGTGTAAGGAGGAAATAATGGTTATAAAATCCCATTCCTATTATACTGGAAAAAACTGCATATTTCTATCTCTTTATTTAACATTAAGATTAAACATGAGATTGGTTTGGATTTTCAATTCTTTTTCAGGTTGTTTTCTGAAATCCTTTTTCGTCTTTCAGCTTAATGTTGCCCTAATTTGTCATAATTTCTTAAAATAGGTTTCAGTCCTGTTTTCTTGAACATCATGCTAAGTGAACTTTTTTTCCTGTTCCTGTTTTGAATTTATCAAATCAGTTCATCTATCACCTTTGCTATCTTTCTTTTTAGAGAGTACCATATAGTTGTCTTATGTTTTTCTGTGTAGATTTCCTTGATAGTTGCCGGGCTAGTACTCTGTTGGCTGAATTAGATGATGATGAAGATCTACCAGAGCCAGACGAGGAGGATGATGAAAATGAAGATGACAATCAAGAAGATCAGGAATACGAAGAAGTAATGGTACAGTACATATGTTTTAGTTCTATTTTCTCTCCATTTATTCTAGTCTTGAATTTAAGAGAGATTTATAATTGTAACAAAATTTAAGCAACTTATACAAACCTAATACTGAACGTGTTTGCTTTTTTTTATTGATGAATCCCCAAATACAAGTGATTTATTTGTTGAATTTAGACTTAAACCTAACTGATCAAAGTTTTTTCCATTTTCCCCATTTTTTATGTTTATGTTTATGCTTTAAATCAAACTGATATTTTCAACTAGTCCTACACATTTTCATTTACTTCCATACTGTAATGTTTTGAACAGGAAGAAGAGGAGTATGAAACAAAAGGAGGACGTAGAAGGACATGGGATGATGATTATGTGTTAAAACGCCAATTTTCTGCTCTAGTACCTACTTTTGATCCAAGACCTGGCCGTACTAATGTGCAGCAAACAACTGATTTAGAAATTCCTCCCCCAGGTATACATGAGAGCAGTTTAAAAAATGTGGGAAATTCACGTTGTATGAATAGATTTGTGGGTGGGCAGGAGGGTTGTTAAAAAACTGTTTCACAAGTTATGTAAAGTCATAACAATGGAATTGTTTGGTTTGGGTTTAGTGGAATGTTTGAACCCAACTTCTATGGTTTATGTCACAGCTTTATTAGACATGATATTACTAGGGTGGTACAGGTATTAGAAAACACACTAAGTTGATAGATTTAGATATAAATATATATAAATTCTTTGTCCCTGAAGCCAATGGTTGGAATGGGAGAGAAAAAACATTGTTATGCCAACAAATATCTCATGCTACCTTCATATCGGGATAAAACTGTAGGTGTACACATCTTTTTCATTGGAAGGAATTGAAACCCAGGGATATTGAGCAAAGGCTAATTGTGGGACTTAAAGCAATAGAATTTGAAGGACTGGAATAAATAATGTAACTATAAAAATTTTTACTTGAATGTTAATGAATTTATAGGTTCTTCTCTTTCTTTCATTTTATCCCATCTTGTATTTTTTAGCATTATTGGATTAATTGTCCAGCAAAGTTAACTCTTCACAGAAAGAACAGGCTGCCGTGTTTCTGAATAATTTATGCTGGTTTATGACAATAATAAAGATTTGATTTTGTTTTGATTTGATTTTTGAGTAGCAGGCCATTTTGTGCAAAAGTTAATTTTAGTTTTGAAAAATATCTCCCAAAGGGTGATTTCTTTAAACAGTTAGGCAATTAAAATACATCAGAGAAGTAATGCTAGTTTAAAAAAAAAAAAGAAAAGCAGCAGAACTGCATAAGAGTGCTCTTTATTATTTTTTTTTCCTTTTCCTCATATTTTTTGACAATTTATTTGAAAATGGTGTATATTTAAAATGTTATTCTTAAAGAAACTTGCAAGATTTTTTTAAAGTTAGGCTGGGAAACCGAGAAGTAAAGATGATTTTTAAAAAAACGTTTACGCTTATTTATGTTTGGTACACTATAGTTGACAGTAAAGTTGTGCAAGATGCAATATAACAAAAATACGTGATAGACTGTAAAGCAATGCAGAAGGACAATAAGTAAATACTTTGTGCTGCTACCTCCTAGATCCCACAAAATCTCTGTTCCTGAGGAAACACTGAACCTAAAATAATCTTGTGATACTCCTTGAGCATTTTTTCCTTACTTTGTTAGAGTTTTTTTTTATAGACACTATGTTTCTATATCTACACACTATACAAATTGCTAATGACATTTTAAGAAGATTATAGTGTATAATTATAATGGCCCCAGTGTGCCTTTATCAGTCTTTGGAACTTAATGCTCATGTTTACTGCTGTCCTTCTCCCACCGTTTGCTCTCTAAAAGGCCTCTATGATTGTAAGGCTATTCATTCCTTAAATCTAGCCTTAACAGTTCCATTGCCTTTTATTACCTACACATTTATCTTAGTTGTACACAAAGATTGCATCAATTCAAATTTACATGAGTTTGCAGGTGCCTCAGAAAATAGTAAATTATTATTTTTTCATCAATTTATTGGTTTCAGGAACACCTCATTCGGAACTTCTAGAAGAAGTTGAATGTATGCCATCACCACGTTTAGCACTTATCTTGAAAGTTACAGGACTCGGTACAACTCGTGAAGTTGAGCTACCCTTAACAAATTTCCGTTCAACTATATTTTACTACGTACAAAAATTGCTGCAGCTTTCTTGCAATGGCAGTGTGAAATCAGATAAACTTAGGCGAATATGGGAACCAACATACACGTAAGAATTCAAGAATATATTCATAGTTGTAAAATAATCTAAAACTGTAAATTTGCTTCTCTGATAGTAAATTGTAGCAAACAAATATATTTCTGAATAAACATATGTAGGAATAATCTATTAAACAATTGTTAATACATATCAGAAACAATGTCTTGAAGAAATATGTCAGTATTAACAATTCTATGTCAGTCTTTGGGGCCATTATTTCTTTACCGTTTTCATTGCTTTTATCTTTATTGTGATAAATAGATGCAGATTGAATAATCACATAAAATATTTTACTGCATCAAAACAAACCAACATTTATTCATTGTTTTTATTTTTTATAATTTAATGATAAATGATAATGATAATTAACTTGTGGAATGAAGAATTATATTGGTTGCCCTGACATTCTATGCTGGATAAAATTTTCAACAATAGAAATATTTCAAAACAGTTCAAATTTGGACTCTTTCATATTTGAGTACAATTGTTTTGAGTACAGATCTCATTTTGAATGCAAAACAGCTCTTTTGAGCAAGTGATGTCTTTCTTGGTTTTTAGGGCAGTATCTTAAGTGCAAAACAACCTGCTTTGTTTTTGAAACAGCTGCTGTGCACTCAGGTGCTTCAAACTCATGGGAAGTTTTAAAATGTGACATAGCCTGAATTTGAATCATTTTGTAAACTCGTCTTCTGAAAATTATTTAACATTATATTATTATGGGGGGAAAGGAAAAAAAAGCACTTCTCTCTTCACTTTTTCTATAGTGTATATAAATTTATATGCAGTTATGGTGCTCCCCTCTGCCTTTTTTTTAAACCAAAAGTTTCCAAACATAATTTTGTAAAAAATATTTTATTTCTTTGATCATTCTAATAGTCCTTTTCTATCAAATTTAATGATGCTTCAGTATCCATGATTAGATACAGTGGTAAGCAATTTAGAATTATTCACATATTTTGAATTACATCACCCATAATTTCTAACCATACTGTCCAGGGTTTATATGGAAGTCCAAAATATCTGGAGAACTTCAGCCCTGTTGTACAGTTATAATTTAGAAACAAGTTCTTTGGCAATGAACAGCTAGTCAAAGCTATATAAATAACTTTGATCTTTTTTACGTTTAGAATTGTATACAAAGAAATGAAGGATTCTGATAAAGAAAAAGACAGTGGGAAAATGGTGAGAACAATCTTAACCTTTAGATGTTTGCAGTTTTTGCACCTAAAACAGCTTGAAAGCTATGCTAAATTAATTTTGTTACATAAGTTGTGTGATATTTCATAAATGCATGTTCCTAGAGAAGCATAAATTTAAATCTTTCAAACTTACAATCAGGAAAGACCAACATTAGGTGATTCCTGTTGTAGGGTTGCTGGTCAATAGAGCATGTGGAGCAGTATCTTGGCACTGATGACTTACCAAAGAATGATTTGATAACCTACCTGCAGAAGAATGCGGATTCAGCCTTTCTGCGTCACTGGAAATTAACTGGCACTAATAAAAGCATTAGGAAAAACAGAAATTGTTCTCAACTCATAGCCGCTTACAAGGTATATATCTACATCTAAAAATATTAATTTGGAAATGTGTGGTTTTGGTCTTGTGAGAATTTGGATAGATTTGATATAAAACTAACATTGTTTCTTGATTAAGTGTCATTATGTGCTGTTGTCATAGTTAGCTTTTTTTTGTATACTTCTGAATTACTGCAGTAATGATAACCTTAACATGATGCCTAATAATAGTCTAAGCTCCAGCTCGAATTACACATCTTTTTTTCTTTTTAAAATTTTATTTATTTTTATTTATCAAATTTAGAAACCACCCATCTTTCTTACAGAGGAACTGTGGGTGGAGTTCAAATAAAATATTAAAAACATAAAAAGCAAGGATAGTTAAAATTCAGCATTGGAGCACTAACCATCCCACAGCTGCATACTCCTCTGAGAGTCCCATGCAAGATGGCAGAGCCAGGTCTTTAGACATTTCTGAAAAGACCAGGAGATTGGGGACCTGCTTTGCCTCTGGCAGGAAGAATATTCAAGGGGGGGGGGGGCAATGGCAAAGAAAATTCCCTTCCCAGATCCCAGCATTTGGAATTCTTTAACTGATAGGGTCCACAAACATATCTTCCCTGCCTCATTAAGTGGGATGGGCTGATGTAATAGGGCATGTTCCATTATTAACTCAATTTCTATTTATTTTTCTTCTGGTAATTCATGCAGGATTTTTGTGAGCATGGATCAAAATCTAATTTGAATCAGGGAGCGATTTCCACGCTTCAAAATTCAGACATTCTTAGTTCAATTAAAGAACAACCTCAAGCCAAAGCTGGTAATGGACAGAATTCCTGTGGAGTAGAGGATGTTCTGCAATTACTGCGTATTCTCTACATTGTTGCAAGTGACCCTTGTTCTCCTCGAACTTTGCAAGAAGGTTAGTAGAAAATAGCCTCTAAAGATTTCCCCCCTAAAACTCTCTAAGAAAACATGAAATAAAAAATTCTGTTATTATTTCAGAAGGAGATGAACAGCTTCAGTTTAATTTTCCACCAGATGAATTTACAAGCAAAAAAATTACCACAAAAATTCTTCAACAGATTGAGGTGATGTATTATTGAAAAATTATTTTAAGATTTTCAGTTATATATTCTTTTAGATGTTCAGAAATTTAAAATGCAATTTTGTGGAAAAATTAATTCTATGAATATGCCCTTTATATATGATCTATTCAGTTCACAAATCAAAATGTAAAGAGAGGCTATTTATCTGAGAGCCAAGTAGATATCCAGAGCCAAGTAAAAATAATATAGCCAGTTACACAATTCAGTCAACATAGCCTCACTCTTGAATGGTAAGCTTATTTGGATGGAAATTACTGAGATACCCATTATAAAAGTTCAGAAGATTAAATTTCCATTTAAATAGTAAGCATATTCTCTTTTTCTTTTTAAATGTCATTAACTTAGGTGGTTTATTAAAGTGGAAGAACCTGTCTGATACAGTAGCGAGTATACAGGGGCTACATCCCCCAAAGTTGCTGACCTATCTAAGAATTGTGACTAATCCCAATTTTAGAGAGATTTTGTTAAACAACCCATCTCCTAAATCAGAAAAGTGAAAAATACTTAAGATGCCTCTGCCCCTGATTTCTGTTTGCCAAGGATTTAGTTTTCTTGGAGGTTGCCATGCTTGAAGACAAGATTGCTGTGTAAGAAAATTAATTTTTATATAGCATTTATATTAATTTATGAGATTCATGGTTGAAGGTGAGTACAGAAAAGACTAGCCAGCATGTAAAAATAGCTTTATATCCATGCACTTTACTGGTCTGACTTACCTGTTTTCATATTTTAATTGTTAAATCACAGGAACCATTAGCATTAGCAAGTGGAGCTTTACCAGACTGGTGTGAACAGATAACTAGCAAGTGTCCTTTCTTAATCCCGTTTGAAACTAGACAACTGTATTTCACGTGCACAGCATTTGGAGCATCAAGGTGAGAACTGTGCTCAAAATCATTTAATTTCTTATTCGTCCTAGTGTGTAACAGTTTTTTAACATGAATATCATAAGCTTTGGTTTGTTACGTTAGGGGTGAATAATCTTAACATTCATAATATTAAGAATCTTCAATATTTTACAGAAACTGATGGAAGAGATGCTTAACATTTTAAATTAAATGAATGCATTTCTTTTTCTTATCAGAGCTATTGTGTGGCTGCAGAATCGACGTGAGGCAACTGTTGAGCGAACACGAACTGCAAGTACTGTACGAAGAGATGATCCAGGAGAATTCAGAGTTGGGCGCCTTAAACACGAAAGAGTCAAAGTTCCACGTGGTGAATCCTTGATGGAATGGGCAGAAAATGTTATGCAGATTCATGCAGATAGAAAGTCAGTTCTGGAGGTAAAATATATCCTCTTAAAAAATAATAAAATAAATATTAACAAGACAATCTGTGTATGCACAGATCTCTCTTTCTGGAGTAAAGGGGAAAAAAGTTTATTTTGCAGCCTCCTATGTGCTTTTATGCATGGGATGCAAAAATTATTCAGTTTCCCATTTTCATTCACTGGAAGCCTCTATTGATTCTCTGTCTGGGCAAATCTGAATGCATCGGCACATTATGATAGGTAATATTTCCCTTGGAGCTACTTAAATTTTTGTTTTATTGATTCCCAGGTGGAGTTTTTAGGGGAAGAAGGAACAGGATTAGGACCTACTTTGGAATTTTATGCATTAGTAGCAGCAGAATTCCAAAGAACAGAATTGGGAGCTTGGCTCTGTGATGATGATTTTCCAGATGATGAATCACGACAGGTATATTTCCTTTTCAGAAAAATATACAAATAAAAGATATGGTACTATGTAACTTCAATAACACTTTTCTCCTTTGCCTTTTTTAAAAAGGTTGATATTGGCGGTGGATTGAAACCTCCAGGATACTATGTACAGCGCTCTTGTGGGCTCTTCACGGCACCGTTCCCACAGGATAGTGATGAACTTGAAAGAATCACTAAACTGTTTCATTTTCTTGGGATTTTCTTAGCTAAATGTATCCAGGACAATAGACTTGTAGACCTGCCAATTTCTAAGCCTTTTTTTAAACTCATGTGCATGGGTGATATTAAAAGCAATATGAGTAAACTGATTTATGAATCACGGGGTGACAGAGACTTGCACTGCACTGAAAGTCAATCAGAAGCCTCTACAGAGGAGGGACATGATTCCCTATCAGTAGGAAGTTTTGAAGAAGATTCCAAATCTGAATTTATTCTTGACCCACCAAAACCTAAGCCTCCAGCATGGTTTAATGGAATCCTAACATGGGAAGATTTTGAACTGGTAAACCCTCACAGAGCAAGATTTTTAAAAGAAATTAAAGATCTTGCAATTAAGAGACGTCAAATATTAAGCAACAAGGGCCTTTCAGAAGATGAAAAAAATACTAAACTTCAAGAACTTATGATGAAGAACCCATCAGGTTCTGGACCTCCACTTAGCATAGAAGATTTAGGGTAAGGTGATTTTTTTTTCTCAAGTTGTTTTTGTAAATGTTGGTGCTCTTAAACGAATTAGCATACTAGTTTGAAAATTGTGCAAACTACTTGTTTTCTAAACAAAATCACAGAAATATAATATTTGCAGCATTAGCTTACAGTTTAATTATATTGAGGTGTTTATATAGATTTTTATTTAAACATTGTCATTCTGTTCACGTATAAATTGTTTTTCATTGGATATTGAGATATCCTTCAATATAATGAAGTTATGATCATGCTAGATAAATTTTGCATGACTGGAAAAAGTTCATACCCAAAAATGCTTTTTCACAAGGAAGGCAACTGGACTTTCTTGTTTTTCTTTGAAGACGTTTCATTTCTCATCCAAGAAGATTCTTCAGCTCTGACTGGATGGTGGGGAATAGAAAGATTTATATTCCTTGCAGCATTTGCATTTTTTTAGAGAATCGTTGAGGCCACCTGGAGGTTTATCTGTGTCATCAAGATCACCTGAGTAGTGCAAATGGGTGTGGAACCTTCTTGGAACATTCCCCTCATGCACCTCGGTACTGGCTGCTCATGCAGGTCCATTAGGCTGCTGTTGCTGCCCAGAGCGGCAGGCCCGCCCAGCACAAAGGAAAAAAAGCAGCCAGCTAGGAAGCCCCGAGTAGATATGGTAGAGCGCGCCCATGCCCAGCAAGCAAAAGGGCACCCCCGGGGGCACCATAGCCCCCCAGGCCCAGCTAGGACTGCGTGCCTCCCCCCATCTCTGCTGGGGCTGGGCGGGCCTGCAGGTCAGGGCAGCGGCCTAATGTACCTGTGTGAGTGGCTGTCGGCAGCGGCTGCAGCAGGTACCAAGATGCGCAAGGTGAATACGCTCCACCCGCGGATCACGGGCAAGACCTGCGAGGGGGCTGAGATGACCAGTGGCGACCTGCTCTCCAACCAAAAAGAGATGGGACAGAGTAGGCGTGTCTGGTGGCCGCATCATGTGCTACTGCTCCCGACTCCATGTGTTGCCAGTGCTGCTGCAGCATTGCTGCTGGAGGGCCAGGCCGGTATTCACAGTGACTCCATGCAACTCACCACCTCCTGTGCATGTGCCTTGGGGGCCGCCGAGCTGGGCGGGGCCATGGTGGCAGGGGCCAATCCCTCACCATCCCTGGGGCCAAATATTGGCCAGTTGCGGGCCGGATTCAACGCGCGGGCATTGTGTTTGACATGTCTGGTACATAAGAATGAATGAATCTGATACTATTTCTGAATCTATATCGCTGTGACTCTTATCATAGAAATACTATGATGCTTTCTGATACTTAATTATCTGATAAAAAAAACATAAAAAGTTATGATTTACTAATGTTGTCTTTTTTTATAGTCTTAATTTCCAGTTTTGCCCTTCATCCAGAGTCTATGGCTTTACAGCAGTGGATCTCAAGCCTGGTGGAGAAGATGAGGTAAATATTTCTAATAAGACAATTTAGTAGTGTGCAAAATTTTTTGAATCAAATTATCCTGAATTTAAAGGAACCCATTTCAAGGGCAAAATTGCCCTTTCTGAGTACAAGTGGTTTTTAGCATGAAACAGGCCACTTTGAAAGAAATTTTGTATCAAAACAAGCTATTTCATAGCAAAGACCTGTTTCAAGCTTGAGACACTTCCAGTATGCTTAGAGTATCCCATCTGAGAGTATTATGGAAAGATGAGCAGAGTAGTGTCCCTATACATGACTGAAGATTCTATACAATGATGAACTTGCAAAAATTGCTCTCATTTCCTTTGGACTAGATGTCAGTTGTACAAAGTCCATTGTGGTAAGCCTACCCACATCTTGTATGGAATTCTTTGGAACTTGTGGAATCTGAAGAAGTAGATGGGGTTCTGTGCAGAACAGCATTATCGGTGGGTTTGACCTGTCTCTTCCTGTCTCATATTAAGCAGCCAGATAGGGTGTGAGCACTGGATATAGGAGAAAATCTTTTGAGGGAAAGCCTAATGGTATAGCCTTGAAGCCATGGAAGATTCAAGAGGAAGGAGTATCTGGAACCTTTTCCAGGATGATTTAGGCCTCATCGTCATTATCATAATAATAATAAAGTTGGAAGGGACCTTGGAGGTCATCTAGTCCAACCCCCTGCTCAGGCAGGAAACCTTATACCATTTCAAACAAATGGCTGTCCAGTTTCTTCTTAAAAACATCCAATGTTGGAGCATTCACCGTTTCTGGAGGCAGGTTGTTCCACTGGTTAATTGATCTAACTGTCAGAAAGTTTCTCCTTAGTTCTAGGTTGCTTCTTTCCTTAGTTAGTTTCCATCTGTTGCTTCTTGTCCTGCCTTCAGGCGCTTTGGAGAATAGCTTGACTCCCTCTTCTTTGTGGCAGCCCCTGAGATATTGGAACACTGCTATCATGTCCCCCCTTGTTCTTCTCTTCATTAAACTAGACATAGCCAATTCCATCATGAGACATGGATTCCTCTGTTTATATTTTTCTGATGTGTTGTTTAGATTACAAGGAAAATTACCATGTAATTATGTTATTTTGCAATGTATTGGTTTAATTTACTATATTTATTTATGTTCTCTGTTTCATGAGGTGCCCCGAGTTGGGCAATATCAACATTAATAAATCAATTAAAATCAATAAATCTGCTATCTTTTCCTATTATCTAGAGAGTCAACACCTTGAGCATCTCCCCCCCCCCCAAAAGGTCCATGGGATATAGATGAAATAACAGGCCTTCTCTGTAGTAGCTCTCACTCTGTGGAAATCTCTCCCTGTGTAGTTCAAACCCTTTTGTATTTTTGACAGCTAGTTTAAAGCAAGACAATTTCATGTCTTTGGCCTGGTTTGGGGAATCACCAGTATAGCATAGTATACAAACTGGTTGGCTATCTAATATGAAATTTTTTGGAAGTTTTCAGTGCCTAGAGTCCTTTAGGATTGTTGCCAGTTAGAGATTTTATTAAATATATTTTAAAAATCTACTCAGAATAGCTATTTACAAAAATCACAAATATTTCACAAAACATTTTCACACTATTAGAGTCCAATATTAATTTCTTTAATGATCTTCTGTAATGTAACATGACTCCCTTTTGTCCATTGTCAATCTCATTATAGTTGGTAACTATGGATAATGCAGAAGAATATGTGGACTTGATGTTTGATTTCTGCATGCACACTGGCATACAGAAACAAATGGATGCTTTCAGAGGTATGTAATTGTTTATTAGTGACAAGAACATAAATCTCTTACTTAAAAGGGAGATGGGGACCTTGGCAAGGAAAAAGGTATTGCTTTTAAGTCATAATTGGAATTTCTAGATAAATTAGTGAGATGGATTTTTTTTCCCCAATTAACGTTAGTGGATACCAGATGATTTTGGACTCATGTAATTGCAGAATGACCAATGACTAGAGATATTGGGAATCTTCAACATGTGGAGAGTCGAATCCTAAGCTAACTATAATGAAATTATATTTATTTAGCTTCTGTGCCATCCATCTCACCAACGGCAGTTCTCATTAGGAAGCTTACCTTATTATATTAGGAAAAACAACTTTTAAAAACATTTCTAGGTCTTCTAAAGTTTTGCTGACTTGACTTCTGTGATGGTGTTCTTTTACACTTGACAATTTTTACAATTTAATATTCTTGCTTAAACTGTTCTGTTAATTGTCTTGAATATAAATACTTCTTTTTTATATAAACAAGTGTCACATTTTCTTCCTCATTCTTTTTTTCCATGCATGTTGGAGTAAGGAAAGAATGATACTTGGATTTTAAAATAGTTCTCTGAAGAGGTGCTTTATTTGTTTTGTTTTTTTAATTTGCTTGTTTTATGCTATTGTTTGCTATATTCTGTTAAAGATAGCCAAATATTTCTGCTAGGAATTGATTTCTATACCTTTTTAAAAGAGAGAGAGAGAGAGAGAGAGAGATGGTGAATTTCAGATGATTTGTGAACATATTTGTCCGTGTAGTACAAGGAGAGTATTAGAATAAAAGATATGAGTATTTTTTCTGGTAAACATCTTCAAGCATACTCACTTTTGCCCTGTTTTTTTTCCATAAAGATGGCTTCAACCGAGTCTTTCCAATGGAAAAGCTAAGTTCCTTTAGCTATGAAGAAGTTCAGATGATTCTTTGTGGTAATCAGTCGCCATCCTGGGCAGCTGAAGATATAATCAACTACACAGAACCTAAACTTGGGTACACTCGAGACAGGTACTTCATCAAATAGTAGCATATTTCTATTAATTTTAAGATTTAGTCATAAAAGATAATGGTTTGGAGGAAGAAAATAAGGAGGGAATCAATCCAGAACCATTAAAACTATGAAATGTTACTTGTTCCAGCTTCATATTTTTACCTTACAAGGAATTTCTCATCATAGAATACCTACGTTTTCATAAGTTGTAAATTTACCTTATGGCAAAATGGGTGGCCAATAAATTTTATAAATAAAAATAAATATCTTTTAAGAAATTATATATAATACTATATTTTAAACAGTACATATTTATTGAAGGTTTTTTTTTTACAATTTCATTGTAAGCTTGCCTTCTGTAGTCAGAGCCCCAAGAAGCCTTCCTTTACCTAATGTATCTTAGTCATCAAAGGTTTAATCTCTGACTTTTAATTTGATTTGCTGTGTGAAATGATCTTAAGAATATACAGATTTTGTTCTAAATATTTCCAAAGCCCCAAAGCAATTGAAGAAACAAGGAAGGTGGTACGTTATGTAAAATTTGTCAGTGTTCCCATCTCATTCAAATTAGAAACTAGTTAAATGATACAATGATACATATAATACATCTGTTAGTTGGAGCTAAAACTGGTCTGAATTTGTATTCAGAGTTCAGTGGTTCATCATCTAAATTGAATGAGATAACAAGCTTCAATGCTGGGCTTGATGTTACTTAAGTTTTTATTAATGTATTTGAAGATAGCGGAAGGCATATTTATCAGATTTAAATGTGATACAAAATAAAGGTGGGTAATATTCTAGATTTTCCTAAGGATATCTACCATCCTATCAGATGATAGGGCATGCTTCTAGCGCCTTCCCCTAAACATTGCCATCTTATCAGGGCTAGGGCATGGCAGCTCCACCCTATTGAACAATCTTTCCCCTGAAGTTTGGCCTTTACGTTTTTGACCTTCTGAAAAGTACTGAAGGCTTGACTTTTCCCCTGTGCTCTGGGATAGGATAAAGTGAGTGTGTGTTGGAATCTTAACTTGGTGCCAGATTTTTGTTTTTACTGTTTATGCTTTTATGTTGCTTTATTACTGATACTGCTTTAATTACCAATAAAGGAGAATATTTGTAGCTCAGACGGTCCTTGGTGCCCTCTGAGCTTGCTTGTTTTCTTTCAGATGTTTTATATCAGCTTTCCATCTTCCGAGGTTGGTAAAATGAGGACCCAGATTGTTAGGGCAATATGCGGACTCTGTAAACCACTTAGAGAAGGCTGTAAAGCACTATGAAGCGGTATATAAGTCTAGGTGCTATTGTTATTGTTAACATCATCAGTGCTAGTAAGGAATGGGATTTACTTTAGCCTTTTTGGCAGTTCCTTGATTGGGTTATTGCGAACAGTAAACAGCCCAAGCAAACAACTGCCAAGACCACTTCCACCAACATTGACAGGGCAAGCAACTAGAATAAATATTGAAAGCAAACCACATTCCTTACTTGTGCTGATGATGTTACCTAGGACCCCTCACTGATTTAATTCTTGATTGGGAGCTGTCTAGAGTTTGGTATCAGATGGGTGACTATATAAATATTTTTTTTAAATGAATAAATAAAACAAATGACCCACAAAATAGAAAACCTGCTAGGTAAAGAAATGAGTTGAAAATAATAGTGACACAATACAGATATATTCAGTTAGGAAGCAGTATATTGGTTATCTTGGTCCAATTATACCTTAAATACTGTGTCTAGTTCTAGATATTGAAACATAGGAGCAATTTAGACAAACTATAACAGGTGCAAGGAACAGTATCAAGGATTATTCAGAGGCTGGAAACTGAGTCTCAGGAAAGACTGAGGAAAGTAGGTATATTTAGCTTTGAGAAAAGATAAGCGAGCTATAGTAGCAGCCTTTTAAGTATCTGAAAGAATATCAATTCCTTCCACATTCCAGACTGCAAGATATCGAAACAGTGGTCTTAGGTTTATAGAAAGGCAGATTCTGATAAAACATTAGGAAAAATACATCCTGGTGGTAAAGAGAGATAAATGTGAAATTACTGACAGAAATCGACTTCCTGTTTGTTGTATATGTTTGGATTTGACAGCCTAAATACCCTTCTATTACTGTATTGTAGATTATCAAAGAAAGTGTAATTATGGTGCTTCAGCTTGGCTGTCTCTTGCTTTTTAAATTGATCAGAAATCTGACCTCCTGAGTTTCGGGTCTTTCACTGCTAGCAAGGACAATGAGAGTGATAATAACATTCCAGGAAAAAATGGTGGTGTCCAGGCGTCTTGTTTTTGAGATAGCAAGCTCTGAATGTAATGTTGGTAGACAATATAGGGACAAGTTAAAGATCCTGTTCATATTCCACTCAACTTGCCATGTGGTGTAAGTTTCTTCCAGAAAAACTGTCATTCTGGATTTTGAATCCTGCTTGTTATTGATGTTTGGAGGTTTTATCCTCTATCCCCTACCTAGTGGGAAAGAATTCATGTCATCCATAGGCTTGCCCTGAGTCCTTTGGAGTTGGTGACTATAACAAATTTCAATAAATCATCAATATCATCTCTTGCCTAATACAAATCCTATATTAGAACTGGTCTTTATCTCAAAGCAATTGGTATATGATCTGTAGTTATAAAACATAATGATGAGTCTTTTGCTACAATCAGATGAGTCTCTGCTGTAAATATGGCTTATTGTAAAGAACCTTTGCACACTGGGAAGATTGATTAGGTGGTTTGCCTCAGGTATCTTAATGGATCCAGTTAAATTCTGGTATGTGCTTTGGAATTTTCCCAGCAAGTATGGTAGACAGTTGTATCAAGCTATGGAATATAGACACAGCCAAAGCATTTGACAGGATTTCCCTGATTCTTCCCCCTATTTGCCAGTCCCAGGGTGGAGCTCCTTCATTTATCTAGGAAATCAAGTGACTGAAAAGATTCCTGGAGTGCCAGTGAAGGAAGATCGGAAATGAATTTGACTTGAACAATAAGAGCTCACGTTTGAATATATGTTAGGGCAATAAAGGTGACACAGCATATCTCCATCATTATTACATTAGCAGTTTGCATTAAGTGCCCTTTTGAGATTTCCTTGTGGGTTGTTGTGAGTTGTCTTGCAATATTTTGCTGAAAAAATTGTTGAAATTTGATCATGTGTTACCTATGTGAATGAAATTTGATGAGGTGACTGGTGTAGAGATTTGATTTTTTTTTTTTTTGCAATATTACTTTGAAAACATTTCAGCTTGTTAGTTCCCCTCAAAATGGATGGAAAGTTCTGCAGTTTGAACTCTACACTAATGATTTGTTTCATGCCCACCTAACTGCTTTAGGAAGCTGAATAGGCATCTCCTTTGGTGGAGATGCATTTATCCTATGAAGGCAGTGAATACCGTATTTTTATAGGTCTGTTTGCTTTCAGTAGATGTTGCCAATATTGTAGAGTTTTTAGCCATAGATTGTTTTATATTGGAAATACTGGAAATCTTCCAGTGTTGTTGAAATGTAAAAGTCTGTAAGAACAATTAAATAAATAGAACACTTCGATTCTGAATATAACACTATCTTCCCAGTGGATAGCAGAAGCAGGCTTGCATCTATTTAGTTTTCTATGTTGGACTGGTCTCCCCCCCCCCAAGTTCTGGATGTCCCCCACTATGCTGCTGTTCAGAAGAGTGGTGAAGATTTGGGTTTTCATTCAAGCCTTTTATCATGAGAAAGTGGTATGTGTATAACACTTGCTGTCTTTCATTGATTTTGTTGTAATTACTTTGATTATTGAGAGCCACTCATAGTCATTGAAAGTCAGGTGACATAGAAGTTTAATATGTTATTAAATAAAATAGAGATATAATTTTAATAATAATATCATTTTTAAGCAGCCTGAACAATATGAGGTATGCCATGATACATCTATTCAGTTATGTGAACTGTATTGGCTCTCAGTGACTTTTGGGTGTAATTCAAGGTGTTGCTTATCACTTTTAAAATTGGCACGAGGCCAGGTTACCTACAGGATCTGGTTGTGGTTTTTAGGGTCAATTCTTCTTGTTAATAGATCGGTATTTAATATTTACCTATTTGCTTTGATTTTAGCCCTGGGTTCCTGAGATTTGTAAGAGTTTTATGTGGCATGTCTTCAGATGAAAGAAAAGCATTCCTCCAATTCACAACTGGCTGTTCAACACTTCCCCCAGGAGGATTGGCTAACCTACATCCCCGTCTCACTGTTGTACGCAAGGTATGAACATCTTACAACTTGTCTGCATTCTCTGTCTAGCTTGTGGCAGATACCTTTTCATAGCGATTTGGCCATTATGCATCGCAAATTCAAATCTAAATAACAACAACAACAAGTAAAAGTAGTAGAATCTAAAGGAGCCTTCCCCAATTGGATGCCTTCCAAATGTGGGGCTATAATTCCCAAATTTCTGAAATACTGACTAGGGATCTGTTGCTTACAAAGTTAATAAATGTTTAAACTGAAATGGAAGTGTACTATGTAGTCTCTGTCCTCTTTTTAAATTTCATTATGGATATTTATTCACAGGTTGATGCTACAGATGCAAGTTACCCATCTGTGAATACCTGTGTGCATTATCTTAAATTGCCTGAGTATTCCTCTGAAGAGATTATGCGAGAGCGCCTCCTAGCTGCTACCATGGAGAAAGGCTTTCATCTCAACTGAACTGGTGTGTCTGAAATGGGATATCTCAAACTGGTTTTGCATTCATACCTAGTGAAGCCTCCTGTGTTGTTGTGCAGAAAATACAATCTCCATGCTGTACTCAAATGAGACTTGCCTTTTCCCCCTATCCATGAGGCTTTGGAAACACATGGAATAATTTTGTTAGCTGCTAATGTCAAAACAAATCCCAATTAATTACACAGCCAGCAAGAAAAAGGCAAGAACAATGTGTGATGCTTCCAAGGGCTTGTGCAACCAGATGCTGAAGCAAATGTTTGACTGTTCCAAAGAGCAGATCTGAAGATTTCCAGTGTTTACTGATTCAAGATTTATAACAATGCATTTGTGTAAAGTCTACCGTTTAATATCCTGTACACTACAGTTCCATCATTGATCCTTGTTTTTGCTGGCTTTAAGCTAAATGGTCAGAAACTTGCTTCCTTAACTTAGTCAATGGGCATCTCAAGCTTTCTTTCCTTTCTTTAATGGTGCCTGCACTGTTGGAGTATTCTAGTGTTGGGGTAGGGTATTGGCATATAATCATGCACAACCGTTTATTATTATTTCAAGTGGAAATATATTTTGATTTCTAAATACCCTGCTATAAAGATCCAAATCCTCAAATGTGTGTTCATGTATGTATGTGTGTGTGTGTGCGCGTGTAACTCAACAATAAAGCTTTTAAAAGACACTGGTTACTGGTGCAAGGCCCATTTAAAGCAAGTTTTACTTTATGTTGTATTTCCTTTGTATATTAAAACATTTATTTAACTTGTTGCAGTTTGAAGTTTAAAAAGGAGATTTTCATTGTGTATGCTCAACAATAATCATTAAAATGTTTGCAGCCTACAAAAGTCTTTGGTTAGTATGTTACTAGTTACTCCAATACATTTGAAACTTAACAGAATAATAAAATTGGAAGGAACCTTGGAGGTCTTCTAGTCCAACCCCATGCTGAAGCAGGAAAGCCTATACCATTTCAGACAAATGGTTGTCCAATCTCTTCTTAAAAACCTCCAGTGTCAGAATGCAACCTCTGGAGACAAATCATACCACTGATCAATTGTTCTAACTGTCAGGAAATTTGTCCTTAGTTCTAGGTTGCTTTTCTCCTTGATTAGTTTCTATCCATTGCTTCTTGTCCTGTCTTCAGGTGCTTTGGAGAATAGGTTGACCCCCTCCTCTTTGTGGCAGCCCCTTAGATATTGGAACATTGCTATCATGTCACTTCTTTTCATTAAACTAGACATACCCAATTCCTGCGACTGTTCTTCATATATTTTAGTCTCAAGTCCCCAAATCATCTTTGTTCCGCTTCTCTGCACTCTTTCTGGTGTCTCAACATCTTTATATCATGGTGACAAAAACTGGATGCAATATTCCAAGTATGGTCTTACCAATATTATAAAGTGGTACTAACAGCAGGAGCCATGTGGCACAGTGGTTAGAATAGAGTATTGCAGGCTAACACTGCCAACAGCCTGGAGTTTGATCCTGATGGGGCTTAGCCTTTCATCCTTCCAAGGTAGGTAAAATGAGGATCCAGGTTGTTGGGCCAAGATATTGACATCATAAACTGCTCAGAGTGTCCTATAAGACATTATGGATGGTATATAAATCTAAGTGCTATTTTACTATTATTATATTATCTTAAATGAGAAATATTGGCATTATTCAATCCATTCAAAAACTTAATTTGTTGTTTCTATATTGTTTTAGTATGGCTGATACAAGTTAGTTAATACTTTGATGAGATTATTTTTCTATATAAAGTGGCCCCTAATCCAGGTGAGTTTGTATGCATTTTCATTACACCAGTGCTTCTGAACTAAAAAAGGCCAAAATAAAAATAAGGAATCATTTCAGCTGCTCTTAACTTTTTGAAATTTGACCAGGATAATACACAGCATTTTATTTTAGAGGTCTATCTATCTGTCTTTCTGTCTGTCTATCATCTATCTATGCATATATGTGTGTGCATATGTGTGTATTTGTATTACAGCATTAGCACTTCCATTTTCAATTTTGTTTTTTCACAATTGTAAGTTAATAAATCACGTTATCCATCTTTTCTATTCAGTCACTAGAACTTGTATCTTCTCAACATTTTTGTAATGTTAGGGTTTTTTTGTCCCCAAACAGATCCTTTTATCCTTGCTTACCCAGAATTACACATGCCATTTCAATATTTATTCTAGAACTTGAAAATACCCTTTTAAGATTTTTTTTGCTACCTTGTTTTATACTAAGCAAATTAAAAATTTATGTCATCAGGAGATTGAGCTGTTTTGCTCTTCACCCTTCAAACAAACAAACAGTGGCCCAAATAAAGACACTTGGGGACCTTGTCCGTTAAGTTCTTTCACTGTAAGAAAGAATTACTTTCTATTACACCAGAGTCATTTTCCTGGGTCCTAGCAAGAGTCATATGTCTTTCCAGTGTTTTTGCCTAATTATATTCACTTAATTGACAGAAAAAGGAAAGTTCAGCCAAACATTAGAAGAGTCAAATAGTTCTTTTTTTTCAGGTAATTGTTTTGCGTCCTTTATTAAGTAGTTCCATTCTTCCAAAAGGTGCCATGCTTTAATGGATTCAGAGGTTTTGGACAACTATCACATATACTTGTCCTTTTGACAAAAAATATTTAAATAGTAGTTCAGGACCAACTGCTAGAGGAAGTGTATTATAAGGATCCAGCCCTGAGTTTTGAACAGAGAACACTGATCGCTTTGGTCAGCAACCCATGTTGAAGCCTGGATGAAGGTAATGCACATATCCTAGTTCTTTTGGACCTCTCAGTGGCTTTCTTGATGGATTAGATGCTTGAGTTGAAGCATAGGGGCACTGTTTTAAGTGGTTTCATTCTTTTCTTCTAAGCCAATTCCAATCAGTGGTGGGGAGGAAGATTGGCTGCTGTCTTGCAGAGTGCTGCTCTTTCCTCCATTATTTAATAGTTTATGAAGCCATTGGGAGAACTCATCTGGAAATTGCTCATCATAACCCCAAGCCCCACTAGAAGTGCTGTCAATATCCTGTCCCAAAGCCTGGAAACTTAGGATTTGGTTGAGAGAAAGCTTGAATTGAATGCTACTAAAACAAATATTGTGCATACATCAAGGTTCCTCTGTCCTCAGTATTGTTTCTGGACTGGATTGCACTACCCCTGAAGGAGCAGGTCCTGAACTTGGATGTCCTCCTGGCCTCAAGGCTCCTGCTGGATCAGCAGATAAAAGCTATGGTCAGGGTGGACTTTGCTCACGTGTCTTAGGGCAGCAGGATGTGAATGTTTATGACTCATCGTCATGCACACAGACTACTATGCAAGGTGTCCTCCATGGGGCTGGTTTTAAAGATCACTAGAAACATCAGTTGGTGCAAAATGCAGCAGCCTCGATGCTTGCTGATGGTCCTGTATCACTATTTTGCTGGCAATGCCATGTCCTGTTTTAAACTATGATGCTCTTTATGGGGTAGCACTGGGCTCTCTTCAGGATCTCCTCTTTCCACTGAGTTTGGCCAACCTCTTTGAGAAGTGGATGATCATCCCCCATTTTTGGGAGGATGAAGAGCCAGTCTGAAGAGTGGCCTCCTGCAGGAAATATGTTTGGCCCCAATTTCAGTCACATTCCAGAACTCTTGCAAACAGATTTCCTGGTGGCAGTTTGTGAGCTGAGGCCAGATGCTATTTGGAATATATGTTTTTGTTGTTGTTTTATCAAAATTTATATTTTCAATATTTATTGTTTTTTTATGTTGCAAGTCACCAAGAATCTGCTTTTGATTGTGGCAAGTTAAATGATCAATAAATAAAGACACACACATGTAAAGATTAATTTAATTCCTCAAGCAGATTACAAATTTCAAAAACATTTGACATAGTAGTAAAAAATGTAATTTTACAGGAAGGTGATGAGAGCTAAACATTCACTTAGCCGGAAAACAATTATTCATAATTTGCCAAAAAACTCAAAAACAATCCTTTTTATTTGAATAATATTTTCAAATATGTACAATATTATTTTCAGGCTTGTTTCTTCTAGGTTTCTGCCATTTTATCAAGAACCAAAAGAGGTGCAAGAATTCTGGTTTTGTTGGTTTCTGCAATGCAACCATTTAGAACCATTTCATCCAAAATTATATGCACTCTGTCTAATTTGAACATAATCTGTATTTATATATCAAGTTAAGGTTTTGTGTTACTCCTTCAAGCAAAAAGTATGAACTAAATTGCAAAATACCATATTCATCAGTGCATTTATTTCAAGTTTGGACAACTTAATTTAACTTTCTAATCAGATATTTAAACAGCTATGCCAAATTTATGACACCATGATTTATATTTCAGTTTGAAATTTGCAATTATAACTGAGTAAATGAATGAAGAGAGACTTAGAAACGTGAAATAGTAAAAGCAGACATTTGAAATGTCACTTACTACTGCAGACCTGAGACTCAGAAATACTTGATTTCATTTTTACAAAATCTAATGCAAAGGAGTCATTATAAAATAACATTTTAAATCTTTAAATTATCCTAGTATATATTATTTTTGTAATAATAATAGTGAGATGGCCATGTTGGTGTTCAGAAATCTAATGTGTGCTTGTTCCCATTTTTTCTTTCAAACTGATATATTTTTAAAATAGTCAGTATGCATTATATTATTCAGTATCTGATCTGCATAACAGTAAGAAATAATAACAGCTTCTTCTTTGGTTCTTTTAAGTATTTAATTTATTATCAATGTGCTTCAACCTAAAACATATTTTATCAAGGGAGGTGATGTGTGATGTTACATCAGCTAGCTACTGTCTTCTACAATAATTTCTACATTATAAACTTGAATTTTATTCTGAATTAATTCTTATGGCATTTCTCCAACAATCCTGAGAAACTATAATTTGAAAGATATACTCAAAATTCTTTAATATTTGGCCCCTATCTTTTCTTGAACAGCAGCTTTCAGGGCTCGCTCTCTTGAGATTGGACTAAAGCAATTTGATGACAAGTATAAATAAGATGGCTTCCGTATTGAAAACATTGTCTTAATTATGTACCTAATTATGCATGCATTCTACTAAGAGTCAAACATTCTTGACTTTCAAGTCTTGAGTTGTATTATGAAAACTGCACAATTGATTTAGAAAGGAGAGTTTTGTATCTCTATTTAAAATTAGTGAATGAGTTTATTTAATGTATTGTGTGGGCATAGAATGCTATTTGTCATAAAAAGCTATTTACACAAATAATTCAGGTATTTCAATACTGCTAATTCAGCTGTCAGAAATCTAATAAATGGTACCATTTCCTGGGGGGGGGGCGGTGTGGGAAACCAGAAGGATCATTTGATAGGTCTCCAAAACATGATAAAGCTTTAGGATTGATGTGATATATACAGTATATTCCATTTTACTGTTCAAAGTTTGAAAAAGCATCTGGAGAGGTAGCTGGAAGCTGATATGAAGGAAACTCTAAGAGGTTTCCTCATCATACCATCATGATGTGAGCTAACCACACCCTGCTAAGCAGCATTCCACAACTTCATTTCACCAGCAAGTATTTCATCTGCTCTTGACAACCAAGTGGCTATAACTTCCTCTTAATTCTCTCAGTCTACTTTTGCTCACCTTGTTCTAAGTAAACACTAGAGCAACTAACTGGCTTTTTTATTTCTATTTATTTATTCAGGTGCTGCACACATTCTCCTTAATAATATGGGTTTAAAAGAAGATTATTTTGCCCCATTTTACTTAATGAAATTAAAATTAGCATTTTTCTAGCAAAAAGAGATTGGCATCAATTTCATCAGGGACATGTATTTAATGGATAGGAACTGGCTTCGATAATAATACATACCACTTTATATAAAATGTTGAGAACTGAAATAATTACTATTCTTCCCTATTATAACGGGACTCAGCATGGTAACACAAATCATTGCCATGAGTGTATGGTTGATCTAAAATTGTGTTCAGGTCTGTATCTAAATGATGTGATGTGAAAGGAACCCTGTTAAGAACTTTTCAAGTGTGCTTTGTCTATATATCAATTTAATACCTCTGATTTTGTGTACCTTGATCTCCTTGTATATCAATACAATCAAACAAGCCTTCATCTGACAATGTAACAGTTGGTGCAGTCACCAGGATGGTTATTTCAATCATGAAAGGATAGTTCTTCCTTTAGCAAACATCACTGAAATGTTTGCACTTGAACAAAACATATTAGATGCCTACTATGGGGGTAGCAAGCTTGGTTTTTGCTACTGATTACTTTATGTATCTGCTTCTCTTACCTATAAGTCATATATATATTTTAACTCTAACCCAATTCTTCCCTTCAAATGCTCTAACAAGCTTTTGTGCAATGTGCGGTGAGATGTTTATTGCAAGTAAACAGTGTATAGTTGCTCAGAAATCAGCTCTATTAAGTTCACTAGGTTTCACTTCAGCTATCTAGGTACAGAATTGCACTGTAGTGAACAGCTCACAATCACAAAATCAAGATATTTAGGTTTCAATTTCAAAAAGAAATGTTTTTTTCCACAAGCATTTAATTCATTTCAAATACAAATTTGCTGGAGCAGAATAGTAATTTACACTACAGAAATTCAGATTAGGCTTAACTACCATCCTCCAAGTCATTCCCGCTATATAAAAAATTAGGACTTTGAAGTGCTCTTATAATTTTTTTGAATAAATATTTCTTTCCTAAATCAGTTGCATTATTCCAAAGAATTTTCTCCCAACATTTTCAGGCACAAAGCGGTGAGTTTGTCAAATATTAATGTAACAAAGAACTCTTTAATTCCATTCTATGGAGAAAAAGGGTTATATCCCAGCAATTTACCAAAACTTTATCTTATTTTACATTTTGTTATACTGGAAAGTTTGGGGGTTTTTTTTAAATAAAAGTAAAAATAGTTGCTACTTCCTTTTCCTAAGATGTTTTCCAACTTTTTGGTTAACCTGTTTTATGCCTTCAAATCAGTTTTGACTCCTGGTTGCTGCTTGGACAAATCCCTGCAAATTTCTTGGCAAGTTTTTTTAGAGGTTTAAAAGAAAAGTGACTGACCCAATATCACCCAGCTAGTTTCATGCCTAAGGCAGGAATTGAACTCTCTGTCTCCTAGTTTCTAAACTGGGTTTTAACCATTACATCAAATTACCCTGGAATCCCCTGGTAAGTTTTCAAACCAAGTACAAACCTGGAATAATCCTGTTATGCTTTCAGGGCACGCCAGTATTTCCACCTGCAGAGATAAAGCCTAATTCCTAATAAACCTCCCCTATTCAAAAATTCTACAGGCCTGAAAGTTGCATAATTTCCTTACTCAAAATCAACCACTCAAAAAGCTAAAAATGTTTTGATTTAATTGTTGAAATTAAATTACTATGCATGCTCTTGTCTTGTCTTTTCTTTTTCCCAAAAAAATATTTGCAGTAACCTCTGTTGTTAAGTGTGCTGCATGGAGATTTTTGTATTGTGCTATTTGGGGTTTTTTTTAGTTATAAAGTATTTATGTGATCCTAGTACTGGTATTTACAGACTACAGGCATATCAATGACTAGGATGGAACACTATGTAATCAGGTTTTGGAAGGAATAGGGTGCAACGGAAGAGACAGCAAGTGGCAGTGAGAAGGAGGGCATAGAAAGAATGATGGGCAAAGGAGACGACAGGATGATCTAAATAAACTGGAAAAGTATCTTCTGAGAAGGACAGTAAAGTTGGTTATCTGATCTGTCACATGGGAACTGAGTTTGCCAGGGCCACGAATCATCTGTTTCTTGGTTCCTATTAATCATATGGCCAGGAAAATGGAGAAAACTGGAAGCTTTCAGAAGAGTAGCAGCTATGTGGAGATGCCAAGAAATAGGTTCCAGAGGAACTGCAATAAAACAGAATTCCACTGGACTCCACCTGAAGTTGATGGCAAATGAAAGTTTCTGACAGTATGGAAAATTGGCTACAAACATTTAGAAAGATTGTTGAAAATGTGAAATAACTGATTTTTGGAAGGACAGGGCTCACAGATGAGGACTGATGAGTTAAGGAATTTTGCGCTGTCAAGTTGGTGTGCGGATGTGTGGAATGGATGAGAAAATGGGATTCTGATTCCTGACTGCTACTTGTCCACCGTTATCTGTGCATGAGAATGTGATAGGTTGGCTGCTTCATTTGGAACTAGGTCAGTAGGGGCAATGGAACCTTCCTGTATGAGGAAACAAGTTCCCACCCAAGGAGGGAATGATAGAAGGCGCCAAGCTGGCTATGACATGACAAGAGAAATGTGCAATTTTATTTCAGTCCCAGCTTTAGGTGTCTCTGTTTCCTCATGGTGATTTGCTTGACTGATCACTTTGGCCACCTGATAAAATACTCACAAAGCAGTTGCTACTTGTGCCGAATCTTGCCAGATGACTTAAACAATTTGGGGTTCTTTTGAGCTTCTAGAGATACAGGCAGCAGGGGGAAAATCCATGTCAGGATCTCTGATCTTGCTTCATGTCCTGCTTGGCTCATTGTAACTACTGAGGGGCATATGGCTAGATGTGGGAGATGATTAATGACTCTTTGAAGGAGAGGGTAATGGCCTCTGCCTTGAAGGAAATGGTGATGTATGCCCTGCAGTTGTATTAAACAACTTTCACCTAATTTCTCTTTTGGGGAAAAACTGTTGCAGAAAGTGTTGACAATATAGTTACAGTGGAATTTCCCATATTTATGGTTTGGGAAATTTCAGTCTGCCTTCTTGTGAGGGGGTCTGAGATAGATCAGGAGTTCATAGCCACCATGACAGCCCTAGGCCTATCCCAGGTCATCCAGAGCCCAACAGGGGATAGCGGTCACACACCTGACCAGGTTTTCTTTCATAGCAATGACAAAGTGAGCTGGGGGAGCTCTCTGCAGCTCTTCTATCATGGTTAGATCATGCCCTGGTAACAAAGAGATAGCACCTAAGGAACACTCAGAGAAAAGAGGGAGGAGCCTGTAACTGGGCAAAGAAAGAATTTTAGAAAGGATCTGCATAACTAATCAGAAATAAAAAGAGATGACAAGAGATTTGCAAGATTCTGTTAAAGTAGCCTTACAATAAAATAGAATTAGCTCATCTTGTTGTGATTCCTGTCTAGGCTACATGGGACATTGACATATGCCAGATTTAATGTGGGTCCTGTGAAGATGCTTGGGGAACAATCTTGCCCTGATATCTGAGAAAAGTTTAAACCTGTGCCTGAAGAAGTGGACAAGGTCCTTATAACTGTAATCCTGGTCACCTGCTTGTTAGATCCATGTCCCTCCTGGGTGGCAAAGGTTGCCAAGAGGGAGATGTATGTGTGGGTTCTACTGGAGGTGAATTCAATCTTGAGAGAACTCCCAGATCTATCAACTGCACTGTCAATGAAAAAAAAGGCACGGTGTTTCTATGCAAACTCCACTTACGTTATCCCAGTTCCTTTAATTTCAGTGGTGAAATTTAGGGGCAAGGTTTATCATTTGGCTGATGTTGCAAAAATAGCAATCACACATTAAGAAACCTTCCAAAATGTGTTGCAAATCACCTGGAGATTTATGTCTACATTCAGATTCGTCTTTCTTCAATCCCTGGTTTAGGTGAATATTTTAGAATATGAGAACTAGTCATCATGCAAATACTGTAATTATTTTATTATTACCATTTAAGAAAGTGTCCACTATGCTTTTCTGGTCCTTCAGAATTAAAATAATGAAAAGATAGTAGAAATAACAAGGTTAAACAACAAATGCAATTTCTCAAAATGCAGCACCCAAAGGATTTTAAACAACTGGGTTAGTTTAAAAATCAGCACAGCATGATATTATTAAAGGCATGGTAGAAAAGAAACCTTTCCTGCTCATCAAACTCAAGGAATGGAGACAAATAAATCCCTTTTAGGGGCAAGTTCAACTGGAATAACTTTCTAAAGGTGGGAACTAGCTCCAAGCCCCGGAAAAAAAACACTCCTTCAAAGGAATAAGAGTAAGTATCACACACAATAAAATGTGTGTATGTTATCTTCTCCCAGATTTATTTGCTCACAAGTTGAGCTCTAGTTATTGGGTTCTTCATATTGTCTAGCTCAATCACTGTAATCCTGTTGGTTTTTTCACACACCCATGCACTGATTACCTAGCCTAATAACAAAATGTCTGCAGGAAAACCATCAAGCTCAGAGAACATCAAGAACCCAACAGTTCAACACTGAGTGACATATATTCTCTAGTACAGTGGTTCTCAACCTTTTTAATGCCACGACCCCCAACCGGTCATAAGTCGAGGACTACTCAACCGGTCGTAAGTCGAGGACTACTCAACTGGTGCAGCACCATTTGCAGAATGGGACTTTTGGCGGGCTCAGCAGGGCAGAGACAGCCTGGACAATTCCTATTGGCTTTTGAAAGCCAATAGAATTAGACTCTATTCAAGAGAGTCTATTCTATTGGCTTTCAAAAGCCAATAGAATAAAAGGGAGTAGCACAGCTAAGGAAAAGGGGGAAAAAATGGCGGACTGTGTTGTTTGGTGACCCCCGTGAAATGGTCGTTCGACCCCAAATGGGGTCCCGACCCACAGGTTGAGAACCACTGCGCTAGTAAGTATATGTTCTCTTGAGATCTAGATATTAGGCACTATTCTGAGTCCTCCATGATGAGAATCCAATGTCGCACAAAGATAAAGCCTTTTAAGTGGTGATGTTCCACCTTTGAGCAGACTTTTAAGGAACATATTAGAAGGAAGGGTTCACATGATGTTCACTTGCTATCATTTTGGTACCATGCAACCTCCTTATTTTCCTAGTTTTATTTAACATTGGTAACTTTTAAAGCTTAAATTGACAATAGCCTTCATTAACTAGAACAGTGCTTCTCAACCTTGACAATTTTAAGGCATGTGGACTTCAACTCCCAGAATTCCACAGCCAGCAATGCTGGCTGTAGAATTCTGGGAGTTGAAGTCCACATGCCTTAAAATTGTCAAGGTTGAGAAACACTGAACTAGAGTTTATACAAAAGTGTGCTGATTTTCTATTGCTTTTTTATGCTTTGTACTTCATACATTTTTATATATTACTCCCAAAATTCAGGTTTGGAGTTTGTAGATTTCAAGCTAATTCCTAAAATGGTTAATGCTCAGTTGATTAAAAAGAAGGGATCAAGCATCAATATCCCAATATCTATAATCATACCACCTTTCTTTTGTGTAAAATCTCTGTGACCTTTATCAAGTTACCCCAATTTTAACACTCACATATTTTATATTCTGGTGCAATATGTTAAAGCTTTTTACCAAGTAGTGTGCTATAGGCAAGGAAGAGCAAGAACATAAAAAAGAATAAACAGATTGGTGGAATAAAAAAGGATACATCTAATTCACTCTGAAAAAAATAATTAAAAAAGATTACCAAGAAGACAGAGCTATTATGGTTTTGCTATTTTTTTTCTAAAAATGATTTGTATATTATTTTGCAAGCATAGGGACTCCTAAACTCCTTCAAAGTTTTCAGTCTAGCAGAAACTCTTTTTCAAGAAAAATAAACATGACATTTTTTATCATTTTTTTCTGCTACCACTTCAGGTGACCTCTAAAGCTCACCTCTTGTCATTTCTTCCAATGGAATGGAACAGTTATTTTTATTATTCAAGTAAAAGTTGAATCTCAGAATGCTGACTATGTTTAAACCCAGAGGGCATAATTGATCCCAAAGGCATGTTATGCTGTTTCCCCAACTTAACAATTGCAACTGATTTTTGAGGATAAGTGGATAATGAGGAAGATGATGGATGCAAGAGAAAATCAAATTCTGAAAGAAAAAGTGGATGGGACTTAAGGAAATGTCTATGCAGATTCTCAGTCATCCAGGTCATAGTGCTTTTGCACAAGGCAACTGGACTTTTTTGTTTTTCTTCACAGACGTTTGGATGAGAAGTGTAACGTCTTCAAAGAAAAACAAGAAAGTCCAGTTGCCTCGTGCAAAAGCATCTTTGGGATGACTTAAGGAAATGGTGATTTTATTCCCAAGTTCTGCTTTGAACACATTCATTTTCCATTTGCCTAATTGTGAACATTCTACAACCCCAAATGGTTATTTTCTAAATCAAATGATGTTGTACCTCTATCAGAACTCAGAAGCTAATGTCTTTAAGTTTATATTTGTTAATGTGTTCGGCAGAAGTGAGCTGCTAAAAACAACATTATATTTTGCCCATGTCAGTTTGCATGTCAAATATTATTATACGCAAAATGCATTATTATAAAGTCAGCAGTCATTTAAGGAAATACCTTATACACTTATAGTAATTTGAAAATCTGCAAATTTCATTCAAAATCTTCCCCTACTATTACATACTTTGTGATTATAAATCATTTAGCAGAGAATAGACAATCCACAAAGTGTTCTCTTAAAAATACTACAATCACATTAGTGATAGCAATTTACAGGAATTGGTCTTGCCTCCCAGTTTGTTAAACTCAGAAAGGATAAAAAGTTGAATAGACTATATTTTACATAGTCTATTTCAGTGCTTCTCAAACTTGGCAGCTAAGTGGACTTCAACTCCCAGAATTTCCTAGCCAGTATACCACTTCTGAGTTAAAATTGTATTTAAAAGATCTGTTAACGGTTAGAGAGATTTGGGCATATGGGGATGGAACCCAAATCCTCACTTTTATGAAATCGTAAACCTGTTAATTAATCGGCCAATAAATTCATAGAAATGTTAACATGGAAAAGCTATTACTTTCCCTAATAATGTCCTAACATTATTTTTGATTACTTAAAGCATTAAGGTAATGCATTAAACATTACTTAAAGTATAGGGCATTTCTCATGCACAAACTTCATTATGCATAAACAGTATTCTCCAAAAGTGAATCATGGAAAAAGCTTGCTTGGATGGCAATTGAGGCACATACACTGCACAGCTGATAGAGCATACTCATGTTTTGTAGGTCATGATCTAATGATAAGGCTGGACAGCCGAGTGGTAGTGTGCACTATGCATAACCTAAAAACGTTTCTATATTTATGACTGTTCTCCATATATTTCATTAGTCTTATGGCCTATACACAGAAATACTACCTGGCTTTCAAGCTGACTGTTCACAGTACAATTACATTTGCTAAATTCATACTTACCACTCTGCTGAAATACTTGTCCAAAACCTCAACAAAATTATGAATCAGTTCAAATACAGCCATCTCATTCTGAAATTAAGTTCAAAATATACTTTAAAAAGGAACAATAGACAGGTGTGCTATAAGTTTTCTTTGTTTACAATAGCTTACTATACTGATGTAATATAGTAATTATAAATGAGAAGCTTTGCCCATCTTCGATATTGGCTGTGCATCAATTGCCGCTCCTGAATGAGATTCCCCAGTGGTCAAAAGAAAACAGTGCCCCAATTCTCCCTTAAATTATGCATCTGCTGCACTAGCAAAATAAAGTAAAATGATACACTGTGCAAATGGAATACCAGTCTACCACTGAATTTCACTGCAGAGAACACTGTGAGCAAATTGATTACACCCTGTACATTGACACTGGCATTGATGTTTTAGTTCATGATTCCTGTTTCTAGCCTTGGGTTTTTGTCAAAGATTTTCCTTATCATAAATACATTTTATTTTACTCAGGATTCATCTATATATTTATACAGTAATGAGAACAACACATTTCAGATGCACGTACAGTAAAAACGGTATCTGGGAAAGAAGAGGTAGACTATTTTCATGAGGGCCTGAAGATACGGAATAATTGATCTGCTAACAGAAATGAGAGCCAATCAAACCAATAAATGGTGATGTAAGGCTACTACAACTCTCAGAAGCTAGCTTGTGTGTCATATGAATTCATAGCATTCAGTTTAGAGATCTAGCTAAATCTATCATTATCATTACAAAAACTAATGCCAGCCTTTTGATCTTTAATGTACCACAGAATTTTTAATTTGTTCCAGGGGACCAATACTGCTATCTGCTGGAATATTTCTTGTAGCTTATAATAGTCTTCTTTTTAGTCTTCAGATTAAATAACAGTGTGAAAATTTGGACTTGTGTCTAGTTTTGATTCTAGGATATGATAGAAAATAGAGAGCAAGAGAAGTGGTACTGAGAATATCCTGTGTTACATCTAATATCCATATTTAAAAAAAACCTTAAAAAATACAATTTTCATTGTGATTGAAAACTTTCTACAGTTCTGAAGCAAAGAGCAATTTCAGTCTTTCTTTAGACTGGCTATCTTATTTTTTTTTTTTTTTTTTTTTTTTTGTAGTTCCCCTTCTCTTACAGTATCAGTGTATTTTTATTAGCAAAGCACAACAAACTGTCTGTACAGTTTGGGGGGAAGCTCAAAACCAGGGAAAATAAGTAGATTAAATCACCACAGAGCTTGCCACCTTTGAAACCCGCACATCTCACCAAATATATATAAAAAAGGCCAAAATATTTCTATTTCATTCCTCTGATGATGTCATAGCATTGCTACCACGTCCTTGTGTTCCTTGGGGGCCAGCTCCCAAAGTTGTCTGTCCAGAAGCATTGGATGACGTATGAACATCAGGACAAAGAAGTATCAACAAGTATCTTTTGATGTAAAAAGGGTCTTCAGGATATATCTATATTTATAGATTTAAAAAGTTAAAACATACCTCTGTTTCATTGATTCCAACTACTATGAAAAGTGCAGCATACTGTCTATAGACCAACTTAAAATCTTTATACTCAAGAAAGGAGCACTAAAGGGAAACAGAAAGTAAAAGATGTAAATTGTTATAAAATACTTAGATTTGTAGATATGTATTAACAACAATTTGTCCGATTTTTTTTATTTTATCACAAGACTATATAATTGCACAACATGCCAATATAAAATCAACTGCAGAATTATTCAATGTGATGAGTGAAGTCAGTCATCCTTAGAATCAAATCATATATCATAAGTCATACCTTGTATTCATACTTGAGTATAGAAAAATGCTGAAAAAAGGGTGCAATAAGACTGTTGCATTGTTCCCCTCCTGCATTATGTCAGTAAAAAAGAAACATCCACATTCCTTATATAAATATGAACAAAACGTTGATCGCTACTCTGTCACATTTAATAAAATAATTAAAATTCAAAAGACATACAAATTTCTGAGTCATTTAATAACAATTATTTTTATCTGTGTCTAAATGGATCATTCAATCATATTTTGTACATGTCTCTAAGACATAAATCAGGAATAATCTGATCATGGCTTGTGCTCTGGTCTAAATAATATAAAGGTATATAGCTTGTTATTGAATGATTTCTGATTTTCCTAACTAATTGTTGTGTTTTACACATTTGTATGTATAAATAAAGTCAACCAGCCATAGATAATAGTAGTAGTAGTAGTAGTAGTAGTAGTAGTAGTAGTAGTAGTGAAGTTGGAAGGGACCTTGGAGGTCATCGAGTCCAACCCCCTGCTCAGGCAGGAAACCCTATACCATTTCGGACAAATGGCTGTCCAGTCTCTTCTTAAAAACCTCCAGTGTTGGAGCATTCACCGCTTCTGGAGGCAGGTTGTTACACTGGTTGATTGTTCTAACTGTCAGGAAGTTTTTCCTTGGTTCTAGGTTGCTTCTCTCCTTGATTAGTTTCCACCCGTTGCTTCTTGTCCTGCCTTCGGGCGCCTTGGAAAATAGCTTGATACCCTCTTCTTTGTGGCAGCCCCTGAGATATTGGAACACTGCTATCATGTCCTCCCTTGTCCTTCTCTTCATTAAACTAGACATACCCAATTCCAGCAACTGTTCCTTATATGGTTTAGCCTCCAGTCCCCTAATCATCTTTGTTGCTCTTCTCTGTACTCTTTCTAGAGTATCAACATCTTTTTTACATCGCGGTGACCAAAACTGGATGCAGTATTCCAAGTGTGGCCTTACCAAGGCATTGTAAAGTGGTATTAACACTTCACGTGATCTTGATTCTATCCCCCTGTTAATGCAGCCTAGCACTGTATTGGCTTTTTTGGCAGCTGCAGCACACTGCTGGCTCATATTTAGATGATTGTCCACTAGGACTCCGAGGTCCCTCTCAGTTACTACTATTGAGCAAGGTACCCCCTATACTATATCTGCGCATTTGCTTTTTCTTGCCTAAATGTAGAACCTTGCTTTTTTCACCATTGAATTTCATTTTGTTAGATAGCGCCCAGTATTCAAGTCTGTCCAGATCCTTCTGTATCTTAAGCCTGTCTTCTGGAGTGTTGGCTATTCCTGCCACCTTGGTGTCGTCTGCAAATTTGATGAGTTCCCCATCTATCACCTCATTCAAATTGTTGATGAAGATGTTGAAGAGCACTGGGCCCAGAACAGAGTCCTGGGGCACCCCACTATACACTTCCCTCCATGTAGATGCGGTTCCATTGAGGACCACACGCTGAGTAAGGCCGGTCAGCCAGTTACAGATCCATCTGGTGGTGGTGCTATCTACCCCACATTTTTCTATCTTCTCAAGTAGTAGGTTGTGATCTACTTTATCAAATGCCTTACTGAAGTCCAAGTAAATTATGTCCACAGCATTCCTCTGATCCACTAATTTTGTCACTTAGTCAAAGAATGCGATAAGATTTGTCTGGCATGATCTATTTTTGACAAACCCGTGTTGGCTTTTAGTAATGACTTTGTTTGCCTCTAGGTGTTCGCTGATTCGTTGTTTGATTATCTTTTCCAGGATCCTCCCAGGTATTGAGGTCAGGCTGATAAGTCTGTGATTTCCTGGGTCCATTTTTTCCCCTTTTTTGAAGATGGGAACTACATCAGCTCTTTTCCAGTCCTCTGGTAGTTCCCCTGTGCTCCAGGATCTTTGCAAAATATAGTTCAGTGGTTCTGAGATCACATCTGCCAGTTCCTTGAGAGTCAGATGCTGACTTACCATTTTCTTGCCTATCTTAACTTGTGTTTTATTCTGTTTTTTATGGCACTATTTTTGATAGGTTGGTCTGTTTTTTCACTTTGTGTAAAGACAGATGCAAAAAACGAGTTAAATAGTTCTGCTTTCTCCCTGTTGCTTGTCACCTTCTTGCCATTTTCCCCCACTAATGGACCAATCATTTCCTTCACTTTTTTCTTGTTTTTTACATGTTGAAAGAAGCTTTTTTTGTTATTTTTGACTTTGGTCGCAAGCCTTAGTTCATTTTGAGCCTTGGCTTTCTTCACTTCATCTTTGGAGGCTCGGGCTATTTGCTGATATTCTGACTTAGTTATTTGCCTCTCTTTCCACTTTCTATACTTGTCCTTTTTATCTTTCAATTTGTCAGAGAGTTCTTTATGCAGATCTGGCAGAATTACATGAATTTTGGCCTTTAAGCATCTGATAAAGAGAATAAAAAATACATAAAAAATTCTGACACCATAAAAACTACATTAACATTTATAACATTTTGAAACTCTGGTCCAATTCATCAGATGCATAAAAGTCATAGTTACATACTTGCTCCTTTGTACGAGAAAGGCACTGCTTGATTACTTCAGCTTCCAGAACTGTCCGTTTATGAAGGTCCATGTATTCATAATAGCGGGAAAGCCTGGTTTGACCTTGTTTATTCACCATCAGGAAAAATTTGATCATGGCTTGTGCTTCGGTATAAATAACTTCACAAGGTAAAATGCTTGAAAGAGAAATCAGAAACTCAGAATTATCAGCACTGTCAGAAATGAACTGAATGAACGTATTAAGAACAAACAATGAATCAGGAACAAAATTTTACAGTCCGTAGACTACAGTAAGGGCCAAGTAATTAGGTTTTGGAAGCTGCACAAAGTATTCCAAGCTAGTAGAAGACATGTGAAGACCTAGAAAAGCTGGAGTTTTAGATAAGCTAGGTTCAAATAACATTATCTCTTAAATACATGGTTGGCAAATTAATTATAACAGATATTTTCCAACATGCAGCCTTTTTCCTTCAGTGGATTTCCAGCAAAGAGATATGGCTATGTGTATATGTGTAAAAGAAAAAAGAAAAGAAAAAATTATATAAAGAAGCAACCTTCCTCTTCATCATGTATAAACAATTTTAGTAAGTTATCACCATCTGTTAAAATACAACAAATGCTCTCTTCTTCCCATATCTCATGTCTTAACTATAAACAAAATCCAAACTCTGTATCATTTATTTCTTAACAGCAAAAGTCCATTAAGGGTTATAGATATACTTCAATCTCTTTTAAACTTGATCAAATAAGTCAACTCTATAATCCTTCCCTGAGTTTTTAACAATCTTAGTTTTTTATCCTTCAAATAATCTCCAAATAATTTGTTTTTATTTTTTCTTTGTCCCTTCTCAGAGAATCCTTCAAAACTTTAACAGATCTCTTTTGTACATCCAGTGAAAACAGTTATCCAAATCACTTTTCTAATTTGATATGTCATCTTTAAGTATTACAACACAGGCCAGTTTAATTTGTATGTCCAGCATGTTATCTTTTTTCATATTGTTCATGAAACTTCTCATATTTAAATACACATTCAAATCAATTTCAGTATAGCTTGACTGTGTTCCATGACATCATTAACACACCATCTATGGTGTTAGATATTCTTAAAATTAATTTCTGAATTCATTATTCAAAAATATCCTTTAAAGCAGCCAGTGTTAAGGAATCATACTCCATTCTTTGTTAACAAGTCCAATTGAAATATTCTTCTTTAATTGTAGTCTTTAATTTCTTCTAGTTCCCTCTAGTGCCCAACTTTCAAAGTCCCGTTCTATCATTTTTTCCCCAAAGAACCCAGCATTGACAGTTTCTACAAGAAGGATTTTTATAATTAATTTCATTTTTTTTATTTCAAAACCAACTGGACCTTTAGCCTATTTTCAACCTTCCAGAATTAATGTTCTAAACTCTCTTTTGCTATTTATTAAAGTCATATTTAAAACTTTTTTCACTAAGGAGAAGGAAACACATCCAGTGAATATAATAAAAAACTTTTCATTGTGAAGGTTCTTAATATTTCAAAAGCAGGGCAGAACAATCCCAAAGGTGATTAAGAAATGGAGCTCAATCAAGTTTTTTGTGTCTAAAGGTTGCATTACAAGTGTGAGCTTAGATGGAATCCCTTAATTCCCAGCCATTCAACTCATAAGCTGACTGCAAAAACCAGGTTCCTACAGTCTACTTATGGTAAATTGCTGATCAGAATATATTCAGGCAATCTCAGAACCTCTCCTTTCTCCAGAGAGATTTCTCCAGGCAGGATCTCGCATATGGTCACTGATCTCCATCATCATGACTGCTGTCCCACTTTGGCAGGAATGTTTAGGTCACCATGGCTTCCCTGGAAGGCCTCTCCTTTATTGCTACCATACTATTTGATTAGGTTAATGGGAGGTTTGGGAAAGTAACTGTCACTATAACTGATGCTCAGGTGGTTGCAAGAGTACAAAGAATAACTATACATGTTACCTGCTAGTAAAAGATGTTTGTATTTATGATGTAATTTTTTGACAATTCTATGGCATCGTCCCATATTTTTTTGTTCTTTAAATTCATCAATGAGCAAATCCAAATTCAGTTTAGGACTATACCATTTTAATGCCAAAGATGATGAAAAAGGGGCAGTACTGAGCTAACGCACATATAAGTCATTTGAGATTCTGGAATATAAAGTTGTACTAGCTTTCAGAACATGACTGACATGGAGAAAATTTAGGCCAGCTCTTGAAATGACCTGAAAATATCCCTCTAAGTGCAACTTTTACCCAATTTCTACCTTGCAGTAATAGAAGAAACATGCTTTCCCAGGTCTAATTTACTGGGAGCCTTATCTGTTGGAGTCATCACCCAGCTCAGACTGAAGGTAAGAAAAGGATGACACAACATCAGGTTTCTGACACTAAACTGGAATTAATCACCAGGAGCATGCAGAATTTGAATCAGGACCCTTACCAGATAAAGAAAAATATATTGCACAAATCAATTAAAACACATACTATTGAAAACTAAACATTGTATATAAAACTAAGATTAAAAACAGATTCACAATGCAAAACACTAGATGTTAATTTTCTTTTACCCTGGCTCTGGTAAAAGAAAAATATAAGTTAGTTCTCTCTAATGTTTCTATAAATTGAGCATCTCAAATGAGAATGTATTTTTTCTTGCTGTTATCCATTTTGATTCCTTTGGCAGGTTTATCTGGAGAAGGACTTCAAAGGATAATTTTTTGCTGCTTTACCCAGCTTGATTTTAAAACTCCAATTTTGTACTGGAAAATCTGTTAAGCAAGGGTTAAAGATGTTAGCCATAAGATGTATTGTTTACACTGCTGACCACAACCTAAGTAATTTTATCATGAGCAATCTCTGGTATGTAAGGAATGAACACTCCAGAACTCAGACTGCCTGACTGGTACAGTCCTATTCTAATCAACATTTAGAGATATTTGAATCAGCCAATGCAGAGCAATGAAAAAAAATACTGCATTAATCAGCAGCTATAAACAGTTATAATGGATAGTTAATAAGGATCATCAAGTCAACTCATGGTGACTTTTTGGATAATTCCTTACCATTTTATTTTAGTTATAACCTCTTCAAACAGTATTCCAATAATTACTTTCATCCTATCCAACGACCTTATGCATTGCCTCTCTCTTCCTTTCCTTAAGCTATAACTTAAGGAAACCATGTTTCTCAATCTTGGCAAATTTAAGTGATTTGAACTTAAGTCCCAAGATTCTTCTGAAGATACTCTTGCTATCTATATATTTATACATTACCCAAAGAATTCTGGGCTAGAAGTTTAAATTCAAATGCCTAATTCAGTAATAAATAAATAGTACTTAAATTTTGACTGTCTTAAATAAAATTGTTAGTCTCAAAAAGAATTGTGACTACCATAAATTAATACAGTTCTTCTCCTAATAGTGTTTTCTTTGACTCAATAACAAATCTTTTTGTTTCCACATAGAAGTAAGATGCTATGTTCAATGCCTTTAAATTCTAGTGACCTGAATAGATGTATTCTAACATGCTTTGGGTTTTAAGATATTCTTTAACTATTCTAGCTGCATAGGGTAATTAAGCTAATTCTATATCTCTCAGCGTCTTACAATACTGGGCCACCAAAAATGAGCAGCAGAATCCTACATATCTATTCAGAAGCAAGCTACACTGACTTTATTGAAACATACCCTTGGGCATGTACGCATGAACTGGCCAAGTGTTAAATGGCTGATCCTAGTCACAAAAAGGACTTCTTCTACTCTACTATTTTTGAAGTCTCTGCCATATTACAAGCTGCTTTTTGTAACACTTAATTTTACTGGTACAGAAGCAGCACTGGAAAACAGTGTAGTATTGTTAAAACTATAGCTATTGGGTCAATTTATATTGTGTATTTTTATAAAATAGTCTTCCTGTCATCCATCTCTGAGAATAGCAGCTATCTAAAAGAATCCAACAAGTCTATTCAGTGACATAAATATATAGAAATATACTGTGTATAACATTAATAAAATTTGATTTGTATAGAAAATGTAATTCTTGGGACAGCCATTTCAAAATGTTGTTTTTCTAGACATATACTCTTTCATGTGGAAAATACTCTTCTGCCTATAAGTATGAACATTTGTTTCCTTTTCTCCAACTATCTCTCAACTATCAATATTGCTTAAAGGAAAGCTAAAAATCTCTCTCAATTTGTAAAAGTGGAACACTACTTACAAGTATTGAATCTTGAGTAAGTCCAATATATTTTCATTCTGGCATTTTGGCACCCTTTATCTGATTGTTAGTAAACTATGTGGGAATATAGCAAGTGTTAATTAACATTAAAAAATATTCACTTTAAATAAATATGGATTCTATTGCACAGGAAGATATTATCCACCCATAGTCACCCCAAGAATCCTGTTGTATGTTTCCTATAGAGAAGCTAAATTTTCCAAGATCCGGGGATAGCACTGTAAAATTATCCATTCTACATAAATACATATTCAACTACATAAATACATGCTCAAATTTTCCTGTTCTACAACCTTTTCCTGTCAAACTGGCTTTACAGGTTCTGCAAATTTCAAAGCCTAATTTCTGATGGTACAACTTGCCCTCCCGCAGTGGAAATGATAGTTTTTTTTAAATTACTTCCCCAGTAGATCCAAAATTTGCTCCAGAAGTTTGGGGAAATTTCTGAAATGGTTTTGGGTGTATGCAGACTATTGAAGGAAGTAAAGGGTAAAGGAGAGGAAGTCCCATTGTGCAAGCAGAGACCTGCTTGAATTTTTTCAAGTTTCAGAGACTAAAAAAAACAGTACTTATCTATATAACTATATATCTCTACATTTAAAGAGAGATCAAGGATTAAAAATACAATCTATTTCTCAGGAATGTGCTACTTTTCAAAAAGTTTTCAGGATTAAATCTGACTAGCATAAGGTAAAATCAGTTTCAGCATGCCAGTGACTTGTAGTGGAATTGACCAGAGAAACTTCTACTTTGAAATGAATTACAATTTTCTATTTCAACAATTTGATATAACTCCAATCTGTTCTGATCAAATGCAGTAAATTGTTGTGGTTAATGCCAAGGGTTATAAAGAAAGTAACTCCCACTAGTCAACAAAAAGTAGTGTACAACCTATGGACACATGCTCTCCCATGAAAATTTAGAATAAAAAATGTTGATGATGTACAGCACAAGTGCGATACAACTAGAAACAAAATACTGTGACAAACTATCGAGTAGTAACGTTGCAAAAGAAGTACACATTTCTTCTGTGTGTGTGTGTGTGTGCCTTCAAATCAATACTGACTCCTGGGAACTGCCTGGATAAGTCCCTGTAATTTTGTGTGAGTATATTTACACATCGATCTGCATAACTGGCAGCTACAATAATAAGATCTGAGACCAAAGGAGTAATATATGTCTACTCATGTAGAACTGTATTAGGGTAGTGGAGCTTAGCTTAGCTGGCTCAGGAATTCTGGGAGTTGAAGTCCACGAGTCATAAAAGAGCCAAGGTTGACTACCCCTGGTGTAAACTAACAATGTTGCTCTTATCTACACATGAAAGCATAGTTTTTGTTCTAAATGCAAAATTTAATTATGAACCTGGTTAGGGATATCTGAATGTTCTATTAATTTCAGCTTAAAAAATGCCTTGCTTACTGTTATGCACATGTCTAAATGATTTGCTCTTCCTGTCATCCATACTTCACAGATGATCAAAGGTAACATATTTTTTGTCTAATCAATGTGGAAGTTTTTCTACCTTCTCCTAACACAAGCCTTGTATCTGCATCAGATGTGATGCTTCAGACACAACTGTACTGATGTAGCAGGGCTAGAATATGCCCATCTCCTATTGGCTGGTTTTGTCTGCTCTGGTCATGCCCCTTCCTCTCAGGTCACTATTAACTTCCTTGCATAGTTGTTTTGTTTTGTACTGCTATTATGGCATACCATGACATGACAGCAAGTGAAGAACAGCAAGACTAACCTTACAATAGACAATAGACCAGAATCTCCCTACTTATTTTCTTTAGTGAACTTGGTGAAGCTATGTTAGACCAGGTAGCCCTAGGATATCTGTACTTTATAATTTTTAATGAACCTGGTATTGCTAGAGCAAGAGTAAATTGCTAGAGAAAACAATATACCACAACACTAAAAAAGCGATAGACCAGAACATTTTTTAACAGTCCATGAGATATTAACCACCTTCTTTAGCAGTCTCGATACTGCTAGAGAAAGAAATAGCCAGGGCCTCTCAAAACTAAATTGTAAAGGTTCTATCAGACGGTTAACCTTGCCATTCCTGCCATATAACTGTGGGAAGTCAGGCCCCCCCCCGAGAAGGAAATATTAAAAAAGCAGAATATTATATTTCCCAAAGGAATATAGTAATGGAGAAAGAAAATCTTAAAAGACAGAAACCAGCCCCCAGAAACCAATCCCAGCCCCTCTCCCCCTAGGAAGAGCCCAGTAGGAATGCATATTTGATAATCCTATTCAGGAAGGTTACAGCCAGGAAGCTAGAAGCTGATGAGATTAGAAAATCAAAGACCCCTAAAATCTATATACCCCACTAAAACTCTGAAGACATGATCTTTAGGACATAATACGATTAACCCACCACCATCAAAATACCAAAAAAGGACACACTCAAAAGCTCAGATCAAAGTTCATGCCACAGGAACAGGAAACTTCTCAAAAGCTCAAGAAGGTATAAAAACCCACCACTCCCAGCAACATGTGGTCAGCTGTTCCAGAGCCTCATGTCTTGTGGTTCTGCTCTTCAATAAACTACAATCTTCTTTCTAAAGCAGTCTTTATTTTGTTTATTCCCAGCTTGGACTGGACCCTGATGAAGATTTTTCTTTCAACATATCTAAACATGACCCTTCACCCAGGCCTAGGCTCATATCCCTTTAGTGACTGATGGTTATTTTTCCTACTAGGTAGGAAGCCTATCAATTGTTGTATCTTCATTTGCCTTCAATGAACTGTTAGGGAGAGCTACTGTGATATAATGGTTAATGTATAAGGTGTAGAAACCAGGAAACCGTTCTGCTTTGGACACAAACCCAGCTGGGTGACCTTAGGCCAGGGGTGTCAAACTGCCGGCCCACGGGCCAGATGCATCATAGCAAAACCGCACTCACCCCATTGCTGGCAATGGCAAAAAAGACACAATTCGTTGTGACAAGTCATGTGACGTTGCGAGTTTGACACCGCTGCCTTAGGCAAATCACTTTCTCTCACCCCTAGGAAGGAGGCAATGGCAAACTGAAAAACCTTGCCAACAAACTTGGAGGGACTTATTCAGGCAGTCTCTGAGTACCAGGCATGATGATAAAGCAAACTGTTAGGACAGTAGCACTCACTGGCCTGTTACTGAGACAGAGTAGAGACCAACTACAGAGGCAGGCTGGTCTGCTGGCATATTTTATGTGGTCTGATAGATTGGAACAACTCACATTAAAATAGCTGTCTCTCTGAATGTATTCTTAGCAGATATTCAGTGAGTACAGGAAGTCCTCTGTTCTCCAAATCTGACAATATAGCTGGCATCCTAAGTAAAACAACAATAACAAACACTTAAAAGATTAAGAAGTGGTTGTAATACTTGCTAATAGATTTTGATATGACATTTCAAGAGAAGAGGTTGATTAATAGCTGATAGTATTACAAAGCTATTTGTAAAGAAACAGAAAAAATGTTTTAAATACTACAAAGGTTTGTTTAATTTTAATTAGCTTCTGACTAATTAATCCTCAGGGGAAGCTGTGATTTTAAGAAACTGCAAAAGGCAGTTTGTTGATAATATTTTAAAAAGTACATTTTTTAAAAAAAATGTGTTATTGTAATAAATGAATTCCTAATAATGACATTCACTTATTTCTATTCACAACTGTATCGAAACTTTAGAAGATAAATTGCTAAGAGTGGTTGATATATCTGAAATAATAGAAGAGATGACAACTGATTAATAGTTAATATTATATATATATATATATATATATATATATATATATATATATATATATATATCCATATCCATATCCATATCCATATCCATATCCATATCCATATCCATATCCATACAAGGTATTTTGACAAGTGTGGCCCAGCAATCATTTACTCAACCCTTTTCTTTCCTCACATTATTTTATTGAATCATAGGAAACTATCTTAAGAAGTGTCAGACCATCAATAGCAATATAAATGTTAAAATAGCAAACAAATCTTCAGGGCTGGAATTTATCAACACTTGGACATATCAAGAAATTAACTTGGAACCTTTGACATAAAAAACAGCGGTTTTACTATTAAATCACAGAATCTTCCCGTAAATAATAGGGCTGACAGGGTGTCTGAAAAAAATCATAACTGTCTCTTAGAAGAGGAGGTGCTACTAACACCTTTAAAAGTCTTAAGAAGTTTCTCCTAGAAAAAAAAATCCTCTAGAGAAATAAATAGGGATGAAAACTGAAAACAAAATGAACTTATAAGTTCTTGGGGCACCTATAAAAACTCCACAATTGTTTCCACATCTCCAAGATGCCCTTTTAAAATACAGAAAAATTAAAAGATGTTAAGGGGAGGGAGAGAACTCATAATTTGAAAATTTCCAACATCTCATAAAATTCAGAGCAGAAAACCCCTTTTTTTTTCATTAAACTATTTCCCCTAGTCCTTATCATTGGCAAAGCCTGATAAGCTAGTTCAACATTTGGACATATTTTTAATTTAACGTAAAGTGCTGCTATCCACTGTATTAGTTTCTTTTTGTCTAATTGTAAGCAGAAAAATGGCTGAATTGTGATTAGCTTACTTTTGATGCAACCCAGCAGTCATTAAGGAGACTGGGGCTATAAAGTGATTAAAGATCCAATCCCAACTTGATTATAAGGACAAGAAGGACGAGGGGTGACATGATAGCAGTGTTCCAATATCTCAGGGGCTGCCACAAAGAAGAGGGAGTCAAGCTGTTCTCCAAAGCGCCTGAAGGCAGGACAAGAAGCAACGGATGGAAACTAATCAAGGAAATAAGCAACCTAGAACTAAGGAGAAACTTCCTGACAGTTAGAACAATTAATCAGTGGAACAACCTGCCTCCAGAAGTGGTGAATGCTCCAACACTGGAAGTTTTTAAGAAGAGACTGGACAGCCATTTGTCCAAAATGGTGTAGGGTTTCCTGCCTGAGCAGGGGGTTGGACTCGATGACCTCCAAGGTCCCTTCCAACTTTATTATTATTATTATTATTATTGTTATTATTATTATTATTATTATTATTTTAAGAAATAGATATTTTAATTACTTAAGAAAATAAAAAAAACTTCATAAAAGTTTTTTTTCTGATGTTTGGAAAAGGATCCAGTTTCAATGCATGAATATTTAACACTGTTGAATCAGATGTTGCAATGATTGAAAATCAGATTAATGTGTGTGTCAAAAGTAATAGAAATAAACAGAGAATGGAACAGTTCACAGACCCAGTAGAATGATCTGAGAATGCATGAAACTGTCATCTTTTAAAGCTAAGTAAATCTGGAAAAAATCAATGCATTAATGGGAAGGATACTAAGAAATTTACATATATTACTTTGGATTCTACAAGGAAAATGTAGAGGATACAGTATAATCTTGTAACTGATTCGGCTACCAACTCCAAAAAATGTAATTTCTGAGAGATTTGGAAGTATGTATAATAATGCTAATAAGTAATAATGAAAATTAGTTTATATGGAAACAAGGGATTTAATTCTACAAATTGACGCTAATTTTTTATTCTTTTATGATCAGAAAAGTTGTTTGCAATGATGATTGATGGAGAAGAAAATTTGCAACTTGCAGGAATTAGATGGAAATTAAAACGTCTACCAATTTCATTCTTTCATGAAAGATACTATTGCATCCAGGCATAACCCTTTTATCATTAAAACTAAAAAAAAAAGTTACACCCATTCAAAAATTTAGCAGGATTGATATTTATTGAAAGCTGTTACAATCTTGGGTAATGATGAATGGGAGGTTAAGTCTTAATCCTAAATGTTTCCTCTAAAATATGTTTTCAGCAGAAAGACTGGTTAAAGGAATATGAAAACTAAAAATAATCAATGAGAACTGAGCATGGGATACTTATCTTTCCGACAACCATTATACTGGTTCTCAACCTGTGGATCGGGATCCCATTTGGGGTCGAACAACCATTTCACGGGGGTCGCCAAACAACGCAGTCCGCTATTTTTTCCCCCTTTTCCTTAGCTGTGCTACTCCCTTTTATTCTATTGGCTTTTGAAAGCCAATAGAATAGACTCTCTTGAATAGAGTCTAATTCTATTGGCTTTCAAAAGCCAATAGGCATTGTCCAGGCTGTCTCTGCCCTGCTGAGCCTGCCAAAAGTCCCATTCTGCAAACAGTGCTGCACCAGTTGAGTAGTCCTCGACTTACGACCGGTTGAGTAGTCGACTTACGACAGGTTGGGGGTCGCGGCATTAAAAAGGTTGAGAACCACTGCATTATACAGTATCAGCTTCTGAGAGCATCATCTCTGGATAACAGAGACCTCACTAATTAAGATCTTCATTTTGAATTAAGATTGTATATAGTCGTTAAATACAACACTGCAGTTATTTCTCTTGTTATTAACAAGTACATCTAGCCTTCTAATTTTTTTACTTAATCCTTTTTAAGACCATTGATGCTAATAACTATTGCAAAATTCTATAGAAATGGACCTGACCAGTTAATGATGTCTTATGAAAGTACTTCCTTGCTTTCTTTGAAATCTGCTCTGTCGGTTTTAATTAGTACTTTGTTGAAGTACTGCTTTTGAGAGCCAGTGTGGTGTAGTGGTTAATTCGCTGAACTAAAGCAAGGGACACAGGTTCTAATCCTCCCTTAGGCACAGAAGCCAGCTGGCTCACCTAGGGCCAGTCATTCACTCTCTAATTAGCATCGGGCTTTGCAGAAGCTGGCTGAAAACAAAACGTCTCATCACATCATATACTGAAAGCTTCGTTATGTGAAATGAAGTGAATGTATTTCCAAAATCTGGCTGGATGAGAAATAGGAATTATCCAACACTGAGATCTATTCAGCTTCTTTCTGGCAGTGCATTTGTCACAATTCTATGGTGAGGAGATAGTCTGGCAGTTGTATGCCACAAAACATGTAGTTAGGAAGTGGCTCTTCCACAAGTGGCCTAATATGAAACTGTATTTATGAAATTGAGCCTTGAGGATAAGCTGCTGCTGGTACCGTACCATATACTGTACCATACTTCCAGATGCACAGCAGCATCCCTAGCTCCATTCAGTTGCCCAAATCCCACCCCGAAGCAAGGGATTATAGCAGAGTTCCCCAAACTTTTGGGGTTGGTGGCCCGGAGCGGGGAAGGGAAAGGGATGATTTTGTGGGGAGGGGAACACATGCATGCATGTATGCGCACCACACGAACACCTGTTGCTTGCGTGAGTGAGGCCAGGAGTGCTTGGGCAAGTAGAGCCACAAATGCCCACGATGCTCACACAAGTGGGGTCGCGAATGCCTGCAACGCTCACAGCGACGCTCGCATGAATGGGATTGCAAATGCCCGTGGCACTCACGAGAGTTGAGCCACGAACGCCCGTGGTGCTCGCGGTGATGCTCACACAAGAGGGGCTGCGAAGGTCTGTGACACTCGCGTGAGTGGGGCCACAAACACCTGCAACGCTCGCTCAAGGGAGGCCACAAACACTTGTGACGCTCACACAAGTGGGACCATGAACACCCACAACACTCGCATGCACCGGCCAGCCATACATGCAGCCCGGTGGCCAATAATTTGGGGACCCCTGGATTACAGAGTTGTAAAGAAAAATAGTCTGTTACTATTATTGCATGGCTTACTATATACAAAAGAGAGATTTTTTTTGTACATTGTTTCCAAGCAATTTATACATTTATAAACAAAGAATGTAAAATATAATTAACAGCAGCAGTTAGAGTGCAGTACTGCAGGCCACTTTAGCTGACTGTGTTCAGCAGGTCAGCGGTTCAAATCTCACCGGCTCAAGGTTGACTCAGCCTTCCATCCTTCCGAGGTAGGTAAAATGAGGACCCAGATTGTTGGGGGCAATGTAAATATATATATATATATATATACATTGCTTACTGGTGTACACCGCTTAGAGAGTGCTTGCACTTAAAGCGGTATATAAGTCAAATAAATAAATAAATAAATAAATAAATTTTGAGAACAATTTTTGTTTACTTTTATGTGACATAATTTAATGAGGGCATACTTTTTCATGTTAATTTAGTTTATGTGATGTTTCCATTACAGAACAAGTCATTTGGGAATAAAAAGGAATCGAGATCACAAAAGAACGCTCTAAGAACTATTATTAATCTATAGAAGTAGCAATAGTATGGAACATTAACCCTCTTTGAAGAGTCCCAAGAAGAGACGGAGAACCCTATCAGACCAAAAGGACAGATTATCTCCCAGCCACCCAATGCCACAGTAGTTGAACTCTGCATTTTTCCCAAACTTGTGTCCAGAATCCCTCATGGGAATAGAAGAACTCTCTTTTTCAAAATGTATTGAAGGACAAAGGGACCTTGCTTTGAGGAATTAGCTCTCCGAGAGGCAGATTTGGGAAGGAAACGGGAAATCCTTATGGGCAGCATCTTACTTAGAGGTTTAAAGTATCTCATTTTTGGATTGTACAAAGAACATAAACTGTAATCTGCAAAGTAAAGCTAGAGGGTTTGATTCTCCTAGGTTTTAGCTCAATATTGATTTAACAAAGGATTAGAAGTCTTTCACTTGGAACCAAGGAAACACTTTAACAAACTGCTGTATTCCAGTGTTTTTGATAATTTCTGGTTTTTTTCATATTTGATTTCTGATTTTTAAAATTTTAACAATTATTTAAAAAAACAGACTAGGAAAGTGTTTTTTATTTTTTGATAGTTTGCCTTTAATTAAATGCATCAATGATGCATTCATGCTCAGATAAATAAGGGAAACTTTAGAAATGGGGGTCCTGATTTTGACTTTGGGGCAGAGGAAGCTTGATTTTACTGAAGGGCTATGAGAAGAAGCTACAACAGCAAAAAGTGATAAAGATCTATTATTGTCAGTCGCAGTCAGCCAGAAGTTGTAAAATGTTCCTGTATGTAGCTTACAGCTTATATATGGGTTACAAAGATGACTGAATAGATTAACAAAAGATAAAGAAGCTCTTCACTACAGCTCTAATTTTATTTTAAATATTATGATGGATTTTCCATAGCTGATCTCTAGAGATTGCCCAGAAACTTCTACCTATTTATCCAGAGATAAGTTATCATCTCTTAATATAATTTCATATTCATCACAGTAATTTGATACTAGGCTCATTCTCCAGTTTCTATTTGCTGTCCTACTTGGGATGATAGTATAATAATAATAACTCCAGTGTCAAAATCAAAGCATGCTTATGTCCTAGAGCTGGGTATATGTGTTGTGCGTGTGATGAGTGAGGAAGCCTCCCCATCCACCCAAGCTGGTCAGCTGTAGACATATGAGGAATGAAACTGCAATGCTAAGAATCTGTTGCTGGCCCAATCCATCATCAGTGACACAAAGCAAGTGATCTGAATGAACAGCTACAGTGGAAGACTATATACTGAGAAATCAGTTCTTGCCTTCTGAAGTGAGGCACTGTGCAATGAAGCAAACAAAGGACTCCTATGCTGTTATAAAACAGCAATGTAAGTTCCGTTCTGAAGCCAGGTAATAATCTTTTATTCCTTCTACTTTCCCACAGAGATAAGGAAGAATTACATATAGTCAGAATTAGATGCCTCTACCAAAAGTGCTTTTGTTCTTAACTTCTCCTGCCATTTTTAAATAATTTCCTCCATGAGGAAAATTTCATCCTAAAGGGGGAAAACATTTTTACAACATATTCAAATGACTATTACCTTTATTTACTGAGATTTTGTTATCTCAGCTTTATTTGTACAACTCAAGACAACATATATAATACTCCCTCCCCCTATTTTCCTCACAACTGTATGTATGTAGTTGGACTGAGAGCGAATGACTGGCTCAGACATCCACCTGGCTTCTGTGTCTGGGGGAGAACCAGAGCTCACTTTTCCAGTTTCTAGATTTGTATCCTGCCTTTCTTTTCAGAATCTCAAGATAGCGTACCGAGTACTTTCCCCTTCTCTTTGTAACAAATGACACATTTTTAAAACCGGTATGGCTTCTCTGTTGCTGCACCTGTCCTTTGCAACAGCCTTCAGTGTAAAATACAGATGGCCCCAAAACTATTAGCCTTCTGTAAGGCTGTAAAGACTTGACTTTTCGTTTAGATCAGTGATTCTCAACTTTTCTAATGCCGTGACCCCATGATACAGTTCCCCATGTTGTGGTGACCCCCAAGTGGGTGTGGCCACCAATAAGAGGGAGTAGGACAGCTAGGGAAAAGGGAAAAAAATGGCAGACAGCATGGTTTGATGACCCCCGTGAAATGGTCATTCGACCCCAAATGGGGTCCCGACCCACAGGTTGAGAACCACTGGTTTAGATGTTAGGGCTAGAATATTAATGAAGTTCAATATGTGCATTTTGGTACTGGGAATTCTTGTGAGTCCCTTGATTATTGTATTATCATTATTATCATTTCTAATTGAATTTTGCTTCATTTTATATTGGTTTATTTTTTTAAAAATGAACTATATCAACCATCCAGAGCTACTAGTATAAAATAGGCAACCATGTAAATTATCTAAACCCCAAAATATTGTGCTGAGAAGTGAATGATCCGTTCACATGGCTTCTAGAGCTGAGAGAGACCATCCCAAGTATTTTCAGTCTTAAATACTTAAAAGACTAACAACTAAAGTTTAATTCAATTTATTTCTTCTAATGTTCCAGTTAGTTGTTGAATTCATTAAGTGCTGAATTTCCGTTAAGTTTAAATTCACCAGGACTGAGCAACTTTGCACCAGTTTAACAGTACCATATAAGAATATGACAATGAATCTAAATGACAAAAAATCTAATTCAGATTTCATCTCTGCCATGAATGGGACCTTGGACACACCAATGACTCTTAATGCTGCCAATTACAATACTGTATTGGGAGATAACTATTGAACCAAGATTCTTGAAAGGCTTATAAATCAAAGTAACATATCAGTACTAAATACGTCTAGGATTTTTTTAAATACAAAAACCGGAGCATCTCCTTAACAGTAATCCTCTGCTACTCCTCTACGTGCATTTAAAAGCGATTTCTATACACTACCTCATAGAGTCATTGGACAATTAAAACTCAAGCAGCAGTTAAAGAATACGGCGCGCAAGGTTTAGAGAGCGGAAGCCCTCTGATTTTCCTCCTGAATATCGTGCTATCCGAGAAAAAACAAGTGTGAATGAGTGAAAGAATGAAATACAGAATATAAAACAGAAGCCACCAAATGCACAGGAATCTCTCCCGTCTCCCATCCAGGACTTTTCAGACGCGAGCGCATGCGCAGAGTAAGGCGGCAGTGGCGCCGGAGGCGGAGGGGCAGAGCAAGGCGTTTGCTGTTACCCAGCATGCTCGGCGTACCCCCTCCCCTTGGGTGGGTGAGTGAATCTGGCCGGTGGATGATGGAGCGGAGGCTGTAATGGCGGCCGGCGGCAACCGCGATAGAGGCGGCTCGGGTGTAGCTGGACTCTGACACCCGGGTACTCCTCTACGCCGCTGGGACTTCCTCCCTGGGCCGGAGACTCCCCCTCCCCGAGAATACCGCTGAGGACTCGGCCGGACACACTAGGCGGGAAGAGGAAGAGGGGACGACTCCTCAACAGACAATGGACGAACATCCCGGGGCCGGAGGGGGGATCATGGCGGGGGCTAACCCTCGACCTCAACAGCAGCCACTACCGCCCATTGGAGGCAACGTTAATTCCCAGCTGCTCAACCAGGGCTGCGTAGGGTCTAACGGCGGCGGCGGGAGTCTCCAGTCCCAGCAGCAGTCTCAAGGTCCAGCGGCGGCTCAGGAAGCGGCGGGGCCCGGGAGCGGTTCAGAGCTGTCCCGGCCCCAGCACTACACTATCCCGGGAATCCTGCACTACATCCAGCACGAGTGGGCCCGCTTCGAAATGGAGCGCGCTCACTGGGAGGTGGAAAGGGCCGAGCTTCAGGTAGGATGAAGCCGGGTTCCGGGCGGGCGAGAGGGACACACTGAGAAAGTGGCTGAGTCGAGCCCGGGGCCGTCTTAAGGCGACGACGGGGACTTTGCCGATACAGGGAAAGGTGGGCGCGGAGGAGAAAGTACCTGCGTGTGGCGGGTCCGGCGAGGCGTGGCGCGGTGCGGCGGGCGTCACTCGGCACGTCCCCCTCGGTGCTCTTCGGGTTGGGCTGCTTTCCCCGGGGCAGCCATTTTGGTTTCTAGCATGGCGCCCGCCTGGCTCGGGCCTGTCAAAAGAGTTGGGAGAGGAGGACTCCCGTCTTCTCCTCGCCCGGTCGGTCGTAGATATGACACCCTGGCTCTGCCGGCGTGGGACTGCGCCTTGACAGTTATTCTCGCGCTGGGTCCGTCCCTGCCTTTGCCAGAGCTGCAGGACTGTCGAAGCCGGCTGGACACCTCAGGGAGTTTTCGCGGCCTAAGAAAAAGAGTCATATAAAAGCAACGATCCAGTCACACGTATATTGACAGTCCTATGTTGTGAATGTAAATCACGCACACGCTCCGGCATGTTACCCTGCTCCTTTTCAGAAATAGGAGATGTGTCCCTTCATTCTTAGCTCAAAACACCCCCAAAAGAGATGGAGATGAAGGCACGCCGTGATTGATGACGTTAACAGGGTTATCTCTTTAATCCTCTACACCCGTTACATTATTTCGGCGATCTGTGTTTAAAAATATAGGCTACTTATGTATATTGTGATTGTAGCAAACACAATCATACTTATCAATGAACCAAAATTGGGAATTGTGTACTGTATACCAACCTGGTTTTACTGCATTCTAGTGAGATGACTGGGCATTTCAGTTAAGTGCGTAAATATAAAGATTTTATTAACGTTAAAAGGTATCTTTCAAAATAAACAACGTAATTAGACTTGCTCAATAATAGCATATCCTCATGTTAAATTTAGATATGTGTCATGATTGATAGCGATTATTGTAAGTAATGGTACTACTACATACTGAGTCAAAAGCAAAAAAATGTGAGGTATGTGGTTAGTTCTCAAAATAAAATGTTGCAATGTAGATAGAAGATACAACTCTTGGAAGGTGTATGTTCTGACTTGTTTAAGGTTATGCAGTCTTTTACTTTCAATTTCTCATTTTAAGGGAAAGGGGGCAAATAATAGCTATTGACCTTACAGAATTCTTACAAGAGCAAATGCTGAATTTTGCAAAATAAATGCTGCTAAAAAGCATAATCAAATAGTTTATACAACAGCACTTACAGAGGTATGCTGCATAAATCTGAACAATTCTTTTGGCTGATTTCTTTTATTTATTTACAACAGCTTGCATGCAGCTCAGTGCCAGATTGCTTTGAGCAATTTACATCAAGCAACAACAAGATTTAAAAAAAATAATAATAATTTAAACAGCAAATATCCTGTAACTTCAGCATTCAGGTCAATACTTATTGTCCTTGAATGCTATTTTCAGAAGCCTGACAAAGAAAGGGTGTTCAAGATACCCAGGGAAGAGTTATTTCACGGAAAAGGGACTATGACTGAAAATATTTCATCACAGGGTCTCGAAGTGGTATTCTCTGAGAGAAGGGACCTTAACAGGCCTTTTTTCTCCATTCTATTTAAACAAGCTGACTCAGCCCAGTTACTACTGGACAAGCCAATTCAGCTTAGGGCAAAGCTAGCAAGGTTCTGAGATATGTAAGCTCATATGACAGTCAGCACCTGAATCACACTTGAAAGTATACTGGCAGCCATAATAATAATATAGTGTCACATGGACAAATCTGGGTATGCTTGTAACTACTGGATTACTATGTGCTGAACCAGTTGAAGCTACTGTATGGTCTTCAAGGGCAGCTCCATGTAAAGTGAAGTTCAAAAATCCAGCCACAAGGTGACAAGAGCATAAGTAATCTTGGTCATTGCCTGCTGCTTCATGAATGGTCAAAATCATTGACACTGTACACCAGATGTAATTATATGAAGACAAACTCCATGTGCTGTTCAAGCAGAAGTTATGAGAACAGGAGGACTCCCAGATTTGTTATTTAAGAAAGAATTCCATTTTTTGTGTACTTTGGTGATCATGTATCTCTTAGATCAGTGGTTTTCAACCTGTGGGTCGGGACGACCATTTCACAGGGGTCGCCAAACAACACAGTCCGACATTTTTTTTCCCCCTTTTCCTTAGCTCTGCTACTCCCTTTTATTCTATTGGCTTTTGAAAGCCAATAGAATAGACTCTCTTGAATAGAGTCTAATTTTATTGGCTTTCAAAAGCCAATAGGAATTGTCCAGGCTGTCTCTGCCCTGCTGAGCCAGCCAAAAGTCCCATTCTGCAAACGGTGCTGCACCAGTTGAGTAGTCCTCGACTTACGACCGGTTGAGTAGTCCTCGACTTACGACCGGTTGGGGGTCGCGGCATTAAAAAGGTTGAGAACCACTGTCTTAGATCAAAGAGAAGTAGAGAACTTTTTTAACTTATAAAAATAGTAATATAAGACTTTTTATGTGAGGTAAATTGAATCAAAGTCCAGAAATGAAATAACTTGCTTCTTTGTCAGCTATCAGGCCTAATCATTTGAAAACTAGAAATAGAATTTTCAGTTCTAGTGAGTTGAAGTTGTTGTAAATGGAGTACTGAATCATGCTCTTCTATATAGTATTATATTAATCATGCTGTTTAATGTTATTTTCCATGCAAGAGGACTTAACAATTCTGTGAGTTTCAGAGATACAATATGGTGAAAAAATGAGTTGCCCCCCCCAGCCCCAAATTTATTGCTAATTAGTTGCAATTGTACAAAAAATATGGCAGCATAATTTTTATGGCAGTTTTAATGTTTTGTGAACTGGTACAGCTGAAGATCCAAAATATCAGTGCCATAGCTTGCTGTAATGCTGATGGTGCTGATCTCATAATCGGATGTTTTTGCCAGACTGGTGGGGCTCTTGGCTAAACTTTTTTGACTTAGTAGAACACGTTGTTACTGGAATGCACCTTGGCCAAGCCCTATTTTTACAAGCAGATGTAACCAGAAGGTTAGGATTAAGCCCATTCTTACCATTAATATTACAAGATTGAAGCATGCTTCCAGTTCTATTTTTTATATAACAGCAAGATTTAGCTTTTATCATCTTGCTTTTTTAAATTTGTTATAGCCTCCAGATTTGATTTTGATGTAGACATATTTTTGCAGCCAAACAATAAGTTCTTACTTTGCTATATAGTAATCTTTTTATTTAACCAAATATTGTTTTGGTTGAATAGTTTTCACTTCTTTAAGGATTTTTCTTCCTCCAGTTTCATTTTGCATATGCTTGTGTGAAGACTGCTGTTACATTATTTGTGGCTTACCAGACTAGTAATAGCACTATTATCTACAAGTCATTTCAACATTATGTCATTATTATAATAAGCACAATCTTTTAAAAAATTCCTAAAGATTTTACTTGCTTGGCAGAATTTATTATAGGATGGAATAAAATCCATCCTTTTGCAAGGCAACTGGTGGCCACCTGAGGCCTTCTCCCTGAGATTGCATTTGGCAGTTTCTTCATGAGACCTCTGAAAAAAAGGCCTCACATGGCCAACAGTTGCCTCACAAAGAGCCAGGGTAGGCATGCCTTGTCAGCAAAAGATTCAAGAACTTGACCAAGGTCAACTGAGATAGTGGGTAGCAGGGTTGTGGAGTGCAGGGTAGCGAAGATAGCTGGGCTTTACACTGTGTAGATGGGATGGAATGGTTGGGGCTCTGCATTGCTGGGCTTGGCTGTATCTTTGCACCGCACTGCTGAGCTGAGATGTCTAGAGCTTCCTGGAATGGTGGGGCTTTGCACTATTGGGCAGGGGTAACTGGGGCTTTACACTGTTGGTCTGGACTGGAGTGGCTGTAGCTTTTTGTCACTCTGCTGGGCTGGGGAAGCCATGGCATCATGCTGCTGGGTTGCAGCTTCATGCAGTGCTATTGGGCTGGGGTGGGGCAACTCTGGCATCATGCCAGATTGTGTCTCAGGAGCGTCTTGCAATCCCAGAACTGTGGCATTCTAGGAAGCCTTTGAACAGCAACGTAACAAACAACTGCACATTTCTGGGTTTGCTCCACAAGGCAAGGTGCAGGGCATCAAAAAGAGCAGAGGTGGGGGGAGAATAGGTGGTTGGGAGAGTTGAAGGGGAGGCAGTGGAAGAACTGAGGTTTGAGTTGAGTCTTTGGCTAATGATTGGTGGGATTTGGTTAACAATGGCAACTAGGAGTGCTGGGATTACCATCACTAAATGATGCAGTCATGTGATATCATGCTTTATAACTTCATTACTTAGCAATAGAAATTCCAGTTCCAGTTTCCATAGTAAATCAAGGACTACCTGCAGATTAAGTCATCAAATTATAGAAATATTATAATTTATGTGTATCTGTGGTACGTTGTGAGAGATAGAATTAGAGAGTTTCAATCCAGTGCTTCCCTGCAGCCATTGCTACATTATATAATGTGAAGGTAAACAATCTGGTGCTTTCCGATGTTTTGAACTAATAATTTTGTAATGTCTTAATTGAAGAAGAAAAATCTATCAATCCATTTCATTCAAAACTAAATGGTGAGGATGCAGAGCCTCACAACAGGAAGGAGCACCCAACCTCCCTATTTGGAAAGAGGAACTTTTCTCAAACTGATTAATTAACAAGGTGGAGACTTCCATTGCATAAGATTAGATCTAGCATATGTTCCACTTAGTTTGCTGATATCAGGAAAAGCTCATGGTGATATTTCAGAAATGGAGTATTGAAGTTGTTGAACTCCTAGTGCAGTGATGGTGAATCTTTTAGAGACCGAGTGCCCAAAAACCACCTTGCCCCACTTCCGCCTCTCCTGGCTGCAGGACCACCTCCACAGCCCACCACAGCAGATCGCCCAGGCAGCCCAGCAGCATTATGGCAGCCATGCCCTCTGTCCGCACCCTGCAGCATCATCTGTACACGATGGGGCACAAGGGTGGAGTCTTGTCCCCGCTGCCCAGCTGCCATGTCCTTGACTGTGCTACTCCGCGCAGGCAGCACCCAGGGCACCTCTCCTCCGGGGGGGGGGCTACTGGCCACGGGAGGTGGCAGGGCTGGGGCAATGGCGTGTGTGCCTACAGAGAGGGCTCTGAGTGCCGCCTTTGGCACCCGTGCCATAGGTTCACCACCACTGTCCTAGTGTGAAAATGGCTGATTCATTTTTTAATATTTTTGAGCTAAACATTATACAAATGTTGACTGAAAAAAGAATGGAAATTCCAGTTTCCATTTTTGAAAACAGTTTTTATATATGTTCTATTTTTGTGAGTTATGAAAACTAATTAAAAGATACAGATGCATACAACAGTATTAAAGGATGAACTTCAGAATTAATAAGCATACTCCTCTCGCCCCAAAGGAAAGAAGATCCTTGGAAACTTTGCAGTTTATGATAGATAAACAATACAAACAACAACCCTTTGCTGGAAATCAGTTGTAGGCTTGTCTTTAGTATTCTTTTGATCACGTCCCATGCCCCAAAAGTTCATAATTCCTGATAGAGTCAATATAGAGGTAGTCCTTGACTTGCAACAGTTCATTTAGTGAACATTCAAAGTTACAGTGACACTGAAAAAAGTGATTTTTGACCATTTTTCACACTTATGACTGTTGCAGCATTCCCATGGTTATGTGATCAAAATTTTGGGCTCAATTGTCGTTGTAAGTCAGGAATACCGTACTGCAGATATAGATAATAATATTTTTGTATGTGTGTACGTGTATTCAGAATGTTTAATGATTAATCTTGGGGTTCAACTTAATAGGATAAGGTCAAACCTATTTGATTTCCAATACTATTATAAATACAAATACTATCTGCTATTTCATCTCCAATAGCAACTCTTATTATATTCTCTGACCATTTCATATTGTTTAATAGAATCCACTATTGATTTACCAAAATGGGACATACAATCTTCATGTTTAATTTCATCAAAAGGGTTAGGGCTTAGATGCAACAGTATATGAAAACACTGTGTAAATTATATTATGTCTGCTTATATTTTGCATCTGTTATATACGGGCAATATTAATTATTTTTGGTTATAACAAATAGCTTTTTAGCTGACTGTATTAAAAAGAAAAAAATGATATGTGACTTATTCCAATAAATAGGAGTATGAAACCATTTTCCTTTAAACGGTGTTACTGGCCTTGATATCCTAAACCATGGTATGAGCTGCCTCCTCTCTTTCCCAGCTGCATGTACTCAGTCACTGGTTTTGGTAGATTTCGGTTCTATCGTGAAGATACTGGTTTATAAAGTTGTTGTATGTTTTTATTTTGTCTCCTAGAGGTTTCATTCTAGGGGCACTTATACAGATGAGTGGTCTAAGAAATCAGTGTGCTATCTGATGTTTACACTGGGATTGTGCAGGTAGAGCTTTTTTCTCCAAAACATTTTGTTTTCCTGCAGAAAGTCTAGTTCAAGTATTTAAGAAATGGTATTGTGATTGATTGATGACTTGCCATCAAGTTATTGTCAGCTCTTATCAAGCATACTAGACAACCCATGTCCCATTAAGACATTCAGCTGCTTCACTATTTCAGAAATATTTATATAGCTAAACATATCAACAGAATGATGAAGGACAAGCAAAAAAAGCAGTGGGAGTGGGAACAATTTCCGACTTTTTGCCGGCTTTCTCACTAACTTTGTGGGAAGCTTTCAGGGAGAATATCAATAGAGAAGCTGGGAAGGAAGCTTGCAAGTTGCTTAGGTAAATCTCCTACTGGTTCACCCTCCCCAGTCCCTTCTGCAATCACTCACAACCTTTTGCATCCTCCCTGACCTGTGCAACACTTGTGCACCCCCTACAACTCTCATTGCAGCTCTACATCCCTTCCATGACCCACACCCTTCTACATTCTACCCAGCCTGCATTGCATCTTCACACACACTCCCTATTCCTTGCTATACATCTTGGGCACCCATTTGCACCCTGACTGATCTACATCATGCCTGTTGCACACCCCTTCCCTCTCTCCTTGATACTGCCCCATGATGCATCATTTCACCTAATTCAGTGGTTCTCAACCTTTTTAATGCCGTGACCCTCCCCCCAACCGG